ATACATAGTGGATGGATAAAAGGCATAATATTTTCATGTAGCTAAAATTATGGAAATGATATAACAATAGTTAGAATATCACTTATAATAAACTTTTGTCGGTTTTATTTGTAATTCTAGCTATATACATGATACCCTAAATATTATCATAGTCTTTATCCAGTTAATCTCATTAAAAGAACAATTACATACAATTTGTACATGGTATTTATTAAACAACGTAAATTGTGTATATGCATACGTTATAATCTGTAATTACATACTATTACATTTAATAACCATTACATGTATAGCATTTTTATCGTGCTTATAATCCTGCACATTATTATCTTTACTGTAATTATGTGTATTATATTATGATTGCTTGATTGAGTGCTGTTTTACGTCCCGTTTAGGACTTTTTCACTCATATAGCGAAATCACCATATTCCGGTGAAGGACTTCAGATTTAGACCTTTACTTGGCACTCAGGGCCATTGAGCAGTGAGGGTTCTTTATCGTTCTAACGCCTACCGTAACACGGGGTCTCGGTTTTTAAGGTCTCATCCGAAGGACCCGCAACTTTCACTTCAAAGTGCCAAGTGCCTGGCGAAGGAACAGTTTCTACCTATTTTTTATCAGCTTAGGTCAGTCGCGGCCGTGATTCGAACACACGACCTTCCGATCATGGAGCGAGCGTTCTACTGACTGAGGTATCGTGACGGTGTATTAGATTATGTATTATTTTACTATACTATTTAGACGTATTATGTATGCATAACCCTTTTAGTTAGTTTAGATTAGTTGAGATACAATTAAATTCCAGTTTACAATATACATTTATCTATACACATTGCACAATCATCCTTCTTTCATTTCCACATATTACCGTATAAGAATATTTCACTCATATAGAGACGTCACCATATACCGATGAGGGCTTCAAATTTAGTCCTTTACTTGACACTTAGGGCCATTGAGCAGTGAGGGGTTCTTTATCGTGTCAACGTCTACCGTGACACGGGGCCTCGGCTTCTCAGCGAAAAACCCACAACTTTTACTCCAAAGTGCCGAGAGCTTGGCGAAGAAACAGTTGCTACCTATTTTTATCGACTTAGGTCAGTCGCGGCCGTGATTCGAACACACGACCTTCCGATCACAGAGCGAGCGCTCTACTGACTGAGGTGTCGTGACGGTATGGTATAGAATTGAGGTGTAGCACCTGATGACGGCCTCAAAATAATTTAAATTTATTCCTTTAATTTTAAATGTAGCACATTATTGGAATTTTTTGGCAGCACTCCCCTTTTTGTTAGCTGTATAATTTTAGTTTTTAATACAAGATGCATTTGATTTCTGCACTTGTATTAAAATTTACACATGCATACAAACATATGGTGATACAATATATTAGTAGTTATAATGGTAGTTATAATATAATTAAAAGTTTAGATAATCAAAAAAAAATATTCTGTATTATTAATAATTCCTTTGATAACATTTTCCTGAGTTGACATTGAACTCCATGTATAGTCAGGCACCAAAATTTATTTATCTATACGGTCATACAGAGGCCTGTCCATCTATACTTCACTAAGTAAGTGTTGAATAGAGGGGACAGAGATTTTGAGGCAGGAAGACCAAGGTGAAATTCTTAGCACCAATGAATGATTTATGGCAATTAATATTTATCAATACAATACAAACAATAAGATAGCTGTGGAGTTTGATTACAGACACCTCAGTGTCGTGAGGTCCAGTTTTCCTGACGAAGTAAGGGCAATTTTGATGTACTTAATAAATGCATATAGATTTAAGAAAAATATACGGAGTTTTTTACCATTTACAAATGTTTTTAGATGTTATCTCTGATTAACAACTGAATGATTGCAAAACCAGTTAAATTTTCCAAAAGGCAACTGTTCTATAGCCGATTAAGCGGAATCGCAGAACTTGAAAAATACTAAAAGAGAATTATTTATCTTATAATAAACTTATAACTAAGTTTGTCTTCATTTTGGCTTATTAATTTTGATTTTTTTTATATTCATAATTTGATTATATTAACTGTCAGTAAGAGAAAGAAGAAATTTTTAACACATGTGTAATAAAAAGTTAAAGGACATGGCCGTAGGAACCGGGGGGAGGGGGGGGGCACAGGGGCCGCCCCCCCCAATAATTTTCCGATATGTAGTATACTATAGAAAATAATTTCGCCGATATATAGTTTACTATAGAAAAGATAGCTAATATATACTTGTGCCCCCTCAATAAAAACGTCTGATGACCTTTTTTTTCCTTTTTCTTTTTCTTTTTTTTTTTTTTTTTTTTTTTTTTTTTGCTTGTCAAGGAATTTTTGGTAGTTGATAGTGCCCCTTCAACTGAAAATGTATAGCTGTGCCCCCCCCCCCCCAACTGAAATTGGTTCCTACGGGCCTGAAGGAGACTAATTTTACTGAACTCTGTTTGATATAATGTGATTGTGATGAATTCTTCTTGAAATGTTCCTTCACATTACTTATTTAATATGGCCGGGTCCATTCTACGTAAACCTGACGATGTTCCACCAGAATTCAGAGAAAGAACTCTCTCTAACTTTCTGCTGTCAATTGACATGAAAAAATATGGAGTAAAACCTGAGGATGTCTGGAGAGACTTTGGTCGCTGTATTTTGGCGGAGAAATGGTTAATGTTGGACCTAGCTCTTCGAGTAGTGGTAAAACGTAAGATGAAATTCAATAATCACATAAACATTTCCACCTTTCTACCTATTTATAATGATAAATCTGGCTTCTTGATGCACAGTCACATGATTTTCTCTTGGAGCAAGATCTTAATTGACAAAAAAGTAACAATAAGCCTACAAAAACGTCTTCAAGCTTTAAATGAATTACAAGAGAAAAATAGGAAAATAAAAAAAAACTTTTTATGAGGTTTGTTTGACATTCCACAGATGATAAACGGATACATACAATTTTGTACTCATATGAAGCAGAATTTGTCCAAAATCTTGTACGTGAAAAGAAGAAAACACTTGCTGTGGCCTTCAACTCGACATTTAGATATATCGACGATGTATTGTCAATTAACAACAGCTATTTCCATTCTTATGTCGATACGATATATCCTGGTGAGCTACATTTTATCATTGAGTCAAATGCTGACTGACTTTTTCATACAAATTGATAGGCCATTACTTACACACTGAATTGTCGACGGATTTTTCCGTTATTTCCCGATCATGACAAGGAGCACAAGGCGGGTGTGACCGGTCGGCAGAGGATGCTCACTCCTCCATGGCACCTGATCCCACCTCAGATGTTTAGAGGTCCGTGTTTGCTCTGCTTCTATTTTGTATTGTTTAATGGACTTTTGAGCTTGAATACTGTTCGTTGTCTCCATATATTTCATAAAAAATAAAGATGAAATTCTGGAGGAAATCTTCCTTTAATAAATGGATACATTATGAATAAAAATAGTGATAAGTTTGAAGCTTTTAAGATGTTTAATTCTACTGGAGATTGCTTGCTGGTATGTAACTGAGCAATCAAAACATTGCAGAACTGACACACACCACCCTGCCAGACGGGGGGAAATGTACAGCGAGCTGTTTGAGCATGAGTGGTCTGAGATTTTTGGAGCTTTTAAACCTAAACCAGATAGAGAAGAAAAGGATGATGATAGCTGACACTTCTTGTTTAAGTCATTTCAAAAATAGTCTGCACCAAGATATTTTTTCTTTCCATTTTTTCTATACGATATGTTGTCATTTCGTATTTACGTAAATGAGACTTATTAAAGCACGTAAAAAGTCCATATTTACAACTGTTTTAATGCATATTTTCTGAGTCATTTTAGGTTATCCGAGCTGATGCTCAAGTAAACTTTTTTTAGAACATTTTATCCATAGTTCGACAGTCTGTAAACTTTTCACATTTTCAACTTCACAAATTCTCAAACTTGGGCTAATTTTAAACAATGTAAAAGGTGAAGATAACGAACAGTTTAATGTAATCTTTAAAAATCCTGTTCACAAGAACCACTAGGCCAGTTTAAACTTATCTGAAAGCCTCAATCAATATAATTATAGAGGAAAATTTCTTCATTTCATAACCTTTGAGTAGGATGGGGCCACAATAGGCGATCAAAGTTTTATATATAGAAATAATGGGGGGGGGGATCTTTTAAAATCGTCTCCTCATGACCAAGAGCCACTGGGCGAGAAGGGTGTAGTTTCAAGTTTGTTTAAATCATGACTCCCGGAGGAATATTTAGGGGTAAAATATGCTGAAAAAAGTAGCAGAACCATAGTGACCCAAATGAGCGTTGTGGCCTTTCTTTTCTTGACCTGATAAATTTTCATTTACCTTGAGGATATTTTTCAGTAAACATTAAATGCAATCATACATACATGTCCAACTGTTTGCGTATTTAAATAAAATAAATTTGCACTGATCAAGCACAAAGAGGACATAATTTTACAAGGTTTTCTTGAAAAAAATTTACTTGAAAAAAGGACGTATTTTATAAATATAGAATATGTTTGTGAAAAAATCAGGAAAATGCATGTGAGTAGTTTTGATACAATTAACCAAAGGTTTGTTTTAAGTGTTCTTTCTTTTACTGCAGTTAATGATAAACTGAGGTTTTATGGTACCAGGTGAGAACATCTTTCTGAGAAAAAGTTATGAAAGTATTTGAGTCGAAATTATCATAAAAATCTATTCATAACATTTCTGCATTTGACTTAAGAAAATTGAACACGTTTTTTACTTTGTTCAATAAGAAGTATGTAATATACATGTGTCAAATGACTACTGTAGAAAAGAATTTTGCAAATTTTTCGTTTAAAATAAAGACAAAGTAGTGTACACAATAATAAGTCTTGTTTAACGGATTGTAGATGATTCGCAAGCTTTAAATGTAGCCGGGATTTCAGACTTCTTCATTTTTTTTTGTATGAGTAGCGTACACATGATTGTCATAAAGCTTGACGTTGACCTTCCGCGTTCAAGTGTAAATCTATGCCTATTGTGCAAATTACGATGGTGGCTTAAATTTAGATACAGTAAGTATCCATAATTAATCTCCCTATACCTATCTTAAATAAGTTATACCTATCTTAAATATTATTTTACGCTTTTGTAAATCCATCCACCAACATTTATTTAAACATAACACTTGTTTGAAGGTATTTTGAGCACTTTTGACCTTAAAATTCCTCTACTATGCCCATACAATTTTTAAAAATATATGGGAGGCCATTCATATAAAAAATACGTTTTTAAAGCTTTTCATTCAGATGGAAAACATTTGTGAAAACAATAACTTTAGGAGGTGTACATATTTGGCTTATGTTATGATAACAAACCATAGAAATATAATAGTTTCTCTATCGAGGAAAAATATGGATTTCATATCAATTAAATTCGGGCAGGGTTTTCGGCAAAGAAATACCGTATCTGTGTGTAACTTTATTATAAGCCGAGCATTTTTTTTTACAGAATGGGATATCATTATTCTTGTTACATTAACAAAAACCTGCCTTTTTTATTTATATGTAAACAAAGTGGTTTTTCTTTTAAATGACAGCCCTGAAAAAAGTTTCTTTTTATATGAAACACCAGTATCTAACACGCCATACATATACAATAGATATGGAGATAATAAACAGTAATCAAGCTCAAAACTTCATGGAAAAAATACAATGCGGGAGCAGTGCAAACACGGACCTCTAAAAATACCAGAGATGGGATCAGGTGCCATGGAGGAGTAAGCATCCCCTGCCGACCGGTCACATCCACTGAGTGCTCCTTGTCATGATCGGGCAGACGGAAAATCCCTAAACAAATCAGTGTGTAAATGATAGCCTAACAATTAGTATGATAAATACCAGTCAGCATTCGACACAACGATAGATTGCATCGATCCTCCGACAAGCTAGGCAACCGCATCGACCATATAACTTGCAAAATGTTGACTCTAAATGAGCCTGTTGATATCCTTATGTTATCAACTTGTTTATCAATAGCTATAGCTTGTTTTGTTTTATAAATCATAAAAAGAAAAGTTGAAATCATTACGTTTGTCATAAAGTTTTGTTTTTAGGTTACCATTAAGTCTTTTTCTAGTAAAAAAAAATCCAAATACTAAACAGATGTGTCAGACTTCGTGGTATCTTTTATTTCAAGTACACTGGGATATATCGAGTCGACGTATGAATAGAATAAACTATTATTAATTGATAATTCGTTGTCGATCGATCGATAGATAGAATGTTAACAAACGTTTTCCTCTTCTTCTCATGTCTAAATTTTGAATAAATTGTGTTTTATATGAATACAAAAATAGATCTTCTTATAACGAAGCGCAAATGGTACCCATGGAAATTCCGACAGATTGTTGGAAGACCTGGTTTCGAAAAACTATTTAGATATTGTCAATCAGAAACCCAAGCATCTTTTTTATAATAACTTAAGAGTACTTGTGTGTACAATCAGAATTTTTTTAATAAAATAATTTTGCAAATGACCAATGACAATAAATAAATTTACAAATTTCATATTCATCGAAAAAGGAACTGTCTACGTTGTCAAAAAGCCTGGACTTTAATTTATTGTGGAGAATGATTGTATAATGTGTTTAAAATTTTTGATCCTAATTTTTGTAAAATTTTGTGATTTCAATTTTTTTTAAAGTTCTTTGAAGATTTTAAGTATTCACATCTGATTTACTCCAATTTGCGAATATATTGTTGTTCAATTCTTCTGAGGTTTCTCCTTCACTGCTCTTAAGATTTTAGTGTGGAGTAAAAAAGAAAAAAGGCAAGTGAAGTCATAATCATATGATCTTATTACAAAGATGTATCAGGTTATCTCTGAAGTAAAAAGTTGTGTTCATGTCAAGCGTATTAAAATCTTCTAGAAATAGCCATTTCTATTTACTCTGTTTTAGAAATATAACGTTTTCTAACCAACCGAGCATTTTAAGGAGGAAAACAAGCTTATTTCGGAATTTATGTCCCTGCTTAATGACAGAAAAAGTGGGTGTAATAATCTTATAATGAAGATGGAGAGGAAAGGAAGAATTGACCTTGACCTTTCTCCTTTTGGCCTCAAAATTAATGGGGACTTTCTAGATATGGGGAGCCGGTGCCTTAAGTTCGTTACAAAATCTAAGAGAAGTTACATGTACGTTTCTTAATTGACATCAAATTATGTAATATATATGTATAAATTTCTTACCTTGGAATTCGTAAGGTTCTTGTTTGAAACATAGAGGACTAAACTTTTGATTCAAGAGCTTAAGAACTTAAAGAGATTATATAAAGATTCTAAATTGTTCCAAACAGACAATAACATGAGACAGGCAAACCAAATTGCTCTAAGAAAGCTCTAAGAAAGCGGGGAATAAGTTTTGTGATATTTTTCATACTAGATGTGGCTTTGTTTGTTTGTTTATAGTTAAATGTTCCTCTCGAGAATTTTTTCACTTATATGGAGACACCACCACTTGCCGGTGGAGAGCTGCAAATTTGATCTATACTGGGCACTTAGGGCTATTGAGCAGTGAGGGATCTTTTTCGCACCTACTGCGACCCGGCATCTCGGTTTATAAACAGTCTCATCCGAAGGACCGGTCTCCACGTCCAACAGTGGGATTCGAACCCGCGACGTCAGGATCAACTCCTAACTCCGCGACTCTAGAGCGAACGCTCTAACCACAGCGCCAAGCGGGCGACTCTAGATGTGGCCATAAACCTAATGAACATGGACAAATATAGGTTCTAACAACTGCGCCACGCGGGCGACTCAAGATGTGGCCATAAGCCTAAAGAACATGGGCAAATATAGGTTGACTTTTGTGTCATGATAAAAAAAAAGTTTAGAAACGACAAAATTCACTTTGACTTTCTTATATCAGATAACATCGATGTTAAATCTTAAAGTGATACAGCTTGCTACAATCTCATAGATATGGAAAAGCATCATATATAATACGGTAAAATCAAAAATAGTTTTACCTGTATCATTATTACTCTAGATATAAAATGAGCAATCTGATTGATTTTTTTCTTCATATTTTAACTCACTTAATTGAAATTCAGGTACAAACTCATTAACATTTGAATACAAAATGGGGGAAGGTCTTTCTTATCTGTTTGTCGCCGCCATTGACTTAGGAACCACGTTTTCTGGTGTGGCCTTCTCCTCCAGGGATTCCTTCATTAAAGATCCTACTGATGTCTGGATAAAGACCTGGCACGGAGCTATTGTCACCTATAAAACTCCTACAGTCATTCTCTTCGACCAGAACGAGGAATTTGCTAGTTTTGGTTATGAAGCAGAAGACAGATACACTGATTTATTGTTGGATGGTTTGGCAGAAAATTGGAGTCTCTTCAAAAGATTTAAAATGTCACTCTATGAACAGCAAGTTAGTATTTAACTTATTCTCTTTGACAAGGTCCCATAAAATTTGAGAAAGATAATCTGTCACTTTACTTTTTAAATCTTCATCTAATATATAAGTTTTATGCTTTCAAATCAGGAGTTCTACATAATACTTAATGCAGAATATTACCATTACGATGCATTTATGTTGCAGACTGTATTGGATAGTTTAGAACTGGTTGCAGATAACGGAAAGAAAATGCCTGCCATTAAAGTATTTTCTGCCTCCATCAAGTATCTATCGGAGCAGCTGATCAAAGAAATTATAAAACAGGTCTGTTACACCACAGAAAAAGATGTTAAATGGGTTATTACTGTTCCCGCCATCTGGTCTCAACCGGCAAAGTCCTTCATAAGGAAAGCTGCCATTATGGTATGGGTTTTGTTTGTGGTAATGCAAAGAAATTGAATGTTGTAGTTCTTCAAATACATGACATATTGCAGTCTTAGACACACATTATATATACTTGTATTATACATATTGCAACTTTTTTCCAGGCAGGAATAGAATCTGAGATGCTCACCATAGCACTTGAGCCAGAAGCGGCAGCTATATGTCTGAAACATTTACCTTTAGAGAAAAAGAAATTAGGAGAAGTTGGAGACAATTATAGAACCTTCTCACCTGGATCAAGTTACATCATTGTCGATTCTGGAGGTTTGTACATGTGTGAATAAAATATGTAGAGCTTTATGATTGATTGATTATTATTGTTTAACGCCGAGTCGGCAATATTTCAGCCACATTTCGGTAGAGCTTTATGAAAAAAGTTCATGAAATTTATTCAACATATCAAAAAAAAAAAAAAAAAAAAAAAAAAAGATAAGGAATAGTGGTCAATCTCATCAATCCAGTTAACAAAACAAAATATGAACAGAACAAAAACACAGATGCTCACTTCTCCATGGCACCTGATCCCACCTCTGATGTTTTGGAGGTCCGTGTTTGCTCTGCACCTATTTTGTAATGTTTAATGGACTTTTTGAGCTTGAATACTGTTCGTTATCTCCATATGTTTCATCCCCGAAAACATCAGAGGTAGTATCAGATGAGTAATAAGAGTCCCCTGTCGACCGATCACACCCATCGTTAGCCTTCTGTTTTGATCTGGTAAATAGAGAAGATAGTTTAAAAACAATGGTCTACCAATTAGCATAAACAATGTGAGACAAAATACGAAACAAGATTAGATTGTTTTTTGCAAATAAATTAATCATAACAACCTTTATGGTCGCTAAATGCTGATTAATAATAGATGCATATATTTCCTGTATCTATTTCAGGAGGAACGATTGACATAACAACTCATGAAGTTCTAGAAGATGGGAGTGTGAAAGAGTTGTTCCAGTCTTCGGGTGGTGATTGGGGAGGAACCAAGGTAAACGACCGCATTATGCAATTCTTTGAAGATGTATTAGGAAGTCTGACCATGTCTGAACTAAGACAAAACCATCAGCTAGATATTCTAGAACTTGAAAGAAACATTGAAACAGCAAAGCGAAGTTTGAGCACGCATAGAAGGAAAATGACGATAACCATCCCAGCCGAAATTCTAGATCAGTATAAAAAAATTCACCATGCAGATCTTTCTTCTGTGAAAAGTGCTACTCTGAGAGACGGTAGAACAATCGAGTTCATGTTTAGCAGTGGTAAATTAAGAATGGATCATGACACTAGCTGTTCTTTCTTTGAAGAATCAATAAATTCAATTTGTGACCATTTGAGGAATATGTTCCCAATGAGCACAGGACAAGACATAGATACAATAATAATGGTTGGAGGTTTTGCAAATTGTTCTATTCTAATCAGAACAATTTTAATAGAATTTCCAGACAAACACGTACTAGTCCCTGAGGAAGCAGAATGGTCCGTTTTAAAGGGGGCAGTGATATTTGGTCATGATCCTTGGTTGATAAAGCAAAGACGAAGCAGATATACATATGGTGCCAAATGTAAAAAGCTGTTTAAAGAAGGAGAACATGATGCAAAAAAGAAAGTGGAAGAAAATGGCAAGGTGTTCTGCCAAGATCTCTTTAGTAAACACGTGGAAATTGGTGAATTAATCACCGTTGGAGAATATCAGACAAATAAAAAATATCGTGTCTCACATGAATCCATGGCAAAGATACAGTTGTATGCTTCACGGAATCCTGATCCAAAATATGTAACGGATGAAGGTTGTTTTAAGATTGGAGAACTGGAAATATGCAGTCCAGAATTAGAAGTCGGGAGTAAAACCCGTGTTCAGTTGTCATTCAGTCACACTGAAATTGAGGCTAGATTGAGCCATAGAAAATCTGGAACGTCTTCTGCACTTTATCTGGATACAAATTTCTAAAGAACCATTTTCTTGTCGTTTAAGATATTCATTCTACTGACCAACTGGTTCATTTTTGTAGCAGTTCAATGAGTTGAAAATGTGCTGTTTGGTGAAGAATAGCGTTATTTTGACAATAGAAGCCCACGAAGTCCCACTTTCTTTGCAAGTTCATGAGGTGTCCATTTTTACTAACCATTTAACGTCTCGTGCATGATTATTTTTATTCAGATATTCTAATTAATTTGTAATTGTGATATACATTATGATGTATGGACTTGTTTCTGCAATAAAAAAAAATTGAAACTTGAGGAATTTAATGTAGAGAATTGATTCCAATTTTGAAAATGACAAGTACATGTTACAATTACTATTTAACACTTTTCGATCGACAAATATTGATATAATATTATAACTTGCTGTTCTAAATTGAAGACGAAACAAAAACATGTCTATCTTGAATTGATTTTCTTTTATCAGAGTGGCGTGCATTGTCGACAGAAGTCAGTTTGCGCAGGTTTCTGTATTAGATTTAAATATATAAACATTCCTACATGTAGATTTAAAAGTAAATATAGAAGGCTTTTCCAATTTTTTCACCCGTTTAGCATCCACGTCTAGGGCTTAAATCAGATATTTACGAGGGGTGATCAAAAAGTTCGCGAACTAATTGAATTACTTCTTTAAAAGAAATAAAATGTGAAGTTTCAGTGTTTATTATTTTTTAAAGTAGTCCTCTCTGATTTTAATGCACATCTGCAATTGTTCTGCCCATGCGCGAATCACGTGATCCAGGCAGTCACGTGACATGCTCCGAAGCAGTCTGTTCAAAGAAGCTAAAAGATTTTTCCGAGTCTTATATTTCTTACCATGCAAGTTATTTTTTATAACAAAAACAGTCCATCTGTCAGAAATGGCCACATCTCGGCAATAGGATGGGTGGATAAGGATACCCCTTCCCACAATTAGTATGGTGACCCATCACAACCCGAGTCCTCTGTCTCGGGAGAGTCGTTTACCCAATGTGGATACAGTATGGGCGCCTTCTTTTTATCATATCTCATATGTTTAAAGTCTAAAGTAAACGATATTTCAGAGATTTAATAATTATATTATTGCTAATATATACAACCATTTTTCTAATTGTTACTTGACGATGTTTCATAACAAATTGTTCAACTAAGGACCATCTTTTCCCCGGCTTGCTTTCGCTGGGCAACAGAACAAACATCATTTTTAACCGTCTCCCTGTCTTTACTTAAACAATCAATCCAATTAATGATTGAACTTCTGGTAAGTCTATTGTCTTCATAAACCTTGTACAAATTATCATATTCTACTGCAAAGGAATTTCCAAGATATACGTTAAACTTTACAGCCGTTCGTTGCTCGAGTACGACTGAGTCAACCATTTTTTGTCACAAGTGACCTACATATTGACGTCATTTTCACATTGTGACGTCACAAACACGGAGCAAAACATTATTTAACATATGTTATTTATAAAATATGTGTATGACTATATGTGTGCCAAATTTCATTCTGATCTGAATTGTGGTTTTGTAAATATAGAGATAGTTCGCGAACTTTTTGATCACCCCTCGTATGTAAAAAAATCAAGAATGTTAAAAAAAGAGGATGTGATCAGTTTTCGAAAATAGTAAAATCAACATTAATCAGTATACTTTATTTCACATGAAGAAAACTTTTATAACAAACAGTAAAATCATGGGGCATGTCTTACTATTTAGAACTTATAACTAAGACCAAAAATTTTAGGTGATTGTGAAATCTTCCAAAATAACTGAATCTGTTACAAATTGTCTGCATAAATTAATCTTTTTCAGTTTTTTTTAAGAGATCAAAAATATTTTCATATTAACCGAAGAAGAAACCATTATTTGCAAATCATATTTTGGACTTAGTCGTAAGTTCTTTGGTAAAATAGGGTCCTGTGTATTAACAATGTGTAAGTGAGTAATCAGTATGGTGTCTGCTGTCAGATTCCTTAAATTTAATTTCCTTTGCGACATTTTGCTCATTTTAATCATTCAAACAATTGAGCGGCAATTTGTCTTTGTACTTCAAAATCATATTCTTTCTGTCTGCAGAATATAACAATACATGTATCAACAATCTCATATTATGGCATATTTCTGCATGTCCCCTACATGCAAGATAAACTATGTTAAGATGCAACTAAAGTATGTAGATTTATCTTGCATGTAGGAGGCAGAAATATGCCACCATATAATAATCAACGGAAAGCAAAAATATATTTATAAGACATTGTGTAGGAGTGAAAATTAGTTTAAGGAGGAGAAGGACCTTGAGCTGAAAAAATACTTGTCATTCAATTTTTTTCATATTTTGTATATTTCTAATTAAGTATGTCCCACGTGTCTTAAAGCAGTTATAGCATTAGGTTTCTCACCTTATTTTGGAGATACTGATTGACAAATACTATGCCCTACAGTATCTAAGTGGAGTTTTAATTCTTCATGTTCCCGGGCTCATTACTCTGTCCATAATGGGATTTTTTAAGCATATATAAAAAATATCAAAGTGGACATGTATCTTTTAAAATATTTCAGAGTATAACTAGGATTTAAAATTCGAAAAAGGAAGTTTTGTCTATCACAATGCATCTGGATAGGGAAAATTACACACTTTTTAAGACAACTTAAACAATAAAAAACGTAATTTACAAAAAAATTCTATCATTCGATAATTTTTAATTTACGTTGAAATGCAAATCCTTCAAATTATTGATTATCTGTAAAAATTTGGAATGGTGAAGCTGACCTCAATATTGCACAGGACATCGTTAAAGATGACATAAGCATGACAAAAACGTGTCATGTTACATTTCTCGAGTACGGGAAAAAACAACTATGACGCTACATGTAAGCTAAATAAGCGAAGTAAGATATAGGTCTACATAAGATTTCCGTCATCAGCCATGCAAAAATAATTTTCGTGTTCCCCGTTTCTCAAAATATTTCATCATATACTGATTATGACCTGTTTTTACATAATAATACCGCCCCTGTGTTCACCGAGTATGATCTTGCTGTACTAACACATCGTGTATGACGTCACCGACTTGTTAGACGCGCAGTTTAGGGAAACAGAGGCGTGGATCAATCTTTTTCATAATTTTTTGATGTTTACAAGAATGTTAAAACTTTTTAATTTTTTTTTATATAAGATGGTAATTAAAGTTAAAAAAATTGTCAAACAATTATACAAGAACTGATGCTTTACACATTTTGCACTTATATAAACGGAGACTATGACGTAGTTAAACAGAGTCATGTGACCATGTGTCCTTCATCCCCTTAAGGATGACCTTTACTCAGGTTTCAGAAGACAGAAAGGAAATTTTGTAAAGTACAATATGTTAAATCAAAAATTGTTCTAAATGGATAAAATAACCAAGTTTTAACTCAATATCAATTTAAAGATTTAATATTTTATTATTTGAAGAAATTATGCAAGAAAAAACGTCAATATATGGTAATGCAGAGGAAATTCGGAATAAATTTTTAATTTTTCATTTTTGTCATAAAGTTTTATTTCTTGCAATATTAATTACAAAGTAAAGGTTACATGTAATTTTAAACATAATTTTGCAAATATTATGTGTGTTAAAGCTCATGAATTATTTCAAATAATTGAATGCCATGAAATAAAGAAATTCAAAAATATGAACAAAAACCATTCCAGACAACATATCTCAATAATTTGATCATTGACATCATATAATATTAATACTATTAGAATAAGGTCAACAAATGTAAACTGAGGCTATAAATAATTTAGAGTTCTTATCATTCAGATTTTTGTAATATTAGATTAAAAATGGGAAAAAATAGAAATCTGACGGAGGAAATTCGGGCTGTAATAATAAATAAGTTTATGGCCCAAACTCTAATCGTTTATTTATATGAAGCAACGCTGTTCCATTCCTATTATATTTCATTATTGAAAGAGTTTTGTTGCTTGTAATATTTTGTGAGTAAAGAAAAAACTGGTCATAGTATGAAAAATTGAGGTATTTTCCGAGAAATACTCAGGGGCCACTAGCATGAAAAGTAGGTCATTGACCTAGTTATTTGAAATTGAAATTTAACACAAGAATCATAAGTGTTCAATGTGCAATAGGTGGTTTTTCGTTCTTATCAGTGGAATTTTTTGTCATCTGAGTAAACGTCATCCTTAAGTGAGAGTAAAGGAGTGTGCTTAAAAAAACAATTCAAAGGGAGGGATCAATTTATGTTAGTAATGACATTTAACTTTCCGTTAAGATAAACATGCTAGCTATAAAATGCTTTCGTCAGACAGGCTTGTAGCTTTTATGGTATTATTTTAGAACAAGCAAACATTTTAAAAATTGGTCCCAATATTATAGGCAACAGGCCCGGATCTGGGAGGAAGGGAGAGGGGGATGCCTAACGACATAACAAAGCCTTTCTGTACTTTATTTTAAGTTCTATTTGAAAACAATTTTAAATGTTATTTAGATCCAATATCAGTCTTTCAATACTAAGACCATAATCTAAAAGGTTTTCTTAAAGATCCAAATAAATTGGTGTAGCATTCCTTCTTGCCCCTTAATCTCAGCGAGATTCGTCGAGCCATAAAAATGTTGGTCTGATGTCAGACCAAAATTTTTTAGTCTCTACGAATCTCGCTGTCTGAGATTACTTCCAAATATGCTACAAAAAGATTTTTTCCACCTCAACAGTTGTTACATGTAGTTATGTGTAGTTATTTTAACGGATGGCCAACAATGTAATAACATTACGAAATTTGAATTTTTATAACAATTATGCCCTGTTCACACGGAGAGTTTAATTCGTAGTAAATTAATGCGAAGTAAAATGATGCGAATTAAACTAATGCGAATTAAATTGCGTTAACACGACAGCTAATGTGAAGAAAATTAATGCGAATTATAATTTTAAAAATTTCTGCAATAAGGCTATTCAGTGAGGCTATTATGACGTCATTTACAAATCACGTCATATTGTGCAGAGCAGATACACATTTGACAAAATGTCAAAGTGTCTGTGCACATTTTAGTGATTAACATAATTTTCCTTTGTTTTCCACTCAAAAATAGCACAAGTACCTATATTTGACATGTTGGTTCAGAGTCCTGTCGACATGTGGTCTGTGACTAAATTCTGCCCTTACGCGTGCGTCAAAATTTAAATTCGAATCAATTGATTAGCTTCGCTTAGCGTTCACACGGAGCTAATGCGAAGTAATTTAATGCGCAGTAAACTAATTCGAATTAAACTAATTCGCATTAAATTCCCTGTGTGAACGCGGATCAAATTTAATTCGCAGTAACTTACGTTTTAATTCGAATAAAACTCTCCGTGTGAACAGGGCACTAAATTACCGCGTCACGCCTTGATCAATGAATAAAGGTCTGAATTGGTCGCCGTAACTTACTTGGGGAATTTCTACTTTCGTTTTGTTTTGACGAGACGGTCATGTCTGGAAGTGGAAAGACAGTCCCAGGGGTTTGTTGACTTCATTCTTTATAGAAAGGCTATTTTTCCATTCCTTATATATGCTTACTTTGTGCATTATCGTGCATTGCTAATGTAATTTTGAATTCTATCAAATAAAGTCATAAAAACGAACATGCATTCGTCTACGCTCCAGAAATATTTATTAAATGTAGTTTTACTTTAATAAAAAGTATTTCAAACATAAGAATAAAGAAAGAAATAAAATATTAATTAATCAGAAATTTTATTCAGATTGTCAAACAAGTCCTGACCTTGTTTGTCTGTTTTTTTACATTCCACGTGCAAATCCATTTTCACTGATACAGGGCTGTGTTGACCCATTTTTGTTAAGAGTCCTGTAGCCTACCCTTTCAATTGGGAGTTTTAAATGAAAAATGGTAAAATTTGGAAATATTCTTAACTTGACTATACAATAATGGACTGTTTAGTAGGGAGAGGTTACAAATAATGAGGTCTGAGTATGGTTGTCGCCCAAAGCATTTTACCTCATAATTTGTGATGTGTCCCTACTTAATTGTCCATAATAGTTTTCTTATCCTGAACAATATAGATTGTAGTAAAATGAAGAATAAATAGCATAAAATATTGATAAGCAAATTTCTTGTGTTCTTCTGCATTCAAAATACTGTAGTCTTTGACATGTCACTGCTAAAATTTATTGTTTACTGATCTCCATAAGTAATTTATTTAAATTATATCAGTTATCTCAGAATTTATTGTTCACCGATCTCCATGAGTATTTTATTTAAATTACCTCAGAGTTTAGGGGCGGATCCAGCAAGTTTTGGAAGGGGGGGGGGGGGGGTCCAGGTCTGTGCTTCCATTAACACTTATGCGTAGAATCATACCACAGGCTCTTCAAGCCTGTAGCAACAGTTTTCAAAGCGAGCAACCTCCGAAAAAAGTTGGCTTCCCAAAAAAACTTAAAAAAATATTCTGACATATTTTTCTTTGAATAATTAACATTTTGAGTTTGATATATAAAATAAATATGCTAAATATAAATAATATGAAATACATAATAACACCACTTGTGTAAAAAATATTTGTTTCACAACAGATATAGAACTTCTTTGAATAAATTATTCTTATTTGTGAAGAAATGTTTTGTTCATTTTAATACAGAAAAAAGATTTTATAACTAATTCAACATATCGTGATCCATATCGTATCTTGGCTCTAATGGTGTGATACATATCGATATAGAAAGAGTTGTATCGTCCCAGCCCTTACTTCCTATGGGGACATTTTTAACCTTTCTCTTTATTGAAATGTCCCCATGATATAAGGGAGAAATGTTCTCTTTGAATACTCCCTTTCCTGACTTTTTATGCATACTTCTGAAAGTTAGTTACTTCAGAAGATGGTCCAGAAATGGCATAGCTACTAACTTCACTGGAATCTTCCAATGATATCAAAGTGAAATCTTGCATGATACTTGTGGTTGGTCGGGGCCCTGGGTCGGGGCTGTGAAGGTGCATGGAGGAAAGCAAATGAGGAAAAATAGAGGAAACTCTATCTAGCTAGCTGAAAGGGCAGAGATTGAACTACTTACTTTATTCAAAGTATTAGATGTAAAAATATCTATATTTATTTACAGAAAGAAAAAAATATATCTCTCTCTGCAAAAATATAAAGGGGGGTTCCAACCCCCGGAACCCCCCTCTGGATCTGCCAATGGAGTTATCTTGCTTATCATGCTTATGACATAGGCTTGTTGTTAACAATAGTTTTCACTCTGTGTGCTTGCTTGTTAGTCCCCTACCGGTGAAACCGGAGGGGACTATAGGTTTCCTCTGAGTCTGTCTGTCCGTCTGTCTGTCCGTCTGTCCCTCTGTCTGTCTGTCAGTCTGTCCCACTTGGTTTTCCGCACTTTTCTTCTACACGCTTGCAGATATTGAGCTGATTTTTGGTGTGTGAGTGTATCTTGATGAGTTACAGATCAAGTTTGCATTTCGTTCCGCTTCAATGATTTTTGACGGAATTACGACCTCTTCAATTTTTAAGACTTTTCCGCACATTTTTTCTAAACGCTTGCAGATATTGAGCTGATTTTTGGTATGTGACTTAACCTTGATGAGCTATAGATCAAGTTTCCATTTCGTTCCGCTTCATTGATTTTTGACGGAATTATAGCATTTTCAATTTTTAACAGGAACCAGATTACACTTGCCGGTAGGGGACTAGTATTGCTAATGCAATACTCTCAGAATGCTTGTTCTATTTCCTTTACCTTCACAAGATGAAACACTTCCTTTAAGTTTGGCTTAATGGTGGCTTATAGGTCCTTAATGATGGTTTAATGGTTGTCTTTAAGTCACCATTAAGCACCTTTAAGCTACATTTAAGTAATAAATACACCATCATTAAGTTACCATTAAGCCATCTCAAAGTCCTTAATGGATGCTTAAAGGTAGCTTAATGGTGGCTTAATGGTGGCTTAATGGTGGCTTATAGGTGCTTAATGGTAGCTTCTAGACAATCATTAAGTCACCATTAAGCCACCATTAAGCCAGACTTATAGGTGCTTAATGTCCAAACTCCATTAAGCTACCATTAAACGACCTTTAAGCCACCATTAAGTCACCATTACGCAGTCGATAAAACTGCTTTTACGGGTTAAATATTATTTTTATAATGATTTCTTCACAAAAATTATAAATGTCGAGTTTAAACATTTGTTAATTCGGCGAAAATAATGTAAAAGAAAGAAAATAAAAAAAAAAAAAAAATAAATGAAAAAAAAAAAGCACTCCAAATAGGATTCGATCCCACGACCTTCAGACTGGAGGGCAAACGCTTTAACCACTGAGCTATCGAGGCTGTTAAACTTGAAGTGAAATACAAAACCTTTATTTTTAACAAAACTTGTTTGGAATGGTTACAGGTACCTGCACATGTATTTTTTTCCTGATGTTTATATTTATTAATCAATAATACGAATAATTATATTTATATATATATTTTTTATAAAAGAAATTTTGATAAAGTTTTATATTACGTTAATATTTCTTAACCGTGGACCGGAGTTCGGTGTAATGGTGTGAAACAACTTCTTGATTTTGAATTCCTCGTTCTGTTATACGCAGATTTATAAGCATGAAAAGATTGAAATTCAACAGATATAACAAAATTTTGTTATTAAAAAGGAATATATCATCGAAGGAGAACGATTGGGGAAAAACAGATTATAGTTCTTATGCTGCGGATATTTACGATTTATGACAATCTTTGTGTAACAATTAAGTAATAAAATATTTTTGTAACATATCATCTTCAGTTTTAATTCTTTTTATATCATTATGGGTATCAAAATTATTGTCTTTTTGTGTACAATCATAATTTCTAATTTGTTATATGCTTGCGTAAATTTTAAGTTTTGTAAAAAATAGATCATCAAAATCTGTCACTGTACGTTCCCGTGTATAGTTTCCTGTTAATTGACCGGGGACTGGTGGGGACACCTAATTAAGGTCTATTGTCTAACTAGTCGATATACTGTACACTGATTATCTTAACCCGCTTCTCAATATGTATAAATCTGGTCGGATACCCTGTTTAATCTGATCGGCTGTTCTTCTGAAAATTGATTTTGAAATAACAATCACTGAAGACCGACTACATTTTGATCAATTCTTACTTCTGCATTATTTTAAATAAATTCTTACTTCTGCATTATTTTAGATAAATTCTTACTTCTGCAGTATTTTAAAAGAAAGGAAAAAATAACGGCACTTAACCACGAATTAATTCAAATTATTCATGAATTAATTCAATGATTGGCAATATAATCTATACCTTATATCTTTTTTTTAATATCTTAAACATTTCTCTACCCAAAGAAAAATTAAGAGACTTAGAGATATTCCAGAATAAAATGACTCTAATTACATTTCCTATGAATTCGGCAGTGGAACGCGGCTCTCCAAACACGAAAGAAAAATATGTGATTTTTAAAAAAAAAAAATAATATATATTATGTATTTATGGATAAAAATAATTTTAAAACAAGTACTTAAACAAACTGATTTTAGAGAGCGAAAATTTTAAGGCATTTTGGTGAAGCTGTTCTCAGTTCAGTTTATACGCATTGACAAAAATGTTAGAAATAGCGAGGAAAAAATTATGAATTGAATAAGTATTTGCGTAAATCATACTGAAACAACTTCAAACTTAACAAGTTAGTTTAAAGACTTGATACTGGATGCGTTAAGGTGGTTTGATTAAGTTTGGACATTAAGTCACCATTAAGCTGCAGCTTAAAGGTGGCTTAATGGTAGCTTAATGAAGTTTGGACATTAAGCACCTAGAAGCTGCAGCTTAATGGTGGCTTAATGGTGGCTTAAAGGAATTAACTTCTATAAGCCACCATTAAGCTACCATTAAGCCACCATTAAGCGATTGCTTAAAGATGGTCTTTCGTCCTGTGCTTTGAATAGAAACAACACCGTTTGGGGACTCATGAGGGAGACATCAGGAATTGTGTAGTTTGTCTTTTGATACAAAGATAGTCAGTTGGGACAGGGTCCTTTTACCGGACCTGCTTGCAATTAACATTAAGTCCTGAGATATTGAGATATATCCATTCTTTTTTAGGAAAGTTATCTTCATAGCTGACTACTTTCATGGCCGTAGGAACCAGGGGGCACGGGGGGCCGTGTCCCCCCCCCCCCCAATAATATTGCCGATATATAGATTACTATAGAAAACATAGCTACTATATGCTTGTGCCCCCTCAATAAAAACGTCTGATGACCTTTTGTTTTTTTTTTTTTTGCTTGTCAAGGAATTTTTGGTAGTTGATAGTGCCCCCTCAACTGAAAATGTATGGTTGTGCCCCCCAAACTGAAATTGCTTCCTATGGGCCTGACTTTTGTAGACGCAAGTGTGATGCAGTTTACCAAATCACCAATTTGAATAGGTGATATCACTAAAGACAATAAATACCAAGAAGGTGCCTCATACAATTTGGTGTAAAACATGAATCTTCTAAAATGATCTTATTCATCTTTATAATTTTTTTCTTTCACAGCAGCCTCAGCCATCAGGGACTAAACCTACTGTATCAAAAAAGGATTACATCAAACTAGTTTTACTGGAGTATGAGGATGACACTAATTACCCCGAAGCTGTAAAGGAACATGAAGAACTGCTTTCTACCAAAGATTATGGAATTTCAACACCTGGACCTGTGGTTCCTTTTAAAGAAGAAAAAGTTACAAATGAACAGAAAGAGTATAAACCAAATCTAGCTGAAATTTTGTTGAAAGCATGTAATGCTAGAGTGAAGAATTACAGTTTAGCCTGGAGAGAATACATTGACCTGATAGAGAAACACAAAGTAGCAGTCTGCCAGCAGGTGATTTATATTTTACATTTACTGTTCGTGTGAAGTTGATTAATACGTGTGTACTGTTTGAAGATGATCAATGTTCTGGAATGTTTTATAGACTTCAAAACTTAAATGATCTGGCTAAAATATTCTCATTACCTGTTCTTGTAAGTATGCATTGACTATTTATTATAACCAACTTATAAGTTTTGGGGGTTAAAATGATGGGGATGTCTGTCCGTCTGTATGTGGTCTGTTACACTTGAGGTAGCCATCCCTTATCTGCAACTCCTCTTACAACACTGACTGCAATTTAATGAGACTTTCACAAAATTAATAAATACTACTGTAAAGGGAGAGGAGAAAAATGCAGCGGACCAGACTGGGATTTGAACCTGGGCCCCTTGAATCTCCAGGCAGAAGCTCTACTGAGCTATCTGGCCACAAGCAATCGGACCCTTTTAACCGCCATACTACATAGTGGCACTGTGTCCTCCTATCTTATGTTTTCATTGGATACATATGTGGAGTTCCAACAGCAAAACATGAACACATGATGAATGCTGCCATTCTATCTATTATGTATGATATATTGTATTGGGGATACCCATCTCTTATCAGTACCTAGCTTCTTCTATACCACTGAATGAAATTTATTCAGACTTTCACAAAAACTTTATTCCTTAGAGCCATTGTAAACCTCTTATTTTAAATTTTGATGGGATTGATATTTGGTTTTCCCATAGCATAACATGGTTCTAGTCATTCTTGGTACAAGTACAGGGTACCCATTACTTACTGGTAACTCCTCTTACAACAATTTAATGAAATGAATGCAATTTAATGAAATTTTCACGGAATATTTTTTTACATAGTGCCATTTTGCACCTCTTATTTTATGTTTCCATTGGAAAGATATTTCTAATAAGGCTTTCCCATAACAGTACACATGCACCTCAAGGTTGAATTAGCAATAGCTTTTTAGATGACATGTTCCTCAATATAGATAATTTTTCCTAAGAATTTGCCATAATTGAAGTATATTACTACTTTTACAATCTTCCTCACAAAAAAATTAAGATACCTTACCTGGCATTTGTGAAAGATACCAGAGGATGTTATTTACTATATAATCATAATCCAATTAGAAATCACTAGAATTGCCAATAGCAAATTTTTTCAAGTCTTTATCTACTAAGACATTTTGAAAACAATTTAAAATTCATAAAATAAAGATAATTATGGTGAATTTGTTGTATATTACGGAGATACAAAACAGATACAACATGTCATCAGACCTTAATTTGTTCTGGTTTTATTTCCTCCCCTGACAACATTTAGAACATCTATAATTTTAAAAGGGGATCATAGTCTTTTAGTTTTTCTTCAGATGTAGAGGGTTACATGATAATATTTGTAATATTCTAACATTAGGAAGCTCTGAAAGTTAGTCACCCCCCTCACAATGAACCCAGTGAAGGACCAGGAGAAAAAGGCAATGAGTCAAACCAAGAGACTAAGGTGACTGACATTTTATACACAATACACATAATGTTTTAATACTGAATGATGAAATATATTTGTATTTTCTCTTAAATTACTAAACCTAGTAAATTTTTGGTATTTGAAAATAGAAAACAATATTATAAACTTTAAGACAAACAAGAAAAATTTTAAGTGAAAATGCTCCTTGATGTGAATAGATCTGTAAGAATGTAACATAATTCTATAATCATGACAAAATGCCTTGTTCAAAGAATCAGAATTCAATTTATTTTTTTTTTCAGAGAATAATGAATTTAAAATTTAGGCTTCAAAATTTGGTCCTACCTGTGTTTTACTCTGTAAAATTTTGTTAAATGAAATTTTTTTATTGTTTATTTTATTTATTTATTTATTTATTTTTGCAATATTGATTATCAAAGAATATGTTCTTGATCTTCCTTTATTCTCTAAAAGGGTTCAGATATTGTTGACAGTCCACAGACTCCTGACAAAAGTGCTCCACCAACTGGACAGGAACAGGTATTAATCATATTTCATTTGTCAAGTTAATTAAGTGAAACATATGTGTTATGACCATGGTTTGAGGAACATTGATTAATAGAAGTATAAATATTTTGAAAAATTAAAAAAAAAAGTATTTGACAGACCCTTGAGTAACATTATTTTTTGTCTGACCAATCATTAATACAATTGTGATTAAAAGTTACATGCTATTCTGTCCCTTTTCAGATGCCTTAAATACATGTAGATTTATTTAAACCACCTATCTAGTATTAACTGGTAAAAAAGATAATAGTACATAGCATATGTAATTAAATGATGCCCTTTCTCCCATTTTTATCATTCATTTCATTAAATGTGTAATGACTTTATGTTCATAAAATCTCTGTTTTTACTAGTTAAGTAGTATATGATGTTTTAAAAAAAAATGATATTCATACTAGAAAGATGTATGAATGAATTAGATTTTCTTTTGATATTAATTTATAATAAAGCTCAACAAGAGTAAAATTGTATTATCATGGGCCAGTCTCCTCATACAGTATCAAATTGATAAAGATATAATCCCTCTTGGTTTCTGCTACTCACTGAACTCTCTAAAAAGAATTTCTTCTTTTAAAAGCTTCCTTAGTTTAAATTGGCTAAATGGCTATGAGTGTTAATAAATTAACTTGTATATGAACATTACAGAAGCCTTTAGAGGTTGGAGTTCAGGAGCCAGTTAAAGCTGCCCCACCACAAGGAGGCACGGCTAAACAAGGACAGAACGAACAGGTTTGTTTGACATTTATATCAGACATTCATCACCTAAGGGTTTTTATTATGTTTTGATCCAGTATTTAATAAAGCTTTATAAATTCCTGGATCAATCAATTTTTCAGGGGAAGACCTTGACCTTGTTTGAACTTTTGGAGAAAGAGAAGGACAAAGAATCAGAGGAATATGAAGAAGCCTATCAAGACCTGGTCCACATGTTTACGTGTCAGGCCGTGCTTAGGAGTTCATTTCCCCAGGCAGTAAGTCTTGTGGATTCACTTTTTACCTCAACTGGTGGCTTCAGCGTTTTTAATTTTGAGATATGACCTTGGCTCAAGCTCATCACATATTGTCTGTGCATTGTAACTTATTTATGAAGTGTAATCTTATTTTGACATCTTGATTCAATAATCTTATTTTATCCCCAGAATGTGTTACAACAAGTGACGGTCAATATGAGTAAACCAGATGAGGTGCCGGACACCGTGAGAGAGAGGGCGCTGTACAGATACCTGGTGAAAGTGAAGCCAGAGACGTATGATGGAAGCTACAATGATATCTGGAGGGAGTATGGAACTTTATTGATAGCTGAAAATCTACTGGATCTCGCCAGGAAAGCTAATGTAATCAGTTTTACAAGCAGATTTCACAATACATTTATCCAAGACTTTATGATTTAGAACACTTGCAATAACTTAGTGAAAACATAGACAAAGTATACAGTATGTGTGAATATTCTTGAGTATACTTCATTGATTGCCATTTTCCATTAAAACTTATCTTTGTCATCTTAAACAATGTGCACTAATAAATTTTAACAAATTACTGCTCTATAAAAATTAAAATCACTGCATCAGATGTAGTATTTACTTTTAATTTGTTCTATTTAAAATGTTTTTGTTGAAAAGCATAGTGTATTTTAGTAAATTACCATTCAAGATAGATATACATAGGAGTCATTGTAATCCGTTGGTTCATCTGTCTGTTGGTTGACATGATGTGGGCGACATGTCTCCCCAAAAGATGCACTGAAGGTCAACATTATTTAAACACTACATTTTACCTGTTTTCTGCAGGGTCCAGACAGAAATATTTATGTTATAGTTGAGAAAAGACAGTTTTACACCATGCAGACAGAACTTAAGAAGAAGACAGAGGAAGTTGAGGAGCTCTCTACAAGGTATGGATCATGCATACAATTCAAAATGGACCAAATAGTTTGTAATTACTAAAGAGTCCCTTAATTACTACATGTTAACAGAATATTTAGCTCACATGAGTTGATATGTGCCCAACAGAGCTTTATAGATCAAACATAATTCATTCTCAGTCTGTCTTGCTATTTCTCTAGCCTAATACTTAATTTTTCCCCTAAAAAATTGAGTTACAGTGTATATACTTAGTAATCAAACTTGAACCAGAAATTCCTCAAGTAATCGGACAGAAATGATGTTACTATTTCCAGGATTGGAATTTGTTAATGTCCAAATTAAAATATGATTATTAGAGCATGATGTAAGAAGACTTTTAATTTGGGATACCATCGTTAAAAGGTCTAGATGAAATGATAATTGTAATTACATGCATATGCAAGTCCATGTATTTCATGAAATGGATTAATTGGAATTCATTTTAACCTTAGGACTTTATACATTTCATAATAGTGAAAGAAAGACAGATTTTTATTTTGGGGTCATTACATTACAGGATAAGCTTATTGGTGTGAGCATAGTACTATTTAAGTCTCATATTTACTTCTTGATTTTTCTAGCATCCTGTGTTTTAATTTCAGGTTGAGCAGATTTGCCAGTCAACAGTTGACTGAGGGTAACCCTAACATTGCAGACCTGAGTGACGTCCACCGCCCCACCAGGCTCGGGGAGATGTACAGTCAACTGTTTGATGATGAGTGGTCTGAGGCATTTGAGGCCTTAAAACCGACTACAAAGGAGGACGAGGATGAAATCTATCCAAATACACTGACACTGCTACAGAAGATTGTAAAGGTCGGTAAAGAGAGGGTGGAAATGTTTGGTTCTGTGAGAAAATTCTAAAATAGTGTTTGATAAAGTGTTTGCACATTTTATTGCGACATGAAAAAATTGCAGGATAAAAATTTTAAGCTCAGAAATTTCTGAGCTATAAAGAAAGTCTGAAAAATAGAAGTAATGGAGTAATATTGACACCATTTAAATGAGTTTTGATCAAAATGATGTTGTTTTTTTTTTAATCTAGGAAGTTTTTAGTTTTTGTAAAGAGAAATCTCAGGAACAATTACAAAGGCTGGAAAATCATATGATAGATGCCCTCAAACAAGATTCAGCACAGGTGAGTAACATGTAAATACAACACAGAGTAGTTTTCATGTAGATACAGCAAAAAGTATTAGTAAGTAAATGTAGATAACACAGCAAGTAACATGTTAATGCTTAACAACAGAAAGTTACATGTAGATACTGCTGTACATTACAATTGTTTGGTATTCATCTGTACAAAATGATGGGTTTTAAGGATAATTTTGTGTATCTAGTTCAGAAAAGTAAAAACTGATCAAGTTGAAATGTACTTTATTTTTGAAGAATCCAGAAACAAAATTAGTTGATGAGGAAGAAAAAATGGAGGTGGATCAAAAACCAGATGAAGGTGGAGAAGGAAAAGTGGAGGGTGGAGAATCCGGTGAGAAGTCCAAGTCTCCACTGCATCAGGTGGTGGAGAGGCATGCTAAGGAACTCAGAAAGGCAGCATCCAGGGAGACAGCCAAACTACAGGCTCAGGTAGGAATACATTTACTCCTGTCGGCAGCATCTAGCAATTGTTTGCATTTTGTTTGAAGAACACATGTATGTTCTAGTTAATGTTGAGTCCTGACAATATTTAATAAATAAAAAAAATAATACACTACTAGAATATTGATTATTGAAAATAAAATATATTTTCATTTAAACAGATAACTGTTCTTCATTAAAACAGGTATTTATTCAACAAAAACTGTGTGAACTGTTACCGGATGAGAAAGTCCGTCAGGATGAGAGAGTAGTTACCTATGTCAGTAAGTGTGTGGAGCTGTGCTGGTACATGTGTATGCAGGATCCTCCAATGGAGTTGGTGTTCCCACAGAAAGGAGAAACCATGGACAAGAACTTGTTTTCTCACCACGGCAGGAAAGGGAAGGTGGTGGACATCTGTGTCTGGGCTGCTTTACTCCTCCATAAGGAGGGACCAGTGGTGTGTAAAGGATATATCCTTCCAGAGGAAAAAAAAGTAAAGTGATAGTATTTAAGCATCGCTAGCACAGAGGTTTCAGTCCAATCCACTCCCAATAAATGGGAGAAGAGTGGACTGAAAACCCTCAGCTAGCAGAAATGGTATTCAAATAGTATTACGTATACATGTAGTTGCACATAGAAGGACCAAACATAGTTTCTGTGAATTGCAGCTGATATACATTTTCTAACAATATTCACACATCTACATGTATGTTTCTGAGAGTTATGTGTGTAAATTTATGCATAGGTTAACCAGAAAAATCACTCTAATGATTTTTTTTTCTTTTGCAAGGACCTTTATATAGTATATGATTTATTTTACTACTTTGATTACATTTTATATGAATATGAATAAAATATTTTTGATATGTATAAACTTATAATAATGTTTGATGGTGTATGTGAATTCTATTATTTTTTGTCTGCATTGAACAAATTATCATAAAATGCATGAAACTGACAATGAATGTCATGACTTCAAAGAATAAAAGTCGGCAAAACTCAACAAAGAATGATGACTATCAATTAGCCTGATTAGATTTCCAATGAATGATTTATCTCTGAGCAACAATTTCTCATTTATTCTTATTATTTTTTTAAATATGTTTTTTCAACCCTTTTATGAGATTTGGTAGGAAAAAATATAAAAAAAACTTGTTCATGAATAAATGACAAACCTGAAGGTGGGAAAGAAAATGTGTGTCCTATACCAATGTTTTCTTACACAACATTAGTGTTAGTGAGCTGCAATGTGAATATGATGGGAATTGTCAAGGTTTACTCCTTCATATTATCTTCCGGCATACTCTTTTGTAACACGTTGTGCTTCAAGAGGCCTGTGATAGGATTAGTTGTAAACCCATATTTTTATGTTGAAAAATCCAAGTATGGACCTTTTTAGCCTCTTGAGATAGGCCATTTAAACTTTAAAAGAAACAGAGTTTGGTACTGATATGATATATGTTCATAAGGTTTATTGTAAGACCTTTGTCCAAGAGAAAGCTTACATTTTTCTATAATTTTTAAAATCCCATCCAGAAACCAAGAATTTGGATAGCAATACCCATTATAATATTTCATAAAAATCTTATAAAGATATATATCTGGCTCAATTACATTAATGTGATTCTCATCCTATTTACATCTAAAAATAATATTTATAGCCCCAGAAGCATTGTGCTACAACATTTTCAAGAAGTGCTGTTAACTGAATGTGGAAACTAAAACTTAAAAGAAATTTTGAAATTCAGAAATTTTTCTAAAAATAACCCAAATCAGAATGTACGATTTCTCAATATTTTTTACTCTCCCAACCCAAAGTCACCTATTATTGATATTTCCTGCGTTTTATCCATATGCTCCACTTACCCAAAAGCCTTTCAAGCTTTGCTAAGTCGAGCAGAACCCTGCAACTGTACATTATACAAGTGACTTTGGAGCTACATATTACAGACAATGTAGCTGCATACACGTTTTATTAAGGCAGTATGTACTTGCTTAAGTAGTTGACATGAAGGCAAAATGTTCACTCTGGTACAGGGAGGCCCGTGATAAGAATATACTTATGCCGGTTATTCATTTATAGAATGTGTATAGGTGTTTTACGCAAAATCTTTTGTTGCATATATTCGTACTTGTTCTTGGACAGTTGGCTAGAGTATTCGTATGGCTTTTGTGTTATATTGATAGAGCTGAACGAGGGCTGTCCAAAAAGTTCGGAGACAATGCGTTTTCATCATATTCAATGTTTTAATGATAACGTCTTGAATAAGAGATTTAGTATTTTCATCACGTACCGATTATCTTCCACCACTTGCGAAGTATCCAAAATAAAACACACCAGCACCACAAAAGTTTATTTACGCCCCATTCATTAGTTACCCTATTTTTTATTCATTTGAAATAGAATTTATTCAAAAACTTTTAGATTGGAAGAAGAAAAGTCTTGTTGTGGCCTTCAACTCGATTGGGGTATCTAGGACAAATTACCAATTAATAATACAGTTACTTCCATTCATATGTCGACTCGATGTACCCCAGTGAACTTGAAATTAAAGATCACAAAGTCTAACACATCATTTTCTTATTTCGATACTTTACTAGAAAAAGGCTTTAAAGGACTTATCGCATGTTTCTAAATTATTTGAAATTAAAAGCGTATTACGTTCCTTATGTCCACAATTTATAAATTCTGTGTTTTTACTGTGAATAAATCGCGATAATTAACCAATTATTGACTCAAATGAAAACCCCTAAATTAAAAATCTAAGTTAATTAGATAGCAATCACGTGACCCTGTGACGTCAAAGACGACAATGGCTGATCAGCTCTTCATTAATCTTACTAAAATATACACGATACAACCTGAATTTTCTGCGTTGTGGACGACCAAATCACTTATTTTATTGATATAAAATTGAAAATTCAACCTTATATGTTAGAAATGTCAGCAAGAAAAAATCTGTTAACATTGTAAAAATAGCAGCGACGATAGCGAGGGAGACTCAGCGAAGACGAAGAAACTTGCCATAACAATGCAATTTGATTTGTCATCTTATCACATGTATTAACTCATTTGATTCACAAATTAAACATTACTTTGTTATTCTTCGTTTTGTATATAATATTAATTTATGCAAGTCTTCATATGTTTTTAAAGGATGGCGATCTTGAAAAATAATATCCTGATCACGAAACATTGCCGTAATTAGAGCTACAGATTCTAAATGTTTTGAATAAGAAACGAAAATATTTTAAAAGCCTTATACCTTAGAACTAATTAATGTTTCTATAGTTATTGAAAAGCAAATAAGGAATTAATTTTTTCAGCATTTTTCGTAATTTAGCGGCATTTGTCATTGATAACTCCATTAATAGTTTGCATATTCTCATCTCTCTATCACCGAATTGTCGCCTATGACGTCAGAGCAGTATTTCGCCGAAATCCGACTGAAATATGCATATTGCCATATTTGAATTTCAACTCTCAATATCTCTTAAAATATGCTTTCAACAACGTTTATTGTATTCAGTATTTCAATAAATAAGGTTATAGATAATATTTTTCATAAAATTACGATTTTTGAAAGATCATGCGATAAGTCCTTTAATGGAATCTAACAACAAACTTTATGATATACGTGATGACTTTTAGGGCTGTGTATTGAGCAAAAAATATGATACGATACAATAGAATAATTTATAATGCGATATCCGATATATTGGATTCTTTAACAAATCTATCAAAAAGGTCTTATAAATCATTTAATGTATGAATTTTATAAAAACTAATTGTTATATAACCCATTTCGAAGGTCTTGTCTCACTATCTCTACAAATAACACTTCAAATTCAAACTTTTAACGACTGTAAAAACAACATGTTAAAATAAAGTTGTCTATGTAATTTATAATATTTATCTAAGATGTGGTATATCCATAATGATTATATCATTATTGACCAATTTTGATTTATAACAGTGAAAATATAACCTTTGGTGATTGAAATTCCCAACTTTTTCACAGAATTATGAGAAAATTTGCCTGTCCGATACGTATTGGAAGTTATTTTTTCGATACGATATATTCTTTTAAAATATCGATACGTATCGATATATTGATACAGCCCTAATGACTTTAACTTTTCTATCGTCAGGTTCCCTTAATTATATAGCAATATACCGTTATCATCTGCCTATGGTGTTTATGCCTCCCATTTGATTCGATACACAAGAGCATGCTGTACATATGAACAATTTCTAAAAGGAGGCAAGCTTTTAACAAAGAAGTTGAGGAAACAAGGATATCAACAGTCTCGTTTGAAGTCATCATTTCGCAAATTTTATGGTCGGTATAATGACATTGTCAGCAAAAAAAAATATCGTTGGATCAAATTTGACTGACTCTTTTCATAATAATTATAAAGCCATTATTTATAAATCGAAATATCACGGACTTTTCCGTTTTCACGACCATAACAAAGGAGCACGCGGCGGATGTGACCAGCCGACAGGGGATGCTCACTTCTCCATGGCACCTGATCCCGCCCCTGATGTTTTTGGAAGTCCATGTTTGCTCTGCTCCCAATTTTGTATTGTTTAAATGGACTTTGAGCTTGAGTACTGTTTGTTAGCTCCATATCTTATTATTGATAAAATTGAACTGAAGTTACTCTTTTTCACATTTTGTTTGTTATTTAACAAAGATATCTGTTGTTTTCTCCGAAATATTTGAAAAGATATTTTTGTATGATTCCGTATGAAATGAAAATATTCACTGTGTAACTTTCTTTCATGGTTAACCCTGTAAAAGATTGAACCTATGACGATGACTTTTTTTACCTCGAAGCTGTGAAGAATATTTTGAACTACTCTCTACCAAGGATAATCGAATCGTAATAATAATAATAATAATCAATTATGAAAACGGGTATAACAAACAGTTATCTATCTAAAACAAACTCTCAAAACAATACAAATATGTGAATAGGGCACATAAAACACAGGTCGACCTCGTGAATTCCAGAGGTGGGATCAGGTGCCTAGGAGGAGTTAGCATTCCCTAATGACCGGTCACACCCGCCATGAGCCCTATGTATTGATCAGGTGGACGGCACACTCCATAGTCAAATTTAGTGTTTAACAATTTGTATGAAACACGTCAGCCAAAATACGACGCAATAATAGATTAAATTTGCTAACAAGGTCATTATAATAACCATATAATTTTTGAAATGCTGATCTTAAACGCGGTTGTCGAAATCCCTGTAACACCAAATTATCTCTCAGTGACCTGACTAGGTTTAAAAATTGATCATAGAGCATGCTGTTCAATATGTAGGAACACGTGAACACCATATGAAGATGATAGTGGAGTATAACTACATAGATAAGGGAAATTGACGATGGAAAAGCTGAAGTCATCTCGTTTGTCATACAAGTTAGTTGCTGGATGACCCTAATCGTGTATAGTCAGTATGGTTTTGATATATTGAAAGTCTAGTCTTTCATACATTACAGTATTCAGATGGATTAAGAAATTCATAAGAGGAAAAGAAGAGTTTAATGATTGCAATCGAACTGGTTCAAGACCTTGAAACTCTGTCAGAATGAATAAAGCCTTAGGTGTATAAAGAATCGCATTAAAATATTAAGGGACAAAAGAGAACTTTGTATAATCCTTCCGTTATCAGTATACAAGAAGTGATAAATGAATTACAAAAAATGCATGGAAAATAAGTTTTGTTTCTAGCTGACAAAACTGTAACCACTATGGTCTTTGTTCGTACTGCTCATTATTTCGACTCCTTGTAAAAGACTCGGTTTTAATTCCATTTTTCGTAATCCAACCTATACTCACTCAGAGTTTCCTTTCAAAAAATGAAATTCTTAAAAACCACCTTTCAGTTTTAAGTACTTTTAACATTCCAGTTAATATGAGTTTGATTTACCGCGCCTATACTGAATTGCAAAAACTTCATAAATAAAAAGGGTCCAGTAAATGTTCAACCAAGCCCCTATCCTTTTTCCTTACCAAACTATTAACTGCTTGAAAGATTACCAAACTATTAACTGCTTGAAAGATTACCAAACTATTAACTGCTTGAAAGAGTTACCTCAGGCATATTGTGTAACTATATATTTAAGTAAAACAAATGTAGATTTTAAAACCTCCAAGCAACTGTTAAAATAAATTAAAATCTGGGAAAAAAAATTCAAACATGAAGTATGAACGAACAGTAATCAAGCTCAGTAGGAGCAGAACAAACACGGACTTCTTGAACCATCAGAGGTGGGATCAGGTGCAATGGGATTTATGGATTTATATGGGATTCCGAAACTTCATAAAATCCTTACAAAGATACATAGCGGGTTCCAGTAAATGCTCTACCAAGCTTCTTTCTTTACTCCTCACTAAAATATTAATAGCAATGAAGGAGAAGCTTCAGGAATATGTGCAACAATTTATTCGAGAAAGGTGTAAATCAGATGTGGATACTTAAAAACTCTAAGGAACTTTTCAGAAAATTTGAAATCAAAAAATTTTACCAACATCAGTAACATCAAAACGTACGACTTTTCAACACTTTATACCACTATTCCCCACGATAAGTTAAAACCCAGGCTTTTTGACATCATAGACAGCTGCTTTTTCAATAAAAATGGAACTCGTAAATTTACTTACCTTGTCATTGGTCATTTGCAAAATTATTTTGTTAAAAAACATTCTGATTGTACACACAGGTACTCTGAAGTTGATAATTAAAAAGATGCTTGAGTCTCTGACTGACAATATGTGGTTATTGGAGACAAGGTCTTCCAACAATCTGTTGGCATTCCCATAGGTACTAATTGCGACCCGTTCTTATCAGACCTATTTTTGCATTCATATGAAGCAGAATTCATTCAAAATCTTGTACATGAGAAAAAGAAATCTCTTGCTGTGACCTTCAACTCGACATTTAGATATATCGACGACGTATTCTCAATTAACAATAGTTATCATAAGTCGACACGATATATCCCAGTGAACATGAAATAAAAGCTACCGCAGAGTCTGACACATCTGTTTCATATTTGGATATTTTACTAGAAAAAGACGTTAATGGTAATCTAACAACAAAGCTTTATGATAAACATGATGGCTTTAACTTTTCAATCGTCAACTTCCTTTACTTATGAAGCTATAAAATACGTATGTACAATTTCTAAAACGAGGTAAATTATTGACAAACAAGTTGATGAAACAAGAATATCAGGAGTCTCGTTTAGAGTCTTCATTTCGTAAGTTCTATGGTCGATACCATGACCTTGTCAGCAAATACAATTTATCATTGAGTCAAATGCTGACTGACGTTTTCATACTTATTGTTAGGCCATTTTTTACAAACTGAATTGTCTACGGATTTTACCGTTATTTCTCGACCATGACAAGGGGTACACGGCGGGTGTGACCGGGCGGCAGGGGATGCTCACTGCTCCATGGCACCTGATCCCACCTCTGATGTTTTTGAGGTCCGTGTTTGCTCTGCTCCTATTTTGTATTGTTTAATGGACTTTTGAGCTTGAATACTGTTCGTTATCTCCATAAATTTCATACCCTTATCACCTGCAAAGGGGGTGTATATCTCTCAGTTGATTCGATGCGCAAGAGCATGCTCTACGTATGATGAACGATTTCTTAAACGAGTAAATTATTGATTAACAAGTTAATGAAACAAAAGAATCAACAATCTCGTTTAAAGTCATCATTTTGTAAATTCTATGATCGATATAATGGCATTGTCAGCAAATGCAATCTATCACTAAGTCATATGCTGACTGACGTTTTTCATACAAATTGTTAGGCTATTATTTACACACTGAATTTTTGACGGATTTTTCCGTTATTTCCCGATTATGACAAGGAGCACACGGCGGGTGTGACCGGTCGGCAGGGGATGCTCACTCCTCCATGGCACCTTATCCACCTCTGATGTTTTTGAAGGTCCATGTTTGCTCTGCTCCCGCTTTGTATTGTTTTAATGGACTTCGAGCTTGAATGCTGTTCGTTATCTCCATACTTCTGTTAAAAATCATTCTGATTCTATAAGTACACTAAATTGTTCATTTCAAATATGCTGGATTCGTCCTTGACAATATTTCTGTAATCTTCGGAGACAAGATCTTCTAGCGATCGTATTTTCTGTGTCTGCTAAATGATAGAGTAAAACAGAGAATAGAAAGTGAAGAACGGATAAAAAAGTAGTCTGGCTTAAACAAATATTTTAATATTATTTATCAATTTATAAAATTGGGAATGACATTTCAATTTAACTTATAATTGAGATGAAAATTTGATTGCAGGTCATAGCAGTAAGTGATCCAACAGAATTACGTTATTCCATAAAAAAGGCACATAAATTCCTTAAATTAACTTTCAGTTTATGTAGGCAAGGAGCCGAAATAAGAGCTGTTTGGCCGATATATCGAATGTCATTGTTGACATTTTTATAATTATAACAAAGACAGTAATTCATACAAAAATGACAGTTTTATCAAACATCAAAATCTATGAATGCAAAATTATAAAAATTAAAACACTGTGTAATAGTACCATGTGATAAGGCATTATTTTAAGTTGTGAGCTTCTTTTGAATTTTGCAACTTTAAAAAATTAAAGCTCTGGTTCATTAATTAAGACGCCGATAAATAGCAATTTTAACACAAGTTATAATAAACATGCCTCAAGACCATAAACTGAGAAGAGGCTTAAGTCAAAATTTCAAACCAATAAAACTTTTAAAAATAATTTTGATAATGAAACAAAATTTTCATCATACGTTTGAATTTAAATGTTTTACAAAATTGCAAATTTTTAAGCAAATATGTTGAATAAAACTCAGGCTGTTAAAAATAATAATTTTGACTTAAGTCTATTCTCAGTTTATGGTCTTGGGGCCAGGACAGTTCTTGAAGTTCGTACATACATATCAAAACATAGACCAAAATGCTTTGCTGAAAAAGCTATTTGATATATAAATACTTTTTACAACAGTAATAGCTAATAAAACTGCTTAGTATGACCAAAGCCAGTCCTATAAGACCATAACACGTTATCAAGTGATAAAATGTGTAACGAAACACGATCACGTGACACCAGTTTTTAGGCTCATGAAGGGGTTGTTCAAAGTTTGGTTTCCAGGTTTTGTAAAACCATATATTTCCCATAACGAACCACACGGATAAAAATACGTTCAGTATAAATCCAGTGAATTTTGTGGTTCTGCGCATGACAGCGTCTTCTGTGTCAGCGTCATCTTCCTCGTCATCGCACGTGTCGCTGTTCCTTTTCTTTTGATTCCACAACATTAGGAGGACCTTAATCAGACCGAAGCTGCCACCTACCAACAGGTAGATTGGAATACGTGGCTCTATAGGACATTCATTACGGTATGTTGATCCTGAAACAATATGTTGGTAATAGATCATTCTGTTTGCTATTTAAAGCTTTAGACAGACCACACATTGAATATGCTAGTAGTGTACGGTCATCTTAAAAAAAGAAGGACATTGAAGCCATAGAGAAGGTCCAAAGAAGAGCAACTAGAACGCTGCCACAGTTGAAAAAATTGAATTATGAAGAACGATTGAAGATTCTTAAACTACCAACATTGAAAATCCGGCGTATGAGAGGGGATGTGATTGAAGTATTTAAAATTATCACTGGAGTATATGATAAAAAAAAGTTACATCTAATTTATTTCAATTAAATGATACACATATCACTGGAGTAAACAGCCTTAAAGTAGTGAAACATAGATGTAACAGATGTGAGAAAATACAGCTTTACAAATAGATTAGATGAATTGTGGAATGCCTTGCCAGACGCTGTCATATAAGCAAAAACTGTACATCAATTTGAAAACAGACAAATACTGGGAACATCACTCACTCAAATACGATTTTACACAGGAGTATGGACCTTATACCAGAAAAGACTAGTGAAAAAATACCACGATGAAGAAAAGCTGCTTATAGAGCACCAAAAGGTGCTGCAGGCAGAATCAACATAAGGTAAGGTAAAACAAGCATATTAACATTGAAAACAAGCAAAAATTTAGCTGATAAATTTGTATGTCTGTCCATTAAATATTCCACCAATTGAAAACTTTCAAATATGTATAACAAGTGAAATTATATTCTTCATCTTTTCTTACATTTTACAGGTAAAAAATCATTATATAGTATTTGAAATAAAAAGCCGTTGAGCTACCTGGTCTCCTAAACATTAGCTTACCTACGGCTATCATGGACATCGGTAAAGCTGTGAGCATCAATAAGAATACTGTACTCAGAACTAGAACGTAGAAGAAAACAACACATCAAAATTACAGAGGAAATATCCGAAAAAAACAGTTACTTAAATTATAAATTGTAATCAAAGTAAAAACAAGAAATGCTTGTGAAACACTGATGCCCCGCCCCCATATGACAGCTTATGGCGAAGGTTAAAGTTTCTCAAATACAAGTCAAACTCCAAGATCAAGCGATCAAAAATGTTGTAACCCAAAGAAAGGAATTAAGTTAATGGATATACCTGGTAAATATCAAAGCCCAAGCACCAACCATTCAAAAGTTTATGGTCAAGGTTAATGTTTTCTAAGAGTGTGTCAAACTCTAAGGTCACGGTCAAAGGGTCAAAATTAATGGTACGCAGGGCCGGGAAACCTTGTCATAAGAAATACACAAGCAAAATATAAAAGCCCTAGCACTAACTATTCAAATGTAATGGCATAGGTCAAAGTCAAAAGTTCAAAACTGTTGGTATTCAAATAAAGGTCTTGTCACAAGGAATACACCTGTGAAACACGAAAGCCTAGTACTAGGTGTTTAAAAGTTATTGCCAAAATTTTTAAAAGTGGGTAAAACTCTAAGGTCAAGGTAAAATGGTCAAAAAATATTCACACCCATGGAAAGTTCTTGTCGGGATAAATATACATGTGAAATATGAAAGCCCTAGCACCAACTGTTCAAAAGTTATGCCAAGGATAAAGTTGGGTAATTTTTTTGCAAAAGTGGGTCAAACTCCAAGGTAAAGGTCAATAAGTCAAATATGTTGATACTCAGAGGAAAGTCTTGTCACAAGGAGTACACATGTGAAATATTAAAGCAATAGCTCCAACCAATCAAAAGTTTTTGGAAAGGTTAAACAAATTGCGGAAAAACAGACAGACAGCTAGACAGACAGACAGACAGAGGGAAGGACGGACGGACAGACAGGGCAAAAAACTATATATCTCCGAATCGTCGATTACGGGGACATAAAAAAGGGCTTAGAACCAGACAGAAGAAGAAGAAGAAAAAGTGTTTTTAAATATCATGGTAGAAATCCCTTAAACTTTAAGTGGCCACTTAAATGACCAATAAAAATAATATTCTGACTTCCGTTGTTCAGTGCTTCCCCCCCCCCCCCCTAAACCCCCCTTCCCCAAATTATTAGGTGCTCGGAGAATCATTCTTTGAAACGATTTTAAAATAATAATCGTTTTAGCACAATCGATGACTGAAGGAAGTTTCCGTTTCATTTTCTCTTACTTGTGCTCCACAGAACCCGGTACGTCCTTGACAGGAAGTCGACGATCCCCTCACAGTCTGAGGTGTTCTCCTGGATCTGAGACAGAACACTGCCGTAGGAGGACGAATCACCCTGAGAAGTGGCAGTAAGGCGACTGGAACTCTTGTACACTGTCCTTTCGTCGTCCAGTGACTGAAAATTTAATATGCGAGATTGTGAATTTGTGACTAAAAGTTAAGTACATTTGGCTGATTTATTGATTGTATGTTGCTTTACGTCCCATGCATTCGAGAATTTTTTTCACTCATATTGAGACGTCATCATATACACCGATGGAGGGCTTCAAATTTAGATCTATTCTCGGCACTCGAGGTCATTGAGCGGAGAGGGCTCTTGCCAACACCTACCGTGACCTCGAACCTCGGTTTTAATATGGAATCATTCGAAAGACCTCTGACTTTCACTTTTCGTACCGGACGCTTGGCGAAGAAACAGTCAATGCCTATTTTATTACGTGTAATGTTTGACGCAGCGACCGAGAGTCGAATCCGTGCCTCCTGATCTTGAAACGAAAGCCCTACCAATATAGGCTACCATGGCAATTACAAGAGACTTAAAAGTTAAATACCATTGATTAAAAATTGAGTACCAGTAACTGAGATTTAAATATAACTTATTAAAATTATATTTCATTGTACATAAAATCCAGTGTCCAAAACTTACTATAATGTACACAATACTTTCATCAGTGTCTGTAAGTAAATGACATTGTACATTGTCTTATCGTCATACAGTGTGTCTCAATCATTGTAGAGATCCAAATAATCACCCAGTGTCTAAACGTGACTGTCATTAATGACGCCATCCAGTTACTACAAGTAAATATTATTGTATCACTGTCGTCATCCATTGTTCAAAATAATTATCACTGTACATTATAGTTTTATCCAGTGTTTAATAGTGCATATTACTATATGGTATATACATCTGTTGTACATACATTTGTAGTCCTATAATCATTCCGCGTTTGACGTTTCATCTTTGATGATAAATTATATTCTCATCACCTTTTACAGAAATATGAAAAATTGCTGGTAGATAGTATTGTGTGACATTTAGTTATAGAGATTTGTTATGTTTTTTTCCCACTCGTTAGTGTTCTTTTTTTCAAAAGATAACATTGGTCATTGATTGGTTCTAGGTGTTAAGCTTGCTAATGAAAACTTGACAGCAGATGGGGCCCCTTTGTTCTGGACTACTTCAATAGGAATCTCTTCTAATGTCTCTAAGAACGAACCTCTTCATGTTCATATTCATTCATTGTCAGCCTGATGAAAACATATGTACTTTACAATAAAGGCAAGTACCCTTTCTCGGATGAAAATTGTTTCACAAGTAAGTGGGTGGATTCCTACGCGAGACCAAATAATGATGACATGCGTGTATGTTGTAGTTGTGCTTTACGTGAATAGAAACGACGGTCATCATATTAAGATTAAAAAACTTATGAGTTAAATATACGGAAGCATATACGTGAATGTACTATAATGAAAGATTTTGATTCAACAAGAAAATACATATACATGTATTCAAGTAATATCGATGAACCTACCTTTTTAATAACTAAAGAAATGAGGTTTTGTTTTAGCATTGAACGCACAGTGATTTGCGATATCGACAAATCATTGTGAAACTGTTAACATTATTTCATAAACCCCAAAATATCACCATTGATATTTCTTGAAATAACATTTTTAAAACGATCAAAAATATTATATGGACGACATTAAATATTATGCACAAATAATTTATATTAATTGTGAACTAAAAATGACATAAGGCAAGGGTTCGCTATGTCTTAAAGTTAGTAAATATTATAAATATGGGGTAATTATATGAAAAGTCTTATTAAATAACGTAAGTGTATGATTTACTTCTTTGAAATAGCGGTTTCAACCAAACCCTATGTAAAAATGAATTTAGAAAATCCCACTCTTACTTGATATATATAATATATTTGACACCATAATACGTTAAACAAAACCTTTTTGTTCCTATGTAACAACATTTTTCCACAGAGTTGCTGTACATCTATTTGGTCACTAAAGCATCGAGTCAAATGAAACAGCCCTTAACTAGCCCGATTATTATCTCTCGCATAGTGATTGCATCACTAATTCATCCTTCATATAAATACTTATGCACATTTTAAAAACTAGATTGGCGTTATTTTGGGTTATTGTAAGACGTACGAATATTCCTACCTCGCAGCTCTGCTTTAGATTCAAACTGCTAACAACAGTGGGCTTTCTCCTGTTGTTCTTAGCAATGTTGGCAAGAGACCCATACCGGGTCCAAAAGGCACACATATTTTCCCCAAATATACCAGCAACACAAACTCTACTGTTTTCCTTAGTCACATTAGTTCTTCACAATGTTTCGCCCCCATGCGTGATATTTAGCACCCATTATCACTTTGTTAGCAAGAAATAATACTCATCCTTTTTCAAGAACATGTCGATGGGGTTTCAAATGTTTATTATGAATGAACTTCGGAAAAGGAGTCCTCTCATATTAAAAACAGAAATATATTGCCAATTACACTTTATTGAGAGGAAAAAACGAAGAATAAAGAAATCGTTATGAGGATTGGTCGAGAAACAGTGTTATGATGCTCATTTAAAATTTCATCTAGGAAGTACAAATTGTAATTTCTGTTTTCAATTCTAAACCATTAAGTTCTTGTCTTAGCTATATCAATATTTTTAATATCCAATAATTGGGTGTTCAACGGTGTCAAAATATTTATACATGTACTTTTTATCATGTCTTAGTGATGTCTTAGTGAATCATCCGTATATAAAAGTTATTCATTGATATTTGCTCCATTCCTAAAATTTATGTCCCCATAACGCAGATATTATTTTCAGTAAAAGGACTATCTTTAAAATTGACCTAAGAGCAAAGTTGCTGGCGGAGATAGAATGGTTAAAGAAAGATTTCACTGAGGCCCTTAGACGAAAAAAGAACTTAATTTCAGGTATCCAAAATCTTGCTTATTCTCCCAATGATATATTTGAACTACTGGTATAAAACATCACAGGACTATGTAATCCTGTAAACAAACGTGTTTCAAAACCATCAATAGTGAGATGATAATTTAAAAGTACAATATGATAAAGTAATTCATATAGCAATACAGAAATAATGAGTGATTACATATCTAGAAACCAGAAAGCTAAAACTTCCTCAAAACATTATAATTTGTAATTTACTGAATGACCAATCTGTCTACCTGTTCATCCTCCTGCTAATTTGAGTTTGCATGTCGAGAAAGTATTTCCCTAATTTAGCTAATGTTATGCTAGGCAAACTAGGATAAAGAGTGTGTCGTAAACTTTAACAAAGAACTATATTAAAATGTCAAGACTGATCTTGTGGAAAGTTCTTTTTAAGATAATTAAATTTCCTTCGTCCCAATATTACTCAAATTGCACTACTGTATACCGGCAAAATAAGTTGTGTAGCCTAGTAAAATGATAGGTAAAGGTAGAAATGGATATATTCTTTTCTGGGTGATTCTAATATCCAATTTTCCTTGGAAATCACTCAAAATTTGGCATTTGAAATTATTAATATTATCTATCTATTTTTCTTTAGTCCTTGGTCTCAGTGTGCACTTGGTTTGCATCAATTGAACTTGAAACAAAAAACAGAAAATTTCTTTGATAAACTGAAATGAAAAGCATTCACTCAAAATTACATGGAATAGTCTCAAGAAGTCCTAGATACTCCACTACCTAATATTCCAGTTCTTTTCCCTTAATCTGATTGTAATTTATATTGATGATGCAAGGGTATATACAATCTCGCTGGAAGTCAACATTTCGCGAATTCTATGGTCCTTACCATGACCTTGTTTGCAAATACAATTTATTGTTATTTCGAATGTTGCCTGAGTCTTTCAGGCATATTTTGATGCCCTTATTTTCACACTGAATTGACTACGGATTTCTCCGTTTACCCAATCATGACCAAGAGAGGGTGTGATCCAGGCTACAGGGGATGCTTACGCCTCCATGTCACCTGATCCCAACTCTAATGTTTTAGAGATCTCTTTGCTCAGTTCACAATTTGAATTTTTTCAATGGATCTTTGAGCATGATGACTGTTTTGTTATTATTTTGTTCATATTTCATTATAAAAAGCCATTAACTTTAAAGTTTGAGAATGATATTTTGCTATTTAAACAGAATATATAAATTGTATCTAGTCAGAAGGTTTATCGAATAAGATCAATTTCTTGAATAAAAACTCTAGATTAGCTGTTTTCCTGTATGTTAATGCCAAACAGATTGTTTACCTTTCACAGGAAAAGGTGAAGATAACGAATAGTGAAAAACTCATAAATCCAGTAATAAAACCAATTGTGAACAAAGCAAAAATATGGACCCCTGGAAACATCCGAGATGGGATCAGGTGTCTTGAAGTAGCAAACATCCCCTCTCGGCCGGTAACACCCACCGGGAGCCCTTAGATTGATCACAAGAATTGAGGAATCTGTGGTCAAATTTATATTAAAACAAAAGCTTAATATTTGGTGCTAAACATATGCCAAAATATGACCTAATCCAACGATTGCTTATATTTCTAAACACATCTGCTATTCTTCTTATGAAAACTAGAAAATGTGGAGGATAAAGAAAAGGCCGAAAATAAAACTAAGATTTCCTGTTTCTGTTAAAAACAATCATAATTTTTATACTTAACCTCACAAAAAACAAAAAGGGTCATTTTAATGAATTCCTTTTGAGGTTTTCCACGAAAGAATTCACCTTTTTTCGCAATAACTTAGATCCGTCTTTTTGATGTTTACATTTTATTATGATGAAAAAATCTAAATATGATGAACCTGTCATAATAGATAGTAAAATATGGTTCAGGCATTCCTTCTTGTCAAATAAATCATAATTTACCGTGAGATCAAAGGTCTGTTGTGGTCACCTAAAGTCAGCATTGCTTGACAAGTTTTATGGATGAAAATACTTCAAATGAAAAAAGGGGAAGATAACGAACAGTGATCGATCTCAAAAGATCTACAAACAAAACAAATCTGTGAACAGGGCATAAACACCGACCCCCCCAAAATTCCAGAGGTGGAATCAGGTGCCTAAGAGGAGTAAGTATTCCCTGTTAACCGGTCACACCCGCTGTGATCCCTATGGCTTAGGTAGAATGATCATTATGAAATAAAGCATTATAAAAGGTATAAGATCTGGTAAGAGAACACATTTTTTAAAAATAAATCAGAGGGTAACAACTATTTCATCTTTAGTCTCTAAAAACTACAATAGATTTCTGTTTTATCCGTAAAACATTTATATGGTACTCACTCTTCTGGATAAGGCTGCTTTAGTTTGCTGTAGGTCAAAGTAACGATGAGTGCTGAAGGACTCCACGACAGACGGGGCGGACAGACGATGAGGTGCACGGGAAGGAATTTGACCATGTGTTGCTGAGTAGGCAGGTGCAGAAGTTCTCCTTCCCCTCCCTCGGTGCTTCCTTATAATGGTGCCCCTTCTCATTCTTCTATGGTTTGTTAATGCTGTGGGGGGTACTGTCACGTGGTTTAGGCAGTGTTCGGTTTTGTTCTCATTTAAGCCATAGTGTGCCGTTTATTTTACAGTTCCTTGTGGTGAGTTCTTGGATACATTACTAGAATTTGTTACCCGTTAGATAGGTAGGTGTTTGTTCTCGTCACTACCAGCAAAAGAATTGTTGTTTAGCTCATTATCCTTTCTAGAATAGAATGTAAATTGTCACCGAGGGATCAATACACCTATGTCAGGTAATGAAAAGCTGATTTTCCTCAGCTTATATTGGATTTCTCAGATGTAGCAGCCTATGAACAAGTTACACGCAGTTTCTTTCCAGAAAAAGAGCATTTTTGTTATCATGAAATATAATCATACTGTTTAATGATATTAAATGTCTACTATTTTATAAACTAAAAAAATGTTTATTTCCTTCAATAAGATACATGACAATGCTAAATCATAGAAAACTGCATTACAAAAACCACATGTGATATGTTTACTTACTTACTTGATCCTCTTCACGCATTTTCACATAAGGCAGATAAGTTTAAGTTTTTGAATTTCAACAGAAAATAAACGATTTCTCTTTAAAATTATTTCATCCGAGAATCATGTGTACATTAGTTAGGAAGTTTTACTCAACATATTTTAAAGAACAGGAGCCAAATCACAATAATTCCTTATGCAATTTTAATGTGTACTTGAGTAAAAACTTTGCAATGTGTTGATAATTTAAAAAGTCTCGTCTACATCTCGTGAGAAGTCCACGTCTGAATTTTACAAAAAAATAGCTCAGTTACAATAATTTCTCACGTAACTTTTCTGTGCCCATTTGTGAAAAAATTGCAATGTATTTTCAATAAATAAAATTTCATTATCAGAAATAATACAGAATAATCTAACGCTTTCAAGGAAAAGAATTGGCATATAGTATTTCAAACTCTGAATGACCTTTGCTTTAACTTCTTTTTTTTTTGGGGGGGGGGGGTCATTTTGAAAGCTCCTTATAGTTTTAGCAGCAGACAACCTATGTGCATGATTATGATAAGTAGTTTGTTTTTACCATAGAAATGTACATGTATAATTCCTGTCACTTTCTTTCAGTATCAAGCTTCCATAGTAGGATCCATTTTCCCATATATCATCAGATAGCTTAGATTTGAATCTGTAATTATTGCCTTCGGGATAGGGTAGGACCACATTAATGAGTGAATTTTACACGGGAATTTTTCAGAAAAAAATCTTTAAAATTTCAATCCTTCTAGAACAACAGGACCACAATTAAAACCAGATTGTTACACAAGTACCCATAGAGAGCATAGATTCAAATTCATTCAAATAATTGCCCCTGGACATAAAAATAGATTCACAAAAAGCTATCTTATACTCACATGGAAGATATCGGAAAAAATCTTTAAAGATCCTTTTCCTCAAAAACGTCAACAGGAGTTCAACAACCACTCATATTAATATAGAAGCACCCCAATATGGTAAGACGGATTTTTTTAAATCATGTCTCTTTTGGCTAGGATGAGACTAAAATGGGTTTACAAAATTTTACATTGGAATATTTGCTGAGAGTAGCAAGGTAGGAGTAAAACATATTGATATGCAGATATTTCCAGTCGGATATGGATTCAATTATGAGCAAATTAATTAACACTGGGGATAAGGTGGGGTTAAACTTGAAGCTCAGATTTTAGTAAATATATTTGTGAACGGAATCTTTTTAAAAGTAAAATCTTCTCCACAACAGAAAGGCCATATTTACCATGATGATATTAAAGGATCCCAATGCAAATTAATGTGGATTGAACTTATGTTATCTCAAGATCAAATGTAAAAGGGTAGGACCACAATCTGAAGACAAAATTTTTGATGGGAATATATAAGGAAAAATCTTTTAAAACAATGCTTGGAAGAATAGCAGGGTCAAGACTCATATTAAGGTTGTAGTTCTTGAACATCTCTTGTTGCATTGAATAGGAATGTCACAGCTGGGTGGCTAGCTGGCATTCTGTGCTGTAAATATGTATAAACAAACTGCAACCCGACTCCTACAACGATTGGTCAACCTAAAATGGAGTAAATCAGGCTCAAGGTAAGGTTATCAGTTGTAATTCGTATAAATCTTGAAAAAAAAAAAATTATATTCACGTATCTCTAGCGCCTGTAAGCTCCAGTGTCTAGTCTTTCGCTCCTGACAGTCCATTGTTATTCAGGATTTTAATTGTTAAATTGTAACTGCGTTACTTACTGGATGCACGTTTCCGTGTAATTTTATTTTTAAGATTACCAAGAAAACGATCAGAAAGAAGGTGTTGCTTTCATTTAAAGGATTGTTAACGTTTATACCATAAACATGGACGAGGAACAGAGAATTAATAATGCATTGAACAAAATTTTTGAGATAAATAAACCAAAAATGCCAGTTGATTCTCGTTTCCCAAAAGTGAAATCTGCGGGGGAGAACGTACTCGTTAAAGTAGGAAAACATGATCGCAGATTTTGTGTTGATTATAAATATGTTGGTAGCTGGCCTTGTGGAACTTCAGCACTCACTGTCAATGAATGTGATGTCGTCATTCCTGTACGAATTCAAGGTATCTTGGAGAAAACTCACAACCCAGAGTATGTAAAATTCAGACCGTCTGGGCGATCAGTTGATATCTGGAGTGATGTGTTGATTTTGAAGGATATATGAATCCCGTGCGTTTTTCAGAAACTTTTTACAGTTTAGTGGAGCGGGCATTTACGGAAACGAAAAAAGAATTGAACTTTACCCCTACCCTAAGAGGACAAGGTACTGTAGCAGCTACAATTGTTTACCATTTTCCCGGTTTGTATGAAACATCAATTGATCTGGTCCCAATAATTGTTGTTGATCTTAAAGAAGGAAGATTTCACGATTTTTTCAAAATCCCAGGATACGAAAAACTTCGAGACATGCAAGTGGAGCTAGCTGCCAAAAATAACGAATCGGAGGGTTTTGGATGGAGACTCTCATTCTCTTGTTTTGAAACTGACTTAATAAAATCAGTTGCGAAATCACATGCCACATTTCGAAAACTGATGATCATCTACAAACTTATTCGCAGATTCTATCTGGCACCAAAAGAGGAAAGAACATTCCCGGAAAAATACGGTTTTACTCCAGTTTTTAAATCCTACCACATAAAAATTCTTCTTCTTCATGAACAAAAAGATTTTCCAGATCCGAGGCATTGGACGGAAGAGAGGCTTGTCACCAGGTTTCTCTCCATCCTTCAGGGACTGAAAGTATACGCTTCAAATGGGTTTCTTCCTCACTACATTCTTAGCAATGTTAACCTTTTCAACTATGGCATTCCTTTATTTCTGCTTAATCATGAACTTGTCACCGATACGACCTCGTTTCTGGAAAGAATGGGGAAAACTAATTTGCTTAAATAATGGAAGAGACTTGCCTTTCATTTGAAAGGTTTCCATATTCTTTGTTCTAGTTAATTCCTTTTTGTTGTATCATTCTTTTTATCACGTTTATAACGAAATAAATTACATTTGATTGAGGTGAAATTAACAGTAAATGTCTTCCTCTTTCATACGATTCTTTATACAACCTATCTGGTTGATTTTTGCATGTCGGTCATTATTCATACCTATTTATTAGGTCATTGTCTTTATACTTAATTTGGGTACGAATTGCTTTGTCTGTTTGATTAATATGTATTGTTCACGTCGGGTATGATCAGTCGACAGGGAATGTTTACTCCTCCCAGGTATCTGGTCCTACATATATAGTTTTCAGAGGGCCGGTTTTATGCCCTGTTCACAAATTTGTACTTTTAAAAAGAATTTTGAGATTTTGTTATCTTAATCTTTTTTTCATCTATATCTGTTACCTTTTCGTTCGGCTTTAGACACATGAGCCTTTCGATTTAATCACCCATTGTGTCCCTCCCTATCCAAGAGGCATGATTTGAATAAGTTGAATCTACACTACCCGAGCATGGTTTCTTGTATATATGACTCAATCATGGCTTTGTTTTTTTTTTTTTTTGAGAAGATTTTTTAAATCAAAATTGTCCTACATATTCATATGTAATATACTGGTCACCCAATGTCGCCCTACCCTATCACGTTTTGAACAAAATAGAATCTACACTTCCTGATGATGCCTGATCGGAAAAAAACTCTCTTGAGTAATCAGTTCATCAGATCAAAAATAAAGTAAAGTAAGGGATGTCAAATTCTACTTAAGTAGTAAGATTTCAAGTGAAAATGACTGCTGCAATTTGTTAATATTTTTACTTTTTAAAATCGACATATTAACGACTTACTCCTGACAAGAAAACTCAACTTTTTCATCTAAAGCCAGTAGTCGAGACGGATTTTTTTGTTTATTCACATAAAAGTTAAATCCCAATTCCTTACTAGATTGACTTTCAAGTATATAAACCTTACCAACCATCCAATAACAAATACTCAAAAATCTATAATGCGCCAATTTAATTTAGTATATCGGTATCATTTTACTAGAAATAAAACATCGGTTATCATAACTGTATATCTTTACATTTAAGTGTAAACTAAGTATAAAACATTAAAGCAATTCGATTTTAAATTTACAAAGAAGTAATACTAATAATATATATCAAAAATAAATATAAATATCGGCTTGTTGCTCAAGCAAACCTTTTTAAGAACAAAAATGTATCTTTTCTCAATCTGCTGAAGAAGACTTTTTATAGAGATAGCACTATTGAAACAGGAACATTGTTAATCGGAAATACAACAATTCCTCTACCAAGAGAAATATTGGTTCGAATATGTACATGTATAAATTGCGAACAAAAAATTTCTTATATACAAGAATGAATACACAATAATAATGCTCTTCGATACAATACTCGAATTCTTAGTCAATTGTAACGTTTGAAAACATGCAACCTTCCTTTAATGATAAAAACTTTTAAATCTTTCAATAAAATTTGTCTTAAAAATATCAAACACGAAAGTAAAGTCAAGCGATACGACTTACATAATGATAGTCTCTAATCCTTTAATGTGTTAGATAATTTGTATATATTCTACTCATATGAATATGTATGACACTTTGATTCGATACGCCAGAGCGTATTTCTAATACGAGGTACGCTATTGACAAACAAGTTGATGAAACAAAAATATCAGCAGTCTTGTAGACATCATTCGTAAGTTCTATGGTCGATACAATGACCTTGTCATCAAATACAATCTATCATTAAGTCAAATGCTGACTGACTTTTTTCATACTAATTGTTAGGCCATTATGTACACACTGAATTGTCGACGCATTTTTCAGTTATTTCCCGATCATGACAATGAGGACACGGCTGGTGTGACCGGTCGGCAGGGGATGCTCACTCTTCCATGGCCCCAACTCTGATGTCTTAGAGCTCCGTGTTTGCTCTGCTCTTATTTTGTAATGTTTAATGGACTTTTGAGCTCGAACACCGTTCGTTGTCTCCACATATTTCATTTCAATTTATACAGGTGTAGTCTCTTTACATGGTGTGTATATGGTTTTTAAAGGCAAAGGTCTTGGAGCGTAAATCCCTTTACATGGGATGTAAATGTTTTATAAAGACCTCAGTGCGTGTAGTCCCTCCACATGGTGTAAGTGGTTTATAGAGGTCTTGGAGCGTGTAGTCCCTCTTCATGGTGTGTAAGTGGTGGAACGTGCTTCACTCCCTCTGCAGACCAGTCCGACAGCAATGTGGGTGACTTATGCTTGAAATAAGTCAATCTCTGAGAAATATTGTGGGATGCATTTCTTCCCAAATGAGTCAGCACCATTATCACTTGTCTGTTGGAAAAATTCGAATTTTAGTTTCTATTTTTAATGGAAACCCATCCGATTAATCATAATTCTTCTTTAATCTAATAATAAAACAATATCAAATTCATATTTCTAATTCTGAATTTACAAAAGAGCAAAATATTACATCTAACTATTCAATGATGGATTCTTTAAATTAATATAAAGTAAGTCTACTACAGTGGACACCGCCTTACAGCTGTCTTAAATTACCAGTGTGAAGAAAAGCGAGTGGCGAGACTACCAAGAGTGACATCACAGTAGGACTGTCTACAATCACACTTACCTGTGTAGTGGAGGGATTGATTCAAGTGTGGTGAGACTACCATGAGTGGACACCACATTTGCACTGTCTACACAATCATACTTACCTGTGTAGTGGAGGGAAAAGAGTCAACAGCGGTGAGACTACCACGAGTGGCCACCACATTAGCACTGTCTATAACACTTACCTGTGTAGTGGAGGGATGGAGTCAAGAGTAGTGAGACTACCACGAGTAGACACCACATTAGAACTATCCACACAATCACACTTACCTGTGTAGTGGAGGGATGGAGTCAAGAGTGGTGAGGCTACCACGAGTGGACACCACATTAGTGCTCTTTGAACAGTCATACTTTATATGGAAACTCTGATTACTACAGCGATTTTCAATCATAATGATACAACCACACCATTGATACAGTGAGTAAATAGAGACTTTATCACATACCTAAAAATCAAATTGCATACCGTATTTAAAATTATCAATTTGGCCTAAAGTAAAATGGTACTTTTTTTATTTGCAATGATTAGCATCACATTTCTGACGAAAGGAATTTTAAAAAAGAAAACTTTCATTTCCTTTTGATTTATTTTTACAGAATCTTTGTTTGCCCTGGCTGTTATATTCATCATCTCTTTCCCTTCACAACGCTTTGTATAATTATAGCTATGAGAAGTGTTTTCTGCTGTTTATTAGAACTTTCTTTTCCCTTCTCTTACACACCAATTAATTACTCATGACTGCGTACTTATCTTTATATGTAAAACTTACTCTCTCTCTCTTTCCCTTGGACAGAGTGAGCTGTATTATGGCATCAGCCAGAGTGTACTCGTATTTCTGCATCCGGGTTTCAATCTCTTCCACCATTATTTTTTTAGAACTATGGATAGACACTACATAGCTGGATCTGTCCTTAGGCTTCGTAGCTAAAAATACAGATTTTGCTGACTTTCAAAATGTAATCAGAAAATATTTATAAATGAAGCTTTTTTTCTGATTCCTGACCTGGATAAAAAGAGCTGTCTATCGCTTTCCTTTATTTTCATTTACTGAAGAAGAGTTTTAATATATAGGGTTCTTGCGAATGGTAAAATGCAAAATATTAACCAAAAATTAAAGAAGTCTATATAATTTTTCTGAGATCGATCACTGTTCGTTATCTTCACCTGTCACTTAGTATATCAGAATCTTAAGGCATCACTTCAGCAAAAATAAAATGACAATGAACGAGAGTTTCAGGTTACAGATTACCTCTTATTATTTCTCTCTGTCTTCATCATTAAAATTGGGACCTTATGAAGAAACTGTTATCATATGAATAAATTCAACTTATTCCTCATTATCCTATTCACAAAAGGGTCAAGACTTATTGTTAGATGAGGCATAATGCACCTTTATATACTTACACAAATTAAAGTTGTTGAACGACAGAGGTAGCACAACATATTCCCCTGGTTCCAGCATTGTGTTACAGCCCCCAAAACTTTTGATCTGACGATTGCTGCATGCCACTAGGGATCCAAAAGTCTGGACACCATCAGGGGAATCCCGGAGGATCAACGCACAAAGATCAGCGAGGTTTTTATTTTTACTGCCCCTATAAGAGGTAATTAAATAGAAGTCACCAGGACACAGGGCTTTTTTTAAAATTTGTGTGCGAAAATTGATCACCATGTAAGACAATCGCTGTACTATTTTGCCTGCTCTTTTGGATATACTTTGTCCAAAAACTCATCAAACCTGCTTAAGGATAAATAACAAAAACAAACTTTATTTCAGAAATCAGCAATATTTCCCATAGATATATATTCAAATAGGTAACCTGAATACAAATGTTTGCGAGGTAAAGTGGGAGGATTTGGCAAGATTTTATCACAATGTTAAAAATGTGTTCAAAATCTTGTATAGAATTACATAGAAACTTGTGTTATGTATCCTTAATTCAGAAAAGATAAACATTTATTTATTTAAGGAATGAATTTAATAGCTACTCAAGTTATACTGTAATAAAACCCGGATAGGACAGTTCATATAAAGCTGTTTATAAAAAAAAAAGAAGTAAAATTTATCCAGCCTTGGTTATACAAGTATCATTTGGGGAAAATTAAATTTATTCCTTAAAATTTAATTTCCTTCCAGTAAGAGTAAAGAATATGGGTATTTTTCTTTCAAAAATACCGTCAATTCCTACAAATTTTAAATGTAATGCCAAGCGTATTGATACGTTTTAGAACTAAGTATTTGTGACATATGCAACACAGCTTATATGATATAAACTATTTGTTATCCGATGAAATTGCGCGTTACAACCAGAATTAAATTATATGGAAATATTTTTTGACATTGAGAATCTTTCTGATTGAAGAATTCTGACAGTCAATGTAGTTCACTCTAAGCCTCATACCTGACACCGTTCTGAAACACACCAACTTCAACCTCTGTAGTTTTGGACACAGTCAACTTCACCATTTTGAAAACCTCACTCGCATTGGTTGGGAATATTCCCTCCAATCGGATTTCTCTCCAATCAGGACGAATCTTACATATCTCTACACTGTCAAAGTATCTAAATCAAAAAATGATAACATCATTTATCATTGCTGGTTATTTAAAGTCATATATGGCGTATTTTTTGATAAGTTCAGATAATCAAACTTAAAAGATCCTTCTATTTGTTTTATTACTTAATATAAAGATAGGACTTTCCTGTAAATTACAGTTTGAAAAATAAAAAAATTCACGCGTTAAAAATTTTAATCAGGCAAAATATAAAATAAGAATAAGTCATAAATGTAAATATACATGTAAGTAATAAAGTATCATTTTAAAACATCTATCGGGATATAAATACGGGTTGGTACAAGATCAAATTTACCATAAAGCAGTTCAGGCTTTATGGAATTTGATCTCGTGACCAACCCGTAATTGTATCCTGGTAGATGTTTAAAAACGATACCTTATTTCTTAAATGGATATCAGTCATATGTACCGTTTTCATAAAGCAAAGGTGTATAGTGAAAGTCATCATATAGATAATAAACAGTGAAAACATATGATAAAAATAAATTCTAATGGTTTGGCATTAGATATTATGGTTATACAATTTGTTGTGTGCTTTCTTCATTATAATTCGCACATGTTTCAAAAAAAAATACAAAATACATGATTTTGTTTCAATACTTCAGAACATCTTCAATTGATATCCAAAAGACGCCTGATTTTTCCCCATACAACATCAGATCCTGTTTCGCCCGGGTACTAATGTTGGCCCACTTGGTGGAGTTGTCACTCCAATCCCCGTTCCAAGAAAACCTTCCCCATGGATTGCGTAACCTTAACAACCTGTATAGAATAAACTTAAGGATATAAAAAAATATTCATATATTACGTAAACTTGAAGAGAATTGAACGAAACAAGTGCTTATAGTAATTAGATCATGCAGCCATAATTTGTTATTTTTAATTCTGGTTTTCGCAAACATTGCAAATAGAGTAAATATACAATTTAGAAAGTCATTAATATTAATGTATGATTATTCCTCCACCATTTTTTTCTTCTCTCTGATTAAGGGCATGAAATAAACTTCATTTGAGAAAGAATACACCAACCCGGAATGAAATATGAAGACAACGTACAGAAATCAATCTCAAAAGTCCATTGAAACAATACAAATTTGGAGCAGAGCAAACACGGACCTTTATAAACATTGGGGATGGGATCAGGTGCAATGAAGGATAGATAATATTTATAAAAGTCGGGTAAATCAACAAAAAACATTTGCTCTGAAGAGTTATTTTCCTAGTAATCATCCTCCGTCGACCGGTCACACCCGCCGTGTGCTCATTGTCATGATTGGGAAAACGGAAAACTCGTTGACAATTCATTGTTTAATTAATGTAATGACCTAACAAGTAGTATAATAACTGTCAGCCAGCATTTGACTTAATGATCGATTGCATTTGTATTTCCTGAAAGGTCATTGCATCGCCCTTAGAACTCGCGAACTGATGACTTTTAACGAGACTGTTGATATCCTTGTTTCATCAACTTGTTTGTCAATAGCTTGCCTCGTTTGAGAAATTGCTCGTATATGGAGCATGCTCTTGCCTATCGAATAAACTGGGAATATTAACCCCATATGCAAGTGATAAGGGTATGTTGTTACATAACTAAGGGAAGATGACAATGGAAAAGCTGGATTCCATCACGTTTATCATAAAGTTTTGTTCTTAGGTTACCAATTACGTCTTTTTCTAGTAAAATATTCAGATATGAAACAGACGTGTCAGACTCTTTGGTATCTTTTCTTTCAAGTTCGCTGGGATATATGAATGTAAGTAACCATTGTTAATGTCGAGTTTAAGGCTGCAGCAAGAGTCTTCATATGAATAAAAAATAGGTCTGCTAATAACAGGGCATGGAAATTCCAGCAGATTGTTGGAAGATTTGATCTCCAAAAACTAGATATATATTGTCAATCAGAAACTTAAGCATATTTTTGATATCAACTTTAGAGTATCTGTGCTTACAATCAGAATGTTTTAACAAGATAATTTTGTAAATAACCGATTACAAGATAACGAGTTCCGTTTTAATTGAAAAAGTGGCTGTCTACGATGTCAAAACGCCTGGACTTTAATTTATCGTCAGGAATGGTTGTACATGTATAAAGTGTTGAAAAGTCCTACATTTTGCTGTTATTGATTTTGGTAAAATTTTGTGATTTCAAATTTTCTAAAAGTTCCTTGGAGTTTTAAGGTATCCACATCTGATTTACACCACTTCTCGAATGTATTGTTTTAGGGTAATCCTGAAGTTTTTCCTTCACTGCTGTTAATGTTTTAGTGAGGAGTAAAGAAAGAGGCTTCGTAGAACATTTACTTGAACCAGGTATATAAATCTTTGTTTGTAAGGACTTTTATGAAACTTAATCTAAAAGAAAATTAAGATAATTATAAAAAAGAAAGTTACTGTGTTACTGATAAAACAAATATTATTTTAGTTTACTTATTTCCGTCAATGTCCTTGACATCCAGAATGGAGTAGGCGTGCTGAGCTAGCAGTCCTTTCCGCTTGTAGACCTTGTCTTCTGTCTTATCGTTACCCCCGCAGGAGACCCCCATCAAAAATCTATAAATACAACAAAAGAAAATGGCAGAACACTTTGAATGATTTATTATCTTAAAAAAATTTCCCCTGATGTTTTTAGAGGTCCATGTTTGCTCTGCTCCAAATATGTACTGTTTCAATGGACCTTAAACCTTGATTTCTGTTCGTTATCTTCATATTTAATTTTGAAAAATCGTTGAGAAATCCATAATTATTGGCATGGGAATTTTTTTCTCAAAAATAAAATATAAAGATAACGAACAGTTATCAAGCTCAAGGCTCTGTCAAACAATACAGATTTGGAGTAGAGCAAACACAGACCTTTACAAATATCAGAGGTGAGAAATGTAGCATTTACATAATTTTGTGGAAGAACGCTTAACTGACTCTTTCAGTAAAAGTCTTAAGACCCGATTTTTTAATCCTGTCATTGAAAAGAAACAGTCTATGGTAGATCCTACCCTGACTCCCTACAGCTGAGAAGTTTGGCCCAGATTAAGTTAGGGTCTACGTCTCTTTTCTGTGATCTAGCTGGATTGAAAAGCTCAACATGTAAACTTTACACATAAACAACATTTAGATATAAAATATACATATTCTTTTAAAAGACATTTTAAGGATAAACAAAAAATAAGAGAAAAAAAATAAGAAATAAAATAATTTGAACTGTCACTCATCAAAAACTGGTTTCCATGAAGACCATATGGAATTAAAATTAAAAATGTTATTCTTTTGGATTGATACAAATTTTTCAACATTGTATTTGACTCTTAGATGACACATGACAGCACTGAAATTTGGCTTTTTCTTCTGCATCAAACAAGTAAAGATATACTGTTTTGTGAATAATATAACAAAGTTTACAATTCTGTTATTTTTTGAGAAAGGAATCTCCCCTAATATGACATTGTTAAAATTAAATCCAATCCTTATTGAAGTAGTTCTGTATATATATGTTGGCTAAGACTACTCCACAATGGCAAAATATCATTACAAAATATAAATACATGTTGTATTGTTTCACTTTCATTCTTACAAAAGGCACAGCAATCTGTAGTAAAATATATGTACAAGGTTAAAGAGGAAAAAGTGACAAACTGTATTTATTACATGTATTTTTGACTATATAAGAAGTGCGAATAATGGATGTGGATTATGTGAGTGAGTGAGCGTACCGTGTGTGAGTATCTTATAAATGTAAAGATGCTTATTTACCATCACTTTGTTTAATATGAGAAAATATAAATAAAAAAAAAATTTAAAAAAAAAAAACATTTAGATATAAATTAAAACTAATTGTTTATTTATAGTGTGCTTAAAAGCTTATCTACATTTCACAAATATTGATATGTTTTATTTTTCCTATCGGATGCTTACGTTGTAATTTTATGATGTCACAGGGGGCACCTGTTAAGGTAGCTAGACCCTCTATACACCTTCCTGCTGCCAGATTTTCATAATTTCCATGTACCTTGGCCATGGCTTTCTCTATCAAGGGGACCCAAAGTTGTCGTCCTTTAGCCTGCAAATACATATATGATCATAAGATATATACATGTATAAAATACTGGAGATTACAAAATGTTCGCGACACTTGTTTCGCAAAAAAAATTTCGGTATTTATAAGTAAGCAAAAAATCATTATTCTGTCTATAGTTATAAAAAAAATATATCCAGTAATACAATTATAAAGGCGAATGATTTTTGGGGGAGAACAGTGTCGCATAAATTAGCGAAAATAAAGTTCTCAGGAACAAAAAATTATTTACAGTACACTGAATCTCGGTTTATGCATATGCGTCAAAATATTAAGATCAGTGATCAAGCTCTAAATAAATAATATAAAATTAACAGAAGGGCAAAAACAGGCCTCTGGGAACAACAGATGCGGGATCAGGTGTCATTGAGGGGTACGAACCCCCTGTCGACCTGTCAAAGCCTCCATGGGCCCCTTGTGATAAATCGTAATATTATGACAGCTAATTCTTATAGCATTTTTCTCGCCAAGTGTGCCTGTTACAACGCACTTTGAAAAATTACGCACTTTGAATTTTTTTTTTTCAAAGTGCATTAAAATTGGGACCAAGTTAACGTACTTTGAAAAAAAAAAAGTCTTTTCAAAGTGCATTTATATCGACCATATTAACACACTTTGAAAAAAAATGTGCACGGCCTGGTCAATATTCTTGAAAATTTTAGGTATGATAAATAATTATTTGAACCTAGTTGGATAACATTTCTTGACGACGTCACTTCAGGATCAGAGGTATAGACTTTTAAAAGATTTTTAGATGTTACCTTTTTCCCAAAGGTTAAATGTTATAAAAGGGAAATGGGTCTTTTATAAATAATTGAGGAATGATTGTTTAATAGCCCAATTTCGTTTCTTTTTTTACTTTATCCAGTCTGTAATAAGTTCGGTAGATGAAGGGGTCTATAAGTGACTTAAAGCATCGCATTTTTCTTAGGGAAAAGGGAGCAATTATGATTTATCCATACCATGAAAATTCTCTCTCTCTCTCTCTCTCTCTCTCTCTCTCTCTCTAAACTATCCATCTATCTATCAATCTACCATATTCATCTATCTATCTGTTGTGAACATGCATGAATCAATGGTTGACTCATTTATTTGATAGTAAGAAAAATAAACCCTAGCCACATTACTCACTCGACTGAAATTTTTACCTCTTTCACTAATAACTTTTTCTAAAATAAATCTTATATTAAGCAAACGTTATGCAGTCAGATTACTCTCTAAATCTGTAATTTGATATTATATAAAGGCTAGACATGTCAAAAAGCATGTCTTAATTACCCTGTAAATGCGGGTTTTTTTTCTTCTGAGGAATGATTGTTGATACATTTTGAATAAAAGTTATGCAGCTCGGCGGAATATTAAACAGACAACCAACGGGCTATATAGCTAACATGATCAGTAGTTTTTCAAAATCCCATGTAGTTCAACATTTTATTTTTAAAAACAATAGTTGAGATCTGAATGAAATTTTTATCATTCAAAGGTACAAGAACTACATCGCTTACCAGAAAAACTGTCCTTCTTTTACAAACTTAATTCGTCAGTTTTTCGAAAGAAATATAACAAAATAATACTGTTTATTACTAAAATCTAAGTCCAGAATTTTTGTTTTCCTACATATTTTTCAAAGTGCGTTAAGTGTTTCCATGGTAAAAAATTTTGATGTACACTCTTAACGCACTTTGAAAAAAAAATTTCAATGTGCGTTGATTTTGTCCCAAATTTAACGCACTTTGAAAAATATTTTCAAAGTACTTTGTTTTTGTCCCAATTTTAACGCACTTTGAAAAATTGTTTCAAAGTGCGTAATTTTTTCAAAGTGCGTTGCCAAAGTGCCCCCCTCCCCTGCCTAGTCCTTGAGGCAAGAATATGAATAAAACGTTAATCCATGTGAGCTAAACATCTAAAGAAGAGAAGTTATTTTGCTGTTCACAAATGATCATACAACATAACTATTTCAATGTTATATTTAAACGCTTACTATTTTTTGGAATGTGAGAAGGTTGCATTGGAGGTCTATCACTAAGAAAATGTGTTCTTAAAAAATTAATGGAATGAAAGTATCATATCCAGTCTTAGGCGCTTTTGTTTGATTTAAGTCATTGCACAATACTTGTAAAGGAGAAAAGGGAATATATTAACTACTTCAATATTCAGGTCGTGCTTTTAAGAAAAATCTACAATAAAAAAAATTGAAGTAAAATTTTAAAATAATTCATTATAACCTGAGGTAAAACAAGAAAAACTCAGTTCACCTATCATCTCTTTTATATAAAAAAAATCGAAATACTGATATCTCATATTGAATTCTCCTAACTTTAATCTACTTGGAAACCTGCTTCACAGTCACAGACCTGAGAGAAGACCAGCCGTTTATGGTTATCACAAGGCAAAAGGTCATCAATTAGGACGATCTGCCATATACCGTCCTTACAGAGACGGACCTGGTAGGCCCCTTGTGGACAGTAGGTTTTGGTCAGAATGATGTTCTTTACGAGTTCTGGACGCTCCGCCAACACGGCTAAGGCACTAAGAAACCTGGAACGAAGAAAAATTGTTTGTGAAAATGGGCGAAATCAAAAGACAACCAATCTTGATTTCCTCTAAAGCTACGCAGATCATTTTCATAAAAGGAATTGTACATAACAAATTTCAAACGTGTCAGTTACATGCTGGCTGACGTTTTTCATTCTTATTGTTAGGCCATTATTTACACACTGAATTTTCGAAGGATTTTTCCGTTATTTCTCGATCATGACAAGGAGCACACGGCGGGTGTGACCGGTCGGCAGGGGATGCTCACTCCTCCATGGCACCTGATCCCACCTCTGATGTCTTAGAGGTCCGTGTTTGCTCTGCTCCTATTTGTAATGTTTAATGCATGACTTTTGAGCTTGACTACTGTTCGTTATCTCCATATATTTCATTACATATAATATAACAAAGGGGATAGAGGTCTCAGTGTAATCTTTTTAAAATATCAATTTTAAGACGTTGTACAAATGAAATATGAGGATAATGAACAGTAATTAAACTTAAAGGTCCAATGAAACAATACAAATCAGGAGCAGAGCAAACAGAGACCTCTGAAAAATATCAGAGGTGGGATCAGGTGTCATGGCGGAGTAAGCATCCCCTGTCCACCGGGCACATCCGTCGTGTGACCATTGTCATGATCCAGAAAATGGAAAAAATTCGTAGACAATTCCGTGTGTAAATAATGGCCTAACAATGAAAAACGTCAGTCAGTATTTGACTTATTGATAGATTGTATTTGCTAACAAAGTCATTGTATCTACCATAGAACTTGCAAAATGATGACTTTAAACGAGACTTGATATCCTTGTTTCATCAACTTGTTAGTCAGTAGTTTGCCTCGTTTTAGAAACTGCTCGTACGTGGAGCATGCTGTTGCGTATCGAATCTACTGATAGATATAAACCCCATATGCAAGTGACAAGGGTATTTTGCTACATAAATAAGGGAAGTTGGCGAGTCAGTTTGCCATAAATTTTATATTTTAGATAAGTTATTTGCTTATACGTGTATAATTATACGTATAGATTGCTATTTTGAGTTACAAAAAGTGCATCTGATTTGTTAATATCTCTAAAGACAACCGATTACTGCGTCTGTACTTACCAACAGTTTCCCAGCTGTCCCTGAGAGATGTCATTTGGTAACGGGGTCTTACACACTTCCCACTTGTCCTTTTCATTCCCTATTTCTGTTGGTCGCAGCCATTGGATAGGAGTCTTTATGAAGGGTTTGTCCTGATTGATAAATATGGACCTTGAAATGGGCGGGAAGGAATCGTCAATAAAGTGATTGTGGTGCTGAATCGGATGATAATAAAATATAATTGGGATTTTTTTATTGTTCAAGTAAACCAAAGATACCAAATAAATCATAATTTTCAAAACTTGGTAGACTTAAAGAAATGGCTTTTTTATCATTCCAACAGAATCACAACAGCAGGATTCAGGAACGGTCTTGTGTGTTTAGCAATTTGCATCTTAATAAACCATAATATATGATATGATATATGCCTAATACAAAGATGGTGATGTTGATTGAATTGTGTTGGAGGTATTTTACTTATATGTATGCTAATATCTCGATCCATGAGTATATCTATAGTACAGACAGATTGAGTCGATCATAAATAAAAAGATAGGTTAATTAAATACTGCAAGTTTGATCTCTACCTTCCAACAGCAAAAAATAATGTTTTGCAAGAGTTTAGACGCCTCATTTTCTTCCAGTTTTCGAATATTTTCCATCTTTGAGCTCGGCTGTCTGATAGATAATGTGAGTTTTGACTCGATGTGTTTCTTTTGTGCTTTATGACTACCACACATTTGGCAGACTGGCTTATTCAGTGTGTTTCTGTATGTACATTGTGAACATGACCAACTCTCTGCTGTTTTGTCGTTTTCCCCTGACGACTTTAGTCTCTTTTCTTTTTCCTGCTGCTTTCCTTGAACTTTCTTGTTCTCCAAGCTATTAGTTGTTTTACTGGCAGCCGTACTCTCAGGTGAAGTTTTAGCACCATCCTCTCTAACTTTCTTGTCTGATTCTTGTTTATCTGCAGATTTAGGAGTTCTAGTCACTTTTGATTCAGACACAGGTGTCTTTCTTTTGTTTTCTGTTGGCTCAGAATTAGCAGCGTCTCTTTTAAATCCACAAACTTCACAAAAAGTATTATGTATTGAGTTACGTAAAGTACATTTTTCGCAGCTCCAATATTTCTTCGTATCGAGTTCCGAAGTAGATCTACTACCATCACACATCTTACAAGATCGATCTGTGACGACATTGTGATATGTACATTTACTGCACGTCCAAAAGTTTTTGTCTGTTTTATCCATTTAATCTCTGAAGTCAGCTGATAGAATCAAATCCGTGCCTGCACAAAGCAATAGAAAATAAAAATTGAGTAAAACTATTTATCTATTTTATCTTTGATAAATAGGTACCGATAAAAACGTGTAAATTTCAGGGTCATTTTCTTCTGTACCAGCTGTATTATATATCCCATATATCCAGTATTTTGGTGGTTACAGACTCTTCAATTAGGTATGATAAATAAATCAAGGAATTCAAAATTGAGGCACATATCACGTTTCTGGAGTCTTTCATCGCCTAGGGGGTTAAAAGGGGTGTTTTCAAATATTTTATATATTCATAATAGACAATACCTTGTGTTTTCCTTACATGAAAAGCAAAGATAACAGTAATCTTGCTTAAAAGTCAATTTAATCATTATAAATTAAAGCAGAGCAATAAAGGGTCCTAAAACGTCAAAGATGGAATCAGGTGCCATGAAGAAGTAAGCTTCCAACGGTCACCTCTGCCTTGAGCTTCTTATCATGATCAGGCAAACAGAAAAATGCATAGATAATTCAATGAAAATAATAGTTTCAGAATTTGTTAGTTAATATTTGACTTAACTTGCATTGTATAAATTTGCAAACAAGGTCACTGTATTGATCACAGAAATAACGTACTGTTGACTTTAAACTTATTTACGTAAACGTTCGCTGTTTTCTTTATGTTTTCACCGGTTAAAAGGGATAACCCGAAGACAATTCATCGAGAATAAAACGGCCTAAGAATTTGCATTAAAACATTTGTAAACATATGACCTCATGATAGGTTTTATTTGCAAGCCAGCTCATGGTATCGACAGTAGAATTTGTGAAATGTTGACTTTAACAAGACGTTGATACTTTGTAACATCAACTTATATGTCTGTACCCTGGCTTGGTTTAGAAATTTATCATGCACAGGACATGTTCATATGCTGGTGATAATGATATATTGCTACATAAATAACAGGTGCTTGACGATAGAAAACTTGAAGTCATCACGTTTATCATAGAGTTTATTTGTTTAGATTGCCATCGGTGTCTTTCTCGAGAGAAAAATTCAAATTGAAACAGATGTGTAAGATTCTATGGTGTCTTTTTGTTTCGCTACGGGTATATATATGATAAAAGTTTATCTCTATATCGATATTCATTCTAAGTCATATATAAGACGGCAAACAAGCTGTCAACCTACTATCACAATGAACAAATTTGATGTCTTTCATTGGAAATGAAATACCAAGTGTTTCCTTTCTTAATGATTAAGAAAATATACGGTCTTTTTGTGTATGAAGGTAAATACATTTTAAACACATGGTGCAAGAAGGGCGAAGCCAATTTTATTTCTGACTCATTTTTTTTCGCCTAGTTCATCCAAATAAAGATAACTGAGACATCGTTTCTAACAAGAAACACACAAAAACAAATACTGTTTAATGAAGCACTTCATTATGAAATAATATGAAATAATTATGCCTCTGAAATAGTCTGAATTCATTCACAATATTAATATTGTAAATGAATTCAGAGGCACCAGTCACAATCACAGACTGTAAATTTCTTTTTTTTAACTAGGCTTTTTGATATTATAGACCAAATGCTTCTTCAATAAAAATGGATGTCGAACCTTTGTGATTGGTAACCAACAAAATTACTTTGTTAAAAATCACTCTGTTTCTACACATAAGTACTCTAAGTTAATATTAAAAGGATTCTTCATTGACGACATTTATGTCCTCTTCGGAGACCATGCAGGTCTTCCAATAAGCTTTTGCAATTCCGATTAGCTCTAATTATGCTCTGTTATAGCCGACCTGTTTTAATATTCCAATGAAGCAGAATTTATTCAAACACTTCCTCGTGAAAAGTGTGACCTTTGGAATTACTGTCTTATCATGAAAGACACTTTCAGACATAAGTGTACGCTTTTTTCATAGATCTTGGAAGTCTCCCGCGTGGCGCAGTGGGTAGAGCGTATGCTCTAGAGTCGCAGCGGTAACCGTTGATCCTTACGTCGCGGGTTCGAATCCACTGCGGGATGTGGAGACTAGTCCTTTGGATGAGACTGTATAAACCAAGGTTCCGTGTCGCAGTAGTTGTTGGCACGAAAAAGATTCCTCACCGCTCAATGGCCATAAGTGCCGAGCATAGGTTAAAATTTGCAGCCCTCCACCGGCAAGTGGTGGAGTCTCCGTATGAGTGAAAAATTCTCAAGAGGGACGTTAAACAACATACAAACAAACAGATCTTGTACTGTTGAATAGCACTCTTCTACGGCTTTAACCAGAAGGTGTGAACAATGTTCATAAGTTTCAGAATTTAGTGACTTTACTCGTATTCCATACGAAACTTGGTCATATATCACCGTTATTAATATTACTATACTGGTTACCTATTGACTTCCGTGTTTTATATCAGGTATTCTCCTGTATATTTTTAAAGCGTTTAGTACCAGCCTATCTAGAATCTCATTACAGTGTTCAGCTACCAAATCAGTCTCTTCGCTTGAGTGACACTTACACACGAGTGAGACCTGAAAATGTATGGGGATAGGCATATTGACACACATGCAGCATCTGAAACGGTTATATAATTAAGTTATCAATGAAGAAATACCTAAATTGCTAGAAACCAGATACATGCTTATATTGCTTCACTTTAAGTAGACATGCCACTAAACACACTAAAAAATATAAAAAGATTAAATTTGATACTAGTACCTACTTTCAATCTCGTGGTCTATTCAAGTATTTAAACTTAAGTTAAAAACGTACCTTAAAATAATTAACTTTCGGTTTAAAATTCCGTTCATCAGTACTTGTTTAGCGCTAGTATCGTTTTAAAAAGGATCAATGACACCGCGATCTGGACTGTTCATCCAGCCCATAGACTTCAAGAAATCAAAGATAAAGCCTCGGTGTATAGTTTCTATGTAAACAAACTCAGCTAAAAGTAACCCGAATCTAGGAATTAAAAAGAAGCCTACTTAACATAAGTATGTCATAGTTTTTGTGCTTCCCTTCAATGTTAGATTATATTTGTTACCTTGTATTCTTGGTCTAACACATGAGCTTACAGAGTGAAACCTGAGTAAAGTAAGAAATCCTGGATTTTGTTAAAATACATAATCAATATATACTATACAGAAGTGTAGTGGTATCTACTTTTCTTATCGTGTAACTTATTGATTATTGTTAAATTGAGTATCTTTACAAATATTCCGGAAATGACCATAATATACATAAAAATAAAATTTATCATACATGGATTTCAAATTGATATAATTTTATTTGCATTTTTTTTTAAATTTTATTAGTTATGGTGGCATATTTCTGCCCCCTAAGTGCAAGATAAATATTATTAACATGCAACATAATTATGTAGACATGCGACTTATTTATCTCAACATGCAAAATAATTATGTTGACATGCAAGTTACCAATCTTTCTAGAGAATCTAATTTTAATGTTGGTAAACTTACTTACGCCATTATATGACATTATACAAGCAAGATGTAACAGAATTATGTAGACATGCGACTTATTTATTTCAACATGCAAGATAATTATGTAGACATGCGACTTATTTATTTCAACATGCAACATAATTATTTAGACATGCGACTTATTTATGTCAACATGAAAGATAATTATGTTAACATACGAGATTTGTATGATGTCATGCAACTTATTATCTTGCATGTTGACATAAATACCTTGCATGTTAAAATATAACTCACATGTTGACATTTTAAATAAATCGCATGTTGACATTAGTAAGTTGCATGTTAACATAATCATCTTGCATGGTAAAATATAATTCGCATGTTGACATAAAAAAGTCGCATGTTGACATAATTAAGTTGCATGTTAACATAACCATCTTGCATGGTAAAATATAACTCGCATGTTGACATAATTATCTTGCATGTTGACATAAATAAGTCGCATGTCTAAATAATTATGTTGCATGTTTCCATAAATAAGTCGCATGTTGACATAAATATTCTGCATGTTAACATAATTACCTTGCGTGCTGACATAAATAAGTCGCATGACAACATAATTCTGTTGCATCTTGCTTGTATGATGTCGTATACCGGCGTTATAAGTAAGTTTACCAACATTAATATGTTTTACACTGTAAAAACATTTCTTTTGTTTATTCATAGAGAGAAACATTTTAATTACCCAATGCATGAAATCTCGATCATGTAAAGTATGCATTTTTTTTTTTGTAATTCTCAGTCAAAGAATTAAAACTTTTGGGGCTCTTTATTCCCCTCCTCATAACTATTTGAATTTCTTTTTTTTTAACAGACATGGATTCAAAACATTAGACATCATTCACAAATCTGATGTCAAATTACTGTTACAAGTCGATCAAATTTTATTGACTTACCGTATATACTCGCCTATAAGTCGTTTTTTTTTGGGGGGGGGGGAGTTAAACTTTGGTCCAAAACTCTATGATCGATTTATAGGCGAGTTATAGAAAAACTGGTATTTTAGAGGATAAAGCCCACAGGCACTTGTTTCGGTAATAAATTTTTTACCCATAGTATAATAATAACACAAGGTATCTAACTCCAAATTACACGGAGTACCCCCCTCCCCCAGAATCGCACTCATTTACACTTTCAGAGGAAATACACTGACAAACTGTTTATACCTATGTTTTCTACGATAATTTATCTACACAACCATACATGGTTTTCTTTAGTCTCCGTAAACAGCCTCAAAACTGCTCGTCGAGTGGAAAAGTCGAATTTATAGGCGGATCGACTTATATGCGAGTATATACGGTATCTCCTATGATTTAAGTAAGTCGTCTACATGAAGTCATCATATATAATCTGTTGGAATAATATCTGCGATACCTCGCAGTAATGTCTGCGATATGAATTTGAACGGCATAATTTATATGCATTATTTTAGTGCGACATTGAGAAATTTGACTTTGATAGATTTTAGTGTATAAGTCGTCCAAAACATGTCAAAAAGTGTCCTCCATTACAAATTGATGTCATAAATAAATTGCCAAACTTTGAAGTAATTGTATTTGACAATATTTTTATAACAATATATCGCGTTCTAATGCAACAACACGATACCTTTCCGTACTTAAGAGATTGGTAACTTGCATGTCAACATAATTATTTTGCATGTTGACATAAATAAGTCGCATGTCTACATAATTATGTTGCATGTTAACATAATTTATCTTTCATGTAGAAGGCAGAAATATGCCACCGTAGAGAATACTAAGAAGTGTTGTTGAGAATATCGTGAATTCAAGATAGTTACCTTAACTTTCTAGGATGTGATAAAAGTTAGCTCATGGTAGTCTAAAATTTATGCTGACTTGAGAATACTTCATCACTTGAACGAAATAACTATGTGAAACAAAAGTTATATGGATGGTAGAAATCGAACAGATATATATTTCTCAGAAACGACAAAGGAGCACGACTTTGACACTGAAATCTTCTGATTTTGTGGTATTTTTATGCAGTTAGGATATCTGTCCCTAGATCCAAAATCAAATAAATCGAAATTTGCAATGTATTAATAAATTTGTAATCACTTCAAGCACTCTTAACATTTCAATACGCCTAGACAAATTGATTGAAAACTTAATATGCATATATATTTTCCAAAGAAAATATGAAGAAAGGAATATAAAGACGGCGAACTGTGATCAACCTCAAAAATCCAACGATACAAATTGTGAGTAGATAAAACACGGACCTCTAACCACATCAGAGATTGGATTAGGTATCATAGAGGAGTAAGAATCTCTTGTCAATCGGTCACACCGTCATTTGCCCTTAGCTTTTTCGTGATTGGGAAAACGGCCGGAGAAATCCATAGTCAATTCAATGTAATGTCAATGAGAAACTTAAGCCACTTTGTAATATCAACTTCGGAGTATTTTGTGTAGAATTAGGTTGTTTTTAACAAAATAAATTAGTTGACCAATGACAAGATATACATTTATAAATACCACGTGTTCCATTTCTTCTGAAGAAACAGAAATACTCATAGTTCCCTTTCGAAGGAGTAAATTCTTCAGTTTTCAATATTTTTAATATTCCCAGCAACCAAATTGAATTTGAATTACATGTACCATACAGATAATCTGATACAGGATTCCTCGTCTTCATAAAAATCCTTTCCTTTGAGGAAAATTAGAACCACTGTAAAATGTACAAATAAATTTCTTTATTAAAATCTTGATGTAACTATCACATATTGCACAAGAAAACATCTCTAAAAAAACAAAACCTTTTATGTAAGTCTGAGGAAAATAAACTTATAAGATAGCACTATCAAACAAAACCTTATCTAAAGAACACTGACTGTTCTGTCAAAAGATCTTAATACATAATATGAAAAACAATACATTTGAAAAGTGATGTGTGAAATAGTTGGCAATAATTTGTTTCAAAGTCTTAGAATTTTCCATGAAACATTGTCCTGTCAAAACCACCGAGATCTTACACATCATTAGGCCCATCTGGAACCTCTGCTTTTACTAAATCCAAAAAATAATAAATGATGCTCAATCTTTGCTTGATGCCATAAAAATGAGTGTCACTGGTGTTATCACATAAATCTAATTCAAATTAAACTCTGAGGGTCAAAACAAATTTCTGATACAACCAGAATTTGTTACAACTCCAACGTTTTCTGAGCTTATCAACAATTGACCTAACTTCAGCATAACAATTTACTTTACACAGTACTGTTAATTTTCTGTAAATATGATTGTACCTATTAAAATATATGAGATTTTAGGAAGTATACAGTGCTTCTCAACATTAATTATAAAAATAAAATTTGATCACTGAAGCAATCCTTTACTCAAAAAACATAAAGAAAATTCGGTAAATAGTTAAAAATACTGAATGAATCAGAACTAAGATGACATAAAGGTAATACAACATGTACTTGTTCACTAGGCTACAATACTTGTGAGATAAAAATATTCTTCTCAAATGAATTTAACCCCCATTTTGGGGGTTTGAAGCCTAAAAAATTATATTCTGGAATGTACACATTTCTTTTTCCATGATTAACCCTAACTTTTAAACTCAATCTTGGATTTTAAGGAGACACGTTTCCAGTTTTAGTTGAAGGGGAGGGAACTCACACACTGAGTACAGATTTCTGTACAGATATAAACCAATACATATACAATAATTGGTTTATGTGGGAATATCAAAACTGTTATTCAAAATGATTTTGTTAAAAAGGAAACCAATTCAATCTGATTCCTATTCAATATATGCCCTCATAGAATCACTTAATGACACTGACTTACCCAGATGTTACACAAAAACATCATTTTTTAAAATAAAGTTTTCATAAAAACTCAGACCTATTCTGGAGGTAGATGGATTGTCATATGGTGTTATTAAATGCCACTTATTGCATTAAACTGACACATTCACATGGTAACCAAACAAAAACAGTATCTCCACTCTTGTCAAACACTAAATGTACTGATAAATGTTCAGATATTAAATGCTACATATCACTGCACCAAAGCATGCATTTGAGCGGGTTAAAAATATATATACAAAATTTTCACAACTTAGTTTTTTAATCTCCCTGACAAAATTACAAAATTCTATTATATACAATGTACTAGTATATATGTATATGTAAACTGCATGCTTAGCAATAACCTTATAACTTTACTGTGCATGATAACACTTCAAGAAGAATATAACACCGCAGTTTTAGAAAAACTTTAAGAAAATATGCATGCAATCAGAAAAATTTTATCCATTCAGTTGAAGTCAATTTCATTACATCAAAACATTATTTATTACAAATAATAAAACCATATACTGGGTCTTTTTGTACAGCTTTCAACTGTTCCTCTCCGTAAATTTAAAATATTAAAAAAAAAATACATCAAGACGTTTCTTTTAACTGTTGTTAATTGCTTACTGATTCAATTAAACAGGCATGATTTACAGATCTATTGGTAATTCCTAAAGCACAAAAGGAAATCCTTACAGAATTAAATTACAAAAACTGTAAACATGGTAACTGAGATACAAGGGTTGCTTTTCCAACAAAACTCTTGGTCAACAGGCATGAATAAAAAAAAAAACTTCACACGTTCAAGTACAAAAATAAATGTACAAGCTTTAGAGTACATAGAATGATCACAACCAATAATAATGCTCTTTGATGAAATACTGAAATTTAAAGACAACATTAGAAATACCCAAAAAGTATTCCTCATCAAAAGTAGAGAGTAACAGCATACAACCTTCCTGTAAAAAAATCTTTTAATCTTTCAACAAAATCTGTCATTCACATATCGAATGTTAAGGAATGTTCATGATTTAAAATTCCATACATAATACAAGTCACTATCACACTAGTGAATGGCATGGCTTGAAATTTGAGAATCAGATTTTTTTTTACACCAAAAAGTATATACAGATATGATTGAGAAAAAAATGTTGAATCATATATTGAATTTACTCCACTGTTTATATTATCAGAAACAGACTAATGTTGGATATATATGTATATCTCTACACAGATCAATTTGCCTGAGTCTCTTTGGTGAAGGTTTAAGAATTGATATCATTAAATGTCAATTTTCCTTATAAAGGCCTTGGAGCGTGAAGTCCCTCCACGTGGAGTGTCAGCGGTGGATCGTGGTTTACTCCAGCTGCTGCCCAGTCAGCCAGTCCTGTGGGTGACCAGTGCATGCGGTGAATCAGGCGGCGAGAGAGATGGTATGAGGCACTTCTCTCCAGCTGAGTCAGCACCATAATCACTTGTCTGTTGGAGAAAATAATAATTTAAGTATTTAATTTAAATACCACTCATCAAATTTATCATTTCATTCATAATTCTGAACAAAAGTAATGATAAAACAAATTTCATATTATTTCTAGTCCTTAATATATCAATGATCAATATCTGACTGTAAATTAGAGGAGTGTAACAAGAAGTTTAAAATTATACCAGCATGGTGAGAATAAAGCAAGTGGTCAACTCGTAAGCACTCTCTACAATCACACTTACCTGTGTAGTGGAGGGATGGAGTCAAGTGTGGTGAGACTACCACGAGTGGACACCACATTAGAACTATCTACACAATCACACTTACCTGTGTAGTGGAGGGATGGAGTCAAGTGTGGTGAGACTACCACGGGTAGACACCACATTAGAACTATCTACACAGTCACACTTCATATGGAGACTTCGATCACTACAGCGATTCTCAACCACAAACAGACCGCCGGACCAACCATGCATCAATGAATACACCGAAACAGTGTCTCGTACCTAAATATAGAAATGTGAACCATTATTAAGTGTTAATGCCCTTGGCTTTTCTATTTCATCTGGAGTCTTGATTCCTATAGAGCCAAAGAAACTGTTCATAATCATTAAAGTTTGTTTTAATCTGTTCAATTAAGTTTGATCTTTATATATAAATCTAAATCACCTACCCCCTCTTGCTTCCCCTTGGCCAGAGCGAGCTGTATTACGGCATCAGCCAGGGTGTTTTCGTATTTCTGGGTACGAGTCTCAATTTCTTCCACCATTACTGCCTTAGAACTGTGGACAGAGAGCACGTAGCTATACCGTTCTGTAGGCTTCGTAGCTAAAAATACCATTAAGTACATGGGTTTATCATGTTAGAGCACGTAGCTATACTGCTCAGTGGGCTTCGTAGCTAAAAATACCATTAAGTATATGGATTTGACATATTAATATTTCTACTGATTCAGGACATGGATAAAAGGGGCGTTCTCTTAGCCATTTCTTTATTTTTCCTGATATAATAAAGTTGCTTAATACAAATTTAATTGAAAGATGTAAATTATTTACCAGAAATGATGGAGAACATCTTAATGTGTGACAAATTTTATGACATTCTGTCAATTAGAAAAATAACTGAAGACAATTTAAAGCATGACAGCATTTCAGATTTCAGGCTACCTCTGTGTGTGATATCTTCATTTACCCTCACACTTCATACCAAACAAAACTACTGCCTCTTTACTTAAAAATGAACTGACTTCCACCCCTTATCCATTTAACGGCCCAGTCTTACAGTAGCACGAGTCATCAATACTTATATATACACTTACACAAAGTCCAGAAATTGAATGCCAGAGGCAGCACCACATATTCCCCAGGTTCCAGCATTGTGTTACACCCCACAAAGCTCTTTATCTGACGATTACTGCAGGCCACTAGTGGTCCAAAAGCCTGGACACCATTAGGGGAATCCCGGAGGATCAGTACACAAAGGTCAGCTGGGTTTTTGTTGTCATTACTCCTGTAGGGGGTAAATAAATGTAACTGTCAGTGAAATATATCTCCATGGTTCTCACAGCACCAAAACTCTGCTGTATAGTGTAACATACCTGACCCCCTCCTGAAACACACCCACTTCCACCTCTGTGGTGTAGAACACAGTCAACTTGACCATTTTGAAAACCTCTCTGGCATTGGCTGGGAATGTTCCCTCCACACGAGTCTCCCTCCAATCAGGACGTACCTTACAAATGTCCACACTGTCAAAGTATCTAAGTGAAAGAAATATAAAATCATTAATGTTTAATGGCTGCTTTTTACTGCAAAATTTTCAAGATATTGCATACATGTGACAAGTCAAAGACCACAAAACTGTACAGGAACCATAAAAAAACTGGAATTTGGGTGAAAAAACTGTACACTGCCTATCAAAAAACGGTACAAAAAATGGTATAAAATATCGCTTAAATTCTTCTGAAATTCCAGCATAATCATTGTAATAAACATCGTATATTTTATACCTACGAAGATCTGGGTCAGATTCACGTATACTAAGTCATGTATATCAACTTTAGAAGTTGGCTTAATTTTTTTCAATCAAGTTACGTATACGAAACATTAACAGTAATTAAGTACCCCTTAAAAAATAAAGCTACCTAAAGGGGTATTTGATACGGATTTATAGCAAGATAATTATCCCAATTGGCAGTTCACACCTTCGCACGTGATGGTTTGTGTACACTACACAATTATCAGAAGGTCAAGTGTCAAACACAGGTGACGTTTTCCAGAGTCTCGTGAGCGAGAATGAGAGGAAAATGGCGGCATTTAGCGAGAAATTCAAAATACTGTACAAATTTTCATATTCCGTGAATTTTGGTGTCCCGCCGGTACACGATGAATGGGCTCGAAAAACTGTACATTTTGCGTACAGCCGGTACATATCACATGTATGATATTGTTTACAAAATTTAAATGTTTCACTAACTTTTTTTAAGCACATGCAGTTATTTTCAAAAAAGTTTCAAAGCTACAGTTTGGCTCTTCAACAAGGAAAAATTATTCATTGTGATATGAACTACCAGTACATGGAGAAAACTGAAATTCTGGGAAAATTTGAAAAGTTTGTTTTTCATTGTAATTTGCATTATAATACTGATATGCAATTAAATATTTAGGTTTAAATAAATCATATATCATGTAACACAGAAATTGGTAACAGATTTAAAATCTAAGACTCTGATGGACTTGAATCTGACATCACTTAGATAGATGAGGTGCTACTTACCCTATATTTCCTAATTATTAATACAGTTGACCTTCGGTATCTCGAACATTGATATCTTGAATACCATGGATATGTTGAAGTGATTTAGAAGTCCCGACCACTTTTTCTGTAAGTTTTTTACCCCTGATATCTCAAATCCTAAGATATCTCTTAGTTTTTACTCAGTCTATTCAAGTTCGAGATAACTGTGTTTCATATTTCTATATATGCTCCCTTAAAAAGTCAATGTTGAAGTTCTGAATGTCAGATTTCTGGTTCTAACTCCTACACAACTAAAAATATTAGAAAACAAACAAATTTGCGTCCTACTTGAGAACATCTTCTAGTGATATCCAGAAGACTCCTGATGTGTGACCGTACAACATCAAATCCTGTTTGGCCCGGGTACTAATGTTGGCCCACTTGGTCGAGTTGTCACTCCAATCACCGTTCCAAGAAAACCTCCCCCATGGGTTACGTAACCTTAACAATCTGTAGAGAACCCATTAGTAAAAGAATAAATACAAGACTTAAACTATATATACTAAAAAATGAGTTTTCATACAAAACTAACTCATACACTGTAAATACAGATCAAAATTAAATTTCGTCAGCAAATTTTAACATTTCTGTGTAGACAAGTAAATAACAGCTAAAAGAAAAATTATTATTACTCATTGTAGTAACATACTCTAAGCCTTCAATTCTTATTTCATATTATCACTATAAATATGTTTTCTCTGAAGAGTTTTTGGTGACTTATAAACTGTACCTATTTCCGTCAATGTCCTTGACATCCAGAATGGAGTAGGCGTGTCTAGGTCGCAGTCCTTTCTCCTCATAAACCTTGTCCTCTGTCTTCATGTTCCCTCCCCCACAGGAGGCCCCCATCAGAAATCTATAAATAAATCATAAGAATCAAAGTACTGCAAGTATCCCAATTAAACTTATGGGAGATATTTCTCTTCCCAATTTCTCATGGGAAAAGTTCTATGAATGTCCATGGACAAAATGGTAATAAATTTAATGGAAAGCAGATGTGCAAGTTCCTATCAGGGTTGGTTTTAAGTTTTCAAGGAAGAGCTTTTAGGAGTTTGCAAGGGAGAAAACCTTTTTAAGCTCTTTGAGTAGAATTACCATAAACCTAAAAAAAAAACAACTCTTTGTAGATCACTTATCCTGATTCCATGCAGCTGAGAAGTTTGGCCCAAATTAAGTTAGAACACCTACCCTGACTCCCTGCAGCTGAGAAGTTTGGCCCAAATTAAGTTAGAACACCTACCCTGACTCCCTGCAGCTGAGAAGTTTGGCCCAGATTAAGTTAGAACACCTACCCTGACTCCCTGCAGCTAAGAAGTTTGGCCCAAATTAAATTTGGATCTATGTCTTCTCTCTGTGGCCCAGCTGGAATGAAAAGCTCAAAATTACACTCAGCACATCCGCAGGGTAATAAAAGTGTTTTGTTCAAATCTCTGAAATAAAATCATTCATTACTTTATATAACAAATATGTTTTATTTTTGGCATTTGAGGCTTACGCTGTAGTTCTATGTTGTCACAAGGGGCACCTGTTAGAGTAGCCAGTCCCTCTATACACTTCCCTGCTACCAGACTTTCATAGCTACCATGTAACTTGGCCATAGCTTTCTCTATCAGAGGCACCCACAGTTGTCTTCTCTTGGCCTACAAAGAAATGAACGAACATTAGATATTTATCAAAAAATGAAGGACCTGTCATGTGAAAGAAAATTTGAGAATGAGCAAGTCAATGACATATCACATTCTGGGATACATTCTGCTTGTTACAAATAATTCTTTTTAGATAAATTATTAAAAATAATTTTAAAATAATAATGATAATGCCTCAAAATTAAAATAACAAATTAAATTGTCCTCCTTACATCTTAAACAAAATCAAACATCATGTAAAACTGAGTACTTAATTCCAATCAAATAAATTTTCTTCAGACACTGACCTGAGAGAAGACAAGCCGTTTGTGGTGGTCACAGGGCAAAAGGTCATCAATCAGGACAATCTGCCATTTGCCGTCCTTACAGAGACGGACCTGGTAGGCCCCTTGTGGACAGTAGTTCTTAGTCAGAATGATGTTCTCTACGAGTTCTGGACGCTCCGCCAACACAGCTAAGGCACTGAGAAACCTGGAGGAATGGAAAATCTGATAATCAACACAATGTCATGCTGTTTTTTCGTGCTTCACAAAGCACCTTTTTAGATAATTTATAAATAACTTATGTTTGTGCAAACTCACACATAATTATCTTAGTGAAAAACAAGTAATTAGTTATCATACATGTAATATAATTTCATAATGTATACTGTACTATAATGAACACAGATAGCACAAATTCAAACTTTTAGAAAATTAAAATTAATATATTTTATTTTAATCAGTCTTACAAAAATAACAAATTACTGACTGAATTAATGAATGTAACGAGGCAATTTCAGCCATCCTTCATTATTTACTACAACCATGTTTCACTTTAAATAATGCAGGAATTTAAAGAAGCAAAATTGCCTTAAAATTTAATGGACAAATTTTGAAAAGGTAATTTGCTTATAAATTTATATATTATACTATACAGCTTGTTGACAACTCTGCCAGACAACCAATCCCTGACTAACAGCAGTTTCCCAGAAGTCGCTGAGGGATAAATAACCAATCACTGACTCTGTACTAACCAGCAGTTTCCCAGAAGTCCCTGAGAGATGTCGTCTGGTAAAGGCGTCCTACACACTGCCCATTTGACCTTCTCGTCACCTCGTTGAGATGTGGCGATTTCTGTTGGTCGTAGCCATTGGATAGGTGTCTTTGTGAAGGGTTTGTCCTCATTGATGAAGACAGACTTTGGAATGGGAGGAAAGGAATCGTCCACAAAATGGTCGTTGTGCTGAATTACACATGAAAATATAGAAATACTCTCAGAGTTTCTATTGGATTGTACATATGTATAGATATACTCAGAGAGTTTCTAATGGATTGTACATATGTATAGATATACTCAGAGAGTTTCTAATGGATTTTTGTACATATGTATAGATATACTCAGAGAGTTTCTAATGGATTGTACATATGTATGGATATACTCAGAGAGTTTCTAATGGATTGTACATATGTATAGATATACTCAGAGAGTTTCTAATGGATTGTACATACAGTACAGCTCACAAGTATCTTCCGGAAAACACCGGCCACGGTGGACCCTTGGTCCACGCTTTTGCGTGGACTTTGAAAAATGTCGGTGTCTTTGATGTTTTGTTTTCAGTGCTAAGCTGGCACACGGTGCGACACGGTGTGTACACGGTGGGACACGGTGCGTTTGCTCCGTGGAACTCCGTGCTGGCTAATCAACCTTAAGTGGTTTGAAATGACTTTAAAATAATTCATTGAAGATTTTAGAATAAAAATCATTGAAATACATATCATGCGCAGCGTGCATTTTCCTTCTTTTGATATTGTACTGACGCGTCAATGAATTTAACAAAGACGGAATTTTACCATGTAGTCAGCAATCTTGTGTTATTTGGAAGATATCTTCTTAAAGATTATTTTGTTTGTAAAACAAAAGCTTAATCTAAATTTAAAAAAAAAAATAAGAAAGGAATATTCTGCATTGTACTATGCTCAGGAAATCTATGTGGAATTGTCAATTGATTATCTTATCCGATGTACTTTTTTTTAAAATTATAAATTACTGTAGAAACTGGTGTATATGTAAATAATTACTACATCAAAATACGACAAAGAAAATATATTGTTTAATTTAATTTGAATCAGATGAAAAAAAAAATAGTTATGAAAAGATTGACTTAAATTTCCGTCCCGTAATGGAACCCATATTGATATGAGACCCGATGTAGTCTCTGTGTAATGAGTAAATCTCTGCCCAGCCCATCAGAAAATATGAAATGTTGATATTCAGGTATTGAAGATGCCCCACTTTTTCATCTGTGTCTGTTTGTAATTGTTTAGAATTATGTGTAAAATATAAACCTTAATATTTAACTTGCATTTTGTGTACAGATCAAAGCATTATGGGCACAACATTTTTTCACAAAATTTGTCGCCAAGAATAATCACAATATGTAAATGATAAGATGTAAAACGTTATAATTATGCTCAACAATTGTCAATGACATCGATAATGGAAAAAATTTCCAATGATACTATTCAATGAAAATGATATTTCTGCAATATGTTCTATGTTAAACAATGATGTAAAAAGCCAAACAGTTTTCTTCCATAACGTGTATGAAAAAAAAGTGTTAATTATAAATAGGTTCACTGCCTAACTAAGCATATGCATAGGAGATATGAAAAACTAGATTGAAGATTTTATATTTTACTAATATCTAGCGGAGATTTTTCGCACCATTAAATAAAAGCAAGCATGCTGTATATGTGCTCTCCCTACATGTAATAACAGCCCCCCCCCTTTCCATAATGAGTTTTATGGATAATTTCTACACGGACATGTTAAAAAAAGAACAACATTTACATATGCCTATTCATTGTATTACTTGTCCTTTTTAAGGATTTATTCTAATCCTTTTCAAAAATAGCATTTTAATGATAAATAAAATCAACGAAAGAGAGACATTTCTACGACATGTAGAGTTATTTCTTTTTTCTTCATTTCACCAGTAAGTTATGTTACAGTATATAACGACTTTATATAATCTAGATACAGTTGAATAATATTCGTTTGTAACTGTAACTTGTTTTTTTAAAAATATGATGCTGTACTAAAAATTCTATAAACAATTAAATAAATAGTTGTTTATTTTTCAAGTTCCAATTAACTTCCCGACATGTGTAAGTTTCGAAGCCAGTTGAGGTGTATAGTATACACTCGTCTAGAGTTTCAACATGTGAATAATGTCCCAAGGGCCACAGCAACTGAATGTCCCAATATATTTTTCTTCTAAACAGGTGTGAAATATATTAGCCAAGGAGCAACTCCATACATACACGAGAAGTTTCTGCAATTCATCGATATCCGGTATTTGATTGACAGGTAGAGCACGTGTATTTCATGTGTGATGCGTTGAACTTGTACCTAAATTGCACCGATTCTATTTCGTTTCGATTAATAAAAACTGGAGGTGAACTATGATTTCTTTAAAAAAAAATAAGAGAGATACATTATATGTATATGAGAAGAAAAAAAAAGAACAGAGGGATGAACCTGAAAGTAAAATCTCTCTCTCTCTCTCTCTCTCTCGTATCTTAACATTATAAAATATGGAATTCAAAATAATTTTTAATTATTATGAAAAAAGTGAATAGTATATAATTTGTAAAAGATTTTTTAGAATGCTGCTTTGGCAGTTCAAGTGATTTTTTTTTTTACTTTTCGTACTGATCGTAGAAGATTAAGTAGTAATAAAAAAAAAATACCCAGATAGAAATACTGACACTTTACACATTCGACAGAAATAAACGTTCAAACATTGATTTTTTTTACATTTATGTCTCTTAATGTCAAGTTTAATCAATGGATGCATACAACTGCTTGATTTTCATGTGAATTTGCCGATTGTACGACTACCAAACTGCGAATAAGATTTTTTAGTGAATGCTACGTGTTTAGCTTTTTTTTCCTTGCATGTACATGTACTTTTTCTTCCTCACATGTAGCAACTTAGTATCTTCATTGATAAGTGGTCTACACTTTTTATTTTATTCCTGCAAAATAAGACTTTATTCATATACCATATGAATATCATAATATACCAACTCGACATTTTTTTTCATTATTATTATTTACGATGTAGTGATCAGATGATGCTAAATCATAGGTATTATTTGTAAATGCCTTTACTGTGAATACCTTTAATACCATATTATTTCACAGAGAAAATAACAACTAAAATTATCGATCCGTATCTATGTTTGGCATTGAATAATTATTAAGTTCAAAGACAATGTACGTGTACTTGGATTTGTACCTGCGCACTTATAGCATACGTCAGAAATATATTAATTTGCACAATCGACATGTAGTTGTTTTTGTTTTCAAATGAATATGAAATATGAATTCAACAGAAATCAAAATAAATTAATTCAATTGATATATACATGTTTACCGTCAACAGTGAACCAAAGTCTACACTGAACGCCGCTGTTATGTTACGACCTTACATGTATGATAGTGAGCTGATTGAATTAAATAATTTTTCATTTACTATTTCTTTCTAGCAATTAAACCAACATACCTACATGTATGATTTCAATTCTAAAATCATTTTTATAGACAAACCATTTTCTTCCGTAATTCTCTTGCACGGTGGAACACGGAGGGTCACCCCCATGAAACGGTAATGTCCACGGTGTGACACGGTGCGTGTTTGTTGTAATCGCAATATACGCACACGGTGGAACTCCGTGTACACGGTGTAACACGGGGTATTTTCCACCGTGTGTTTTCCACGGTGGGGTGGAAAAAACTCGTGAGCTGTACTGTATGTATAGATATACTCAGAGAGTTTCTATTGGATTGTACATATGTATGGATATACTCAGAGAGTTTCTAATGGATTGTACATATGTATAGATATACTCAGAGAGTTTCTAATGGATTGTACATATGTATAGATATACTCAGAGAGTTTCTAATGGATTGTACATATGTATAGATATACTCAGAGAGTTTCTAATGGATTGTACATATGTAAAGATATACTCAGAGAGTTTCTATTAGATTGTACATATGTATAGATATACTCAGAGAGTTTCTAATGGATTTTTGTACATATGTATAGATATACTCAGAGAGTTTCTAATGGATTGTACATATGTATAGATATACTCAGAGAGTTTCTATTGGATTTTTGTACATAATTATGTAATCATTATACTCAGCACATGTGCTTCTGATGAAAACTTTGTTGTCTCTATGAAACATACAGTATATAGACCAATTCTGGAGTCATTTTGTTGTTCAGAGTCAAGATAAATTAGAATCACAAAATATATCTACCTCTTTCCTTTTTTTGATCTACTATCATGACTAAGAGATGCAATAGTTCTGAAGCTAACTTTGAAGGATCCAATCAAAATAAAACAATTAAAACAAAACAGAAAACAAAAAATTGTGAACTGTCAAAATTAAATGTGCATTATATGCTATATCATAAGCAAACCTTCTTCTTTTTTAGAACTTGTTACAGAAAGCTGCATGACACATTGTTTTACATCAAAATACAATTGTCCTCATGAGAAGAGTTAATGGTCTACAATGTACAATGAGACTTGATAGAGGACAATGTTTGTATGAAATACCTTGGTTATAAGTGGCCCCTTCTTCCAGTATAATCTCTAATTCAATTCTTTGTTTCCATATAACATTTAATCAATATGGATACTGACTCCATATTTATATATGACTATGTGTAAGTGGCATAATGACTAAAGTTCAAATAATTACCAGGGGTATAATATCCAAATATCCAACATATCAAAATGATAAATGTCAAAAGCTAGGAATCCTTCGGAAGTTTATAAAGCAAAGGTTCAATGTTTGGTTGTCATATAAAATTTTCTCTTCTTTCCCAGGGGTATACATGACTTCTTTGAAATATCAATTACATGTGAATTTAGTTTGTAACAAATAATAGGACAATAGAGATTATAACTGTATCATATTTAAAGAGAAGATTTTTGTGAATGGCTACAGCTGGTCAAATTTCACCTCAGGTAGCCACCATATATAGTTACATTTAAACAAACATGATGACTACCTTTTTTTTGCCCTATAAGTTCATATAAATCTCTAATAATGTGGTAATTTAAGATACATGGCATCCTACAAGCTTAGGCTAGTAGGTTATTTAGCTCGATAGGTAGAGCACTGGACAGACGTGCCAGAGGTCTCGAGCCCAAATTCATTCAGAGGCACAAACCTGTCTCTGTTACAGTAATTTTAAACACTTAACATGTTCAACAACAGACACACTCAATAGATTTTCTGTGTGATGTTTCATGCTACATATACAAACCAAATTTTCTGCATGTGGGTAAGTGTAATTTTTTGGTTATGCTACTTCATATGCCTGATATATGTGAATGCAATTTCGAGAAGTTGTAAGTAACAGTCTTACATGTTTTGATCATAATGAACTAAAGGAATGCTTGGTTTCTGGTTAATTATATATAAAAACAAAAGGTAGATAGGAGAAAAATCAACAAATGCATAAAAAATCACAACACTTTGGGAATTTGTCATATTTTCTTTGATCAACAGGTATAAATTGAGCAATTTATTAAGAAATTTCAGTTATTTAATTATTACTCTTCTGAAAAGTCAAGACAATTTTTTCCTAACATGCACCACTCCTATGACTTTAAACACTGGTCTCGATGAAGCAGAAATAATGCGATCATTACCCTAACAAGAGTAATTGTCAAATTAAATGGTCCTCAATTACAGATTTAAGTTTGCTTAAACTGGCAAAAATTAGTCTGTGTTCTCGGTTCTACAGGGTATTTGTCCCAGTGTTTGGCTTAAAAAATCCCATTTTTGTGCAATATTTATTTCTTAAGAATGCTGTATGCTGTCAGTGTGACAAGATCAATGGTAGTGTGTTGATTTGTAAAGTATTACATATGTATTGTTACAATGTTTTTTAGAATTAGTTCTTGTTACGACAACCTAAACAAATTTTAAACCTATCGTGTCAGCAACTAGATACTTTATTTAGCTTTCTTCTTTTTAAAATGCAAGAATTAGGGACAAAACTTTTAATACTCCTCTCCTTTTTTAAGTTATTAATTTTCAGGGTTTATACATTGATATTGAATGCATCTGTTCATACTGTGGGTATATATTCATCTATAATACAATTACATTCTCCAGAATTAACACTCAGAAAAAAGCCATGCTTCCTGGTTATCATGGTTATGGGAGACCATTTGAAGACTTTTGAGTAGTATTCTGGTTATGAAACCATTTGATTGGAGTGGCACTTTGGTACACTGAAATTATATAATACTTAAAACTTACATTATTTCTAGATCATTAATTATTCAAAACTCCTACAACACAATAAAAAAATACAAGTATGCCAATACAATTTTAGCAAATTTTTAAAACAATGTAAATTGTGAATTATGCCAAATTTTTGACATGTGTACTGTTAAGCAGTATACAAGGGTATCAAAGGGTACTTGTTCCTCACATTCAAATAAAAGTTCTATCATGTCATTTTAGTGAATTTGTATGGAAATAAGAAGATATAGCACATAATTATTATAATTTTAAAAGTATAATAGTTTCATCCAGAGTAAAAACTTAAACATTTGTGGATAAACAAACAGGTTAATTATTGGTACTCACTAAATCTGGTAAAATTTGGACACTAATATTACCTGTCTACAGAATAAATAAAGTATTGCCAGACACTTAACTGCCTACAGAATGAAGTCAAAATTTCTTGAAGAGAAGTTTTATTTACATTAAACCTGTCTACAGAATAAAGTCAAGTATTGCCAGAAACTTGACTGCCTACAAAACAAAATGATGTTTTCCTAGATACCAACCTGCCTACTGAACAAAGTCATGTTTAGCTAGACACCTGCCTACAGAACAAAGTCATGTTTAGCCAGACACCTGTCTACGGAACAAAGTCATGTTTAGACAGACACCTGTCTACAGAACAAAGTCATGTTTAGCCAGATACCTACCTGCCTAGAGAACAAAGTCATGTTTAGCCAGACACCTGTCTACAGAACAAAGTCATGCTTAGCTAGACACCTTTCTACAGAACAAAGTCATGTTTAGCCAGACACCTGTCTACAGAACAAAGTCATGTTTAGCCAGACACCTACCTGCCTACAGAACAAAGTGATGTGTTGCCAGAGTTCCAGAGCCTCATTTTCCTCGATTTTTCGGATATCTTCCATCAATGAGCTTGGCTGTCTGAGAAGTGTGATTAGATTTGGGTCAAAATGTTTTCTGTGCGATTTGCCACTGCCACACATTTGACAGTCTGCCATTTTCAGTGGATTTTTGTATGTACATTGTGAACAAGACCACAGTTTATCTTTCTCCAAACTTTTGTTATTCTTCTCCAGACTTTTGTTTTTGGCTTTTTCTAAGCTTTTACTGGATTTCTCCTTCTCTAAACTTTTATTTCCCTTTTCTTTGTCCTTATTTTTCTCCAGTGATGACTTGGGAGTTTTATCCCTCTCCAGCGATGACTTTGGTGTCTTATCCTTCTCCAGCCATGACTTCGGTGTCTTATCCTTCTGCTGTGAAGATTTTGGCGTCTTTTCTTTTTCCTGCTCCTTTCCTTGAACTTTGTTGTTCTCCAAGCTATTAGTTGTTTTACTGGTAGCCGTACTCTCAGGTGAAGTTTTAGCACCATCCTCTCTAACTTTCTTGTCTGACTCTTGTTTATCAGCAGATTTAGAAGTTCTAGTTACTTTCGATTCAGACACAGGTGTCTTTCTTTTGTGTTCTGGTGGCTCAGAGTTTGCAGTCTCCCTTTTAAATCCACAGGCTGCACATAAAGTGCTGTTAATGGGATTATGGAGAGTACACTTACCGCAGCTCCAATAGTTCTTTGTGTCAAGTTCTGACGTAGATCTACGACCCCCGCACATCTTACAGGATCGCTCTGTGACAAGATTGTGGAATGTGCAGCGATTACACACCCAGAATCTTTTGTCCATTTTCTCAGCCTGATCACCAGAGTCAGGTGATTGTCTAGGAGAGGAATGAGCCTTCCTAAGAGGGGAATGCTGTTTGTTGATAGCAGGGAATTTTTCTCCTGGAGTTTTAACTCTGTGGTTGGCTCCAGGAACACCCACTGGAATCTGGCCCTTCAGACATTTTGTACATTTAGGGCTCCAGCTTGGGTTACAAGCAAAACTACACAAAGAACATGTCCATTCTCCACCATCTTCTATAAACACTGGATCTGACTTTGCTCGTGGGTGGTGGAGTTTCTTTCTATTGTTAGGGTTAACTCCAGGTTTGGCTTTTGGTTGCGGTGAATTTGCGGTGGCTCCACCTGCCTGAAAATCACACTCCATCCCATCCGGTTCTCCACGTTTACTCGTGGTGGGGTACTCCACCTTCGCAGCATCAAACTCGGACACAGAATCCAGAGTGGGTAATCTAATTTCCTGTGGACAATGACACACTTCACAGTTTTTGTTCTCTTTTGGATTTTTTAGTGTACACCTGTGACAATGCCAAACTTCCTCACTTTTCTGACCATTTACAGCCTCTGTTTTATCCTTGCTTTGGTCCGAGCCACCAGTTTCTACTTTATTATCATTATCTGGCTTACAGTGGTTGTACTTAACAACATATTCATCATCGTCGTTAATCATTATGACTTCTTTGAATTTATTCTCATTACAACTTATGCAGATCTCCACCTTCCCAGAGTTTTTCATGTTACAATTTCCACATTTCCACACATCATCCACCACTTCATCGCTATCCACAAGAATCGGTTGCTGAGTGCTGGTTCCCGGCCCTCCAAGGGGAGAGGGTCTGGTAGTTAAGGGCTTTGACCTTCTGACCTTTGTTTTCGGAATCGCTCCTTTACTTCTGTCGATTGTATCCTTGATGTTAAACACAGCCGGTCTCTGTTCTGACCCGCACGCCTGGCAGACGTTGGTGAGCTCGCTGTTGGTGAGGGTACACTGGCTGCACAGCCAACTTCCGTCCACTTCCATTGGTTCATGCATTCCTACCTCACTCCATCACTCTCCAATATGGATATCTTCTGAAATAAATTCCATAATTAATTCACATTCAAAATTATTTTTCTTAGTTTTTTAAACATCTACTTCTAACTACAAACATGTAATTTGCAAAAATCCAAAATTGCAAAAATTTTATTCAGTTGATGAAAATAAAAATAAATCACATTCACAAAAAATTATAATGTATATATAAAATTATGAGATATAGGCATGAACAAAATATTAAACAGGCATTTTCCCTTTAAAAGTATTAACATTCCAGAACTTTCAAACTTCAAACAGATAACTTTATAAATCCAGAATTTTCCCTTACTGAAAATAAAACATTGTCCAAGTGCTAGAACCTTTGATGTAAAATATGTTGTTGTGATATACGGATTATTCAGATAAACACACTGAAATATCCCATGTCACTGTGGACTAAATTCAGATATAATGTTGCACAAACTGAGATTGGAATGTCGTAACAGGCCTTAATGCACCTGTCTGTCTCCATATACTGAGTGGACAAAGCCGGAAACTCAAACCAATGGCACGGGGATAACAAATGATAATGACTAAGTCTGGGCAGGTAGTGATGGGTCACCGCCATCAAAGAGGGCCGGGAGACAGATAACACTCACACCAAGTACTGCACATCATCAATCCCACATAAACACATCATACCTGTTTAGTAGACTGCCACTCAGTGCACGACCATCACTCGTTTAAAGGCACTGAGATTTCTCCGATTGGAGGTGTCTTTTTGTTCTGACTGGGATTTAGACAAACTGTTAATCCATGCCCGCAATCAATCATTAAAAAAATTCTTTTAGGGCTTTATGTTATAAATCTGAATATATTAACAAATACCACACAATGTTCAGATGTGTGAGGGGTTTAAGTTCTATTCAAGTTGGGTGATTTCTACTTTACCCGATTTTTTTGCGGTTAGAAATTATATGAGAATATAAAAGCCAATCAATGCTAACTAGTGAACCTTGTACACATCAAAACAAGCGTTCCTGATAGCAGGGAATCAGCAGATTGGATTGATTTAATGTATGTGGTAGGTATTCTAACGGACATGTACAGGTGTGTATCAACTCTGGGCTAAATTACAAACAATCAGGTGTTCGTAGAAAAAAGAACAGATAGGTAACGAAAAACAAAGGGGATCAGCAGACCACCGAGGAATTGTGATTCCCTCAGATAGGAATCCTTCTTCAGGTTTCACTCTACTGTACAGCTTAATGGGGCCAGAAATAATGCTGACATTTTAAAATGACAGTCATCAAAGTTTCTTTTGAATAAAGTTATTTTAAAAATGGCAATATCTTTAAAATCTAGAAAACATGAAGAAAAGATAAGCAAACTAAATTCTCAAACTTTCTAGGCATTGATGGATTATTCTCAAATATATATGTTAATCAAGCAGACAATTGTAAGTTTTGGGAGTTCTTAACTACATAATTATGGTTCTTATTCAGAAAAGAAAAACATTTACAGTAAATATCAAGACTGGCCACATCACTTATAAGACAGTGAATATTTATAGGACAAATATCTTGATGCAGCATTATATATATATATTCTTAAATGTACCTTAAAATTCCAGACCCCATGAGATTTCATCTAGACATGGATACGTGAGGCATGTTATCCAGGTAAATCTCTTTCTCTCACAGGTGTGTAGGAAATTCCCAAGGCTGCTTACCTGTGTCTACCTGATGCAGGTGAGATAAGACAATGCCACTACTTACTTAAAGCATCACAATAGACAGAGAGCCCCCGGGGCAATGCTGAAATTTACATTCCAGTCCAGGTGATAATGTCCATTTTACACCCCAAACGATTACCTATACAAACAAACTATAGTGTTTATAAAGCAAAAACAAATGTTTGTCCGTCCCAGTTACTGAAACACAAACAATGAACAACACTCTGTGTGAAATTCATTGATGTCAACTTTTGTTAAATAATGTGTACATATACTCATTAAATTTTAATTAATTCAGAGATTACAATGTAATCATTAGTGAGCCTGTCAATAATTCTTCACATTTATTGGATGCCTAATTCTGCAATACAGTACTTCTGACAACATGAGCCTGAAATATGCACACCTGACTACACAATATACAATTCATCACAATACACATTTCAGGTGTGAGACCCAATTACCTGTTCAGGTGTACAATAATGATGTCAATTAAAATAAACAAAGGAATTTACCTGTCATTTTCCCTCAAAAGATAAATTCCACAGATATCAGGCTTAGAGGACTAGGGGCAGGGCGAGTTAGCGACAAGAGAGAGTGAGTCATTGTTTTGAGTGCTGTACTCAGTGGACTGTTAACGACTAGGTAGTTGTATATTGATGGCCAATGAAGCTTTAAGGTGGCAAATTTAAAGGTACCTGATTAAAGCTGATTAACTCTACACCTTCAACTAAATCCCTGATATGTTTTATTGATTTATTGGACAAATACAAGAAAATATTATGGTAATGGAAACTTAATCTTTTTTCATATGGAAAGTCAAAAGGGAATCAAACCCATAACCACAAAAATTCCAAGGTGTTCAACCATGAAGGCACTGGGAGAGAAACATATGCTGCTTAAATGCTATCTTGTTCATACATCTGTAAATTGTTGAAAGTTTGGTAAATTGTTGAATAAATGCAAGGAGCACAAAGGGTGAACATAATCAATTTTCTCATATATTTTTCAATATTGAGTTGGTATTATCCATGTTAACACAAACATGATCATTTGACAATTCACCCTACCTATCCATCATTTAAATTTACATGAATCAGCAAAAAAAATGTGCTCCTAGTAAAAATTATTAATTTCCATGCATTTCCATGGTCTCTGTGAATTATGTGCCCAAAGTGCCACAATGCTCACCTGAATCAAATACAGTACTCTCTCTTTCTCACTCTCTCTCTGAGAAAAAGAAAATTCTGAAATGGAATTCTGACATTGTACATGCAGTTTGAAATAAGGTATAAAGTTAATGATACTCTCCCCATCATAACAGCTCAAGTTTGCTGTGACTTGATGTCATTTTCCATTGTGACGTCTTATGTTTGTAGTTCAGAGAAGTGAAGGCACAGAGTGCACTGTGATATTCTATGGGAAGCCTTAACGTACCTGCGTATATAAGTGAATTTTGAATTTATCACTGAAAGAAGAGTGTTTATGTGAGTTTCATTTCACTAATTACTGCTGACCACGTGCCTTAGAACCTCAACATGGAAGGTAAAACTTGCTATATTAGCGGTAAAATGTCAAATTTTGGTAGAACTAATTCATGATTTTAACATGGCTACTAGTCCTATAAAATCATGTAGTAAACCCTCTGGAAGAATATGTACATGTAGAGAGACGTCTTGACAAAATGTTAAAACCATAAAAAAGTAGTGTAGTGCACACCATAAAACAAGCGAGATATTTCAATGTGTCCAGGCCCTCAATTTGGTAAAAAGACGAAATATCATTATTTTTGTCTTCTTTACTATTTTGTGCAAACAAATTGACAAATAACTCTTCCACTCTTATTTTAGCTCGGTAATTTTGCACTGTCAACAAAACTAGTATTGTAGTCAACTGTATTGAAAAATGAAGTTTGTTTACGATGCTTTCTGTCCTGTTTTCGGTTTGTGGATCTATAATCTTTTTTTTTAAAAAGCGGTAACTCAGTATTCTAGAAACACTTTAAATTTTTACAACTGTTTTTCGTCATTTTCATATTTCATAATAAAAAATTTATTTTATGACCCTAATCATCATTTTCAGAATGACAGATTTTGGTTTCACCCAGGGGTTGAAATATTCAGTAGCCCGACGCCTGGGGCTAGCCATTTTAAGACTTGGGCTAGCTAATTTAAATGTAATAATAGTCTGTCGGACTAGCTGAACAGAAAAATATTCTCATCAGTTTACTTTCACTTTTCTATGTATACTGATTTCTTTTGACTAAGAACTAATTTAATTTGTATCTGTCACCAAAGCCTGTGAAATTTTTATTTATTATGTTTCATTCTGCATAAAAAATTGCTGGGCTAGTTAGTTTGAAGTTTGGGGTAGTAATTTTTTACTAATCAGTAGCCCCTGGGCTAATGGGTTTTCCAGGAAAATTTCAACCCCTGCTCACCCCTGACTCAGGTAAAGAAAAAGCTCATCACATTTTGTTTTTCTTATGGTTAATTGTTATGAACTTCATCACTTATGATGCCTGAATTGGGAACATAACATCATTCAGTCTGGAAAAAAATGTACAGATCTGTACCCATTTTGCATTGGGAATAGGTAGTTTAACAGCCCCGTTGTAGCTTTGACTTGGTGGAGAGCTTTAAAGTTCACTATTTTTCCCCGGTGATCACGAGACAGACAGGGTATATGCATAATTTATCTTTAGAAGTCTAAATTAATGTTAAATTACTCACTTACCATTACCATGATTATTAGGAAGTTCAATAATAATAGAGAACTTTCTTGTTTGCCATGTTGTAGCAACCGCCAATACTGTACATGCAGGTAAAAAATAATAATAACTGCTTCAAAGCCATTGTTTTTCGGTTAGAGATAAATTCATTAAACTTGAAACTTTCATACATTGATTGATGACAAAAACGTTACTGGAAATTTCTGTGTTTTCTAAGTAAGGTGATAGAATCTAAATCTAGAAACTTCAGCAATTGAAAATTTTTACGTTTTAACCTGTCTGAAGTGTTTCATACCATTTAAAAAATTAAACTTACTTTTACAAAAACCATTTCCCCAGGTATGTTAATCTGTTCCAATCTAGTTTATCTACACCTTCTTTCTATTTTCTCTTTCAAGTACCTGGGAAAGCATTCATGCTTTTCATTTGACAGTGCAATGTTTTGACATCCAATAGAAATCTTCGTTACATGGACAGATTATTTCCGGAAACTACTTAGAAGCCATTATTTTGAGTTTGGCAGAAAAACAACAAATTTATACACTTCCTGTATCTTCTTGAATAAAGATGAATAAGTGAAACTGTATGTTGGCTGGATATACGGTTTCCTTTGGGGCAATGTGGTTAGGATGACTTTTTGATTTGGCGTGGAAGAGAGAGAGTAAACATGAATAAAATCGCGAACGTTGTGTATTCAGGATGGATGGTGAAGTCCCCTCCGGAGAAGAAATTTCGCCTGACTGGGGCGTGGAAAATTTTCCGAGCTGTAAGCATATGTCTAGTTCTTATATACTTGATCTCATTTTTCTTTTAATGTGTTTATGTTGATTTTCTACTTTTTTGCCAGAGTCCTTTTGAGTGAGTCAGGGAACTTCTGACAATTTTGGAGTTACAGATCTGACATGACATGTTATTGTTTACTCTTTTCTTGGCGCTTTTCCTTTAGCTCGTGTTACAAAATAAGAAAATTATTCATAATGCTAATTGCTTATTTAAAGTCAAATAAATATGAAAAAAAATCACCTATCGACAGCTTATCAAGACTTGAATGACCAATGTCATTGCAAGGCACTTTGGATTTTTAAACAGCAAGGAAATATTTTTGATTAGGAAAGCTTAAAATCAAAGGAGGGAAATACCAGTTAGCATCAAAGAGTTACCATGATCTAGGAAATATAACGTGCAATGTTTCCTAATAGGTTTCCTGACAGTGGTACAGAATGCCAGCATCAGGCTTAAAGTAAAATGTTATTTAGTTTTATTATCATTAAATGATGGTGCATATGCAATTTTAGAACTTAATCTTGCTAAAATTTCTTTGCTAGATGCATCTTTGTGAAAAGATATCCTTAAAATTATGTATGAAAAGTTGACACTTCTAGTTTTTGAATGTTTTGATATACATACATTATAAGTATTCAAGTGCACTGATTTTGCATGCCTGTAAATGTGGATATAGATACAATATAGCTCAGTTAGAACGGAGGATGTGGATCATTTAGTGCAACCATTACATCACTTGTACATATCTAACGTAAGAGTAGCTAATCTCATCACTTACACATCCACTAGTGTCACCAAGTTAAAGCAAGGTGTTGAAATTATACAGCATTACCTAATAGGCACAAAGTGGACAGTAAATTAATTTTCATTTCTCTCTACTTGTCACCAAAGCTATTGAATTAAATATTTAACTTTACATGTAAATATTATGTGATGACAGCATGTAAATACCATAACCTTCAGTATCTATCCTCACCCCTATTAGGCCAAATAAAAAAATATGTGTGGTTCCGGTTACCCGACCGTCCCTATTTTATACCCCCGACCTTAAACTTTTTTCTGGCAATTTTAATTCATAATTTTTCCAGAATTTTCCCCGATTTCCATCATTGGCTCCAGTATTAGTTTTAGTTTCAGCAATGGTGGCCCCCTTGTAAAACATCATTTCAACATGTAGTGCAAGTTTTAATAATGTTAAATCCAAAGCAAGCTAGCATGTAGGTGTCACCTACCAATGTTGACTAGTATATTATCACGCCACATCTAAATGCCACTTGCAAAGCAGTGATAGGTATTATTTAGAAAAATTATAAAAATTGTTTTGTAAAAAAAAAAAAAAAAAAAAAAAAAAAAAAAAATCCCTACCTACCTACCCTAATTTTTTTGGAGGTGTAACCGGAACTACACATATTTTTTTGTTTGGCCTTATCTATCAACATTGATCAATGAATAAGTTCAAACTTGTCATTACACACTTTTTAATGCAGCTCTACTGGTCTCTCTGTATACAATAATTTCAGTGTCAATATAAGAAGTGTTGACATACTGACTTAACTGAGTTAAAGGCCAGGGTATTCAACCTTGATGTGCATTAATCTGTAATATGACGGCCTCTGCAAATTCATTTATTCATTTTAAAGCTGTTTTTCCTAAGCCTATTGTTGGAAAATATCAGCAGCACTTTAAATTCCCTCATTTTAAATTGTCAATTTTCTTAGCTAACAATAAAGGAGTAGTATTTCTTGAGAGGTTCATACTTGACTCTGCAGGCTGTAAAACGTCACGTAGTGGCTGCTTTAGCAAGTGAAACATTTTAATATAAAAAAAATATAAATAAATAAAAGAAAAGTCTTCATAGAATCCAGGACATCACAGTTAATGTCTCTAGTGTTAATTAAACAAATTGTCATTTTGAAGCATTATAAGTGGAAAATAAAACAACTTCCCCACTTAATGTCTTTGCTGAAGAAAACTGTGACAGATGATCATTAAGTGAATAGGAGAAATTGATTGTTATAGTATTAAAGAACAACTTGAGGGGAAAGGAATTGTTAAGAGGTTCATGACAATTCTGGCTATATTTAGACTAAATTAACACAGCAATATCTTCTTTCTTTAAATCAACCTTGAGCTTTGGCATGTCTAACAAGTGTATAGTATGTTACAGCTGCAAATGTGATGTTTTGAACTCAATCTAGAAAAGTTTCCAAAATGTAGTGCTTTGTATGAACATAGTACATATATTCAGATATTGGCCAGGAAATCATATATAAGAAAGCAAACTAAGCTCTTGTATCATTTGCAAGAATTTTGAGAAGATACAAACATATAAACTTGTACATCAGTAGCATATTAAATCAATAGAACTAGACCACATCAGATGTAGTAAGTCAGCAATATCAAACACTGCAGTAAACAGTTGTCTGGTACAATATCAAACAGTGCACTAAACCATTGTCTGGTACAATATCAAACAGTGCACTAAACCATTGTCTGATACAATATCAAACAGTGCACTAAACCATTGTCTGGTACAATATCAAATAGTACACTAAACCATTGTCTGATACAATATCAAACAGTGCACTAAACCATTGTCTGGTACAATATCAAACACTGCACTAAACAGTTGTCTGGTACAGTATCAAACAGTGCACTAAACCATTGTCTGGTACAATATCAAACAGTGCACTAAACCATTGTCTGGTACAATATCAGACAGTGCACTAAACCATTGTCTGGTACAATATCAAACAGTGTACTAAATCATTGTATGATGCAATATCAAACAGTGCACTAAACCAATGTCTGGTACAATATCAAACAGTGCACTAAACCATTGTCTGATACAATATCAAATAGTGCACTAAATTATTGTATGATGCAATATCAAACAGTGCACTAAACCATTATCAGGTACAATAACAAACAGTGCACTAAACCATTGTCTGGTATAATATCAGCAGTGCACAGCACTAAACCATTGTCTAGCTGGTACAATAAAGAAATTGTACATTAGTGAAAAGTGACAGAATCAATAAATTTAGCTTTTAAGTCCTGTCTTAACTCATTGCTTTTAAGGGATTGTTCAGTAGATCTATATAATTTTCTCATACAGTATTAACCAGTGCATGAAATAATAATTGTCCAGCACATTTTTTCACACTGCACTAAATAATTGCTAATTTCAGAATAGTACATCAGTATAATTATAAATAACTTAAATCTGTCACAGCAGACAGTGCACTACTAGGTCTAATTAATTCCTATATACAATATTGAACTGTGTAATTATGAACAGGATTAATTTTTTAATTAATATACAGTGTGAAGCAGTGCACTATAATTTTAATGTAGTGCAGTATTGAACAATACACTACAGAATTGTCTAGAACCAGACTGAGGGTTCTCTTTTCTGGGGGTACCTGGGGGTACCAGACTCACTGGTACCAGTTACCAATATTCAGTCACATTCCCAATAATAAAGTTATCCTTAGAATGTTAATTTGATCATGTTAAAAAAAAAAAAAAATTGTTAAAAAAAAATAATGATACGTACAAAAAAAATCTCTTTGGGTTTTATTTTTGAAAGAGAAAAAAACCTGTGATATAATAAGATATGGCTATATAAAAATATGTATTTATCTATAATAATGAAATATGTGTGTAAAAATATATATCTAAAATAATAAAATGTATCTGTAAAAAAATATATCTCAGCATAACTATTTAGCAGACAAATATAAGATTGTCATCAAATAATGGGGCAACAATGAATTAAAAAAACAAAACAATTTAACTCCCTCTTTAACCAAGACACTGAGCATGGATAGGTCACCTTTCTTACAGTATTTAAACCTGTAACCAGTGGGGTTCAATGGTGATAGGATTAGGATGTATGATTTAATGTTCCACTTGATAAAGCAAGAGGAATCTGTTGTATTACTGAGTAATCTACAGCAGTTATTGATATGTAATGTGTTGAAACTATTTACAGAATGCCGAGACTTATACTAACAAAAGTAAACATATAAAGTTTATTTAACTTTTATGTATTAAAATTTAATTATTGGTTGAATTTTCAATATGTTGACTGGAAATCATCACAAAGATTCAGAAAAAGGTTATTATATAAGCAGATCTTTACTATCAGAAATGTATAAATCAGATAGTCTATAATATTTAAGTAGGTCAAGTACTGTCATATAATTATTGCCTGTAAAGGTAAAAACTCTGAACAAATATATAACCATCTTTTTTCCATTAAGAAACACTACCTCCTGCAGCATATTTCCTGATCATTACAAGGAGCGCACGGTGGGTGTGACTGGTTGGCGGGGGATGCTTACTCCTCCATGGCACCTGATCCCACCTCTGATGTAGAGGTCCATGTTTGCTCTGCTCCTGATTTGTATTGTTTTAATGGACTTTTGAGCTTGATTACTGTTAATTATCTCCATATTTGATACTAAATAAATGTACTAAGTGTACTACAGTATATACTAGTGTCAAAAAATTGGACCATGTTTACTATCTATTATCAAATTGAATCGGTAGCATACAATCGATTATATGATCAATAGCTTGAACTTTAATTTAAAGGTCAAATTAAATAAAGTTAACCATGTAATATTCAGTTATCCTCGTAAATAAAAACTATATTTCAATACAAATCTGCCAGACCATCTTCAATTCATGCATAGTTGGAATACTTGTCTGCTATTTGCAAGAAAAATTGATGAATGTCCTTTGAAAAAGTTCAAAGATAAACCAGTTTATATTAAAAAAAATATATTTTGAAAAAAACTTTGCGACTTTCGATTTTAAAATTTTCTATTGATTGTCGCCGATGTGCTGTTTTCAGCGATGATTTTTCGATAAGTGACTATCATAACAGCACTAATATATACCATGCTCTGGTACATTGTCATATCCTTAGTTAAGAACCAATAAATTAATAATTTCTTGAAGTTAGGGAAATCATCAACTCCTGATTCAAATTTAATGGTTAATGAATATACACTAAAGCTAAGGAGACTTGCTAAACTCAATTTAAGAGCTACCATAACCAATTGTCATGAATATTGAGGTTGCCTTACAGACACATACCAAGATAAGGTGATCCAGTGATAATTGACTTATCTTTATGAGATTTAAATTTCATGCTCGCGTAAAAGAACTTTATTGATGAAATGAATTAAATGTTTTTGTTGCCATTTTTAGCTCACCTTGACAAAGTTGAGATGAGCTTATACTATACCCCTGGCATTGGCGTCAGTGTTCGTCTGGCCCGAGTTAAAGTTTTTGGAGCAGGTCCATTCCCACGTTACTGTAACTATAAGCCCTACCTGGACCAAACATGCATGGATGATGCATCTAGGGATGGACACTTCCACACTTGTTTCAGATGCTGGATCTGACCTAGATATCCCAGATTAGTGATAAATTGCTAAATTTGCATCTCGCTAAAAAATTCTTCTTATATGGTATTTTTTTTAATGTATTCTGGTAAATTAAGATTTTAAAGATTTAGCAATGAAATTAAAATTTTCGGAGAAATAAGATTTTCTCACCTACCTACAGACCCAGTTCTTTCATCTCGAGTCGGGAGAGGGCAAACAAACATTATTTTAAAGCTGGCCTTATTTATAAACTTATATCAAAATGGCATATCTAGTTGAGTGACTGGCAGGTGACCCATTAGTATCTGTTTTTTATAGTCATCAACAGTCATGGGTCATCAACCATACTTAAAACTTTTTTAAAAACATTTCTTTAGAGTCACAGTGCCAGTCAAACATAATTACCCACCTCAACATGCTCAAAGCAGGCAGTTCCTTTTCCCAAAGGGCAATAAATAATTGAAGAAAAGGAGAGGGGAGGGGGTCTGTTAAAATCATTAGAAGAACCATAGAGCCAGAAATTAAAAAATATATATATAAATCAGGCGCGGATCAGGAATTGAAGTTGGGGGGGGGCAATAAGTAGGCAGGGGGTCTGGGGGCCATCTTGAGGCCCCCAGTGGGTCCAGGGCGAAGCCCTGGTGGGGGCCCAGGGGGCAAAGCCCCTGGAAGCTCCTGGATTTTAGAGATTTTTGTAGGGTAAAAATGAGGTTTACCAAGTAGACATTTTTACATTTTCTTGACAAAAACTATGATTTACACTAACTTTGACAATTTTAGGGGGGGGGTGCCGGATGTGCCCCCCCCTTAAATCCGCCACTGTAAATGAATACTTTTAGTTCTTATCTGTTGAAGATTCAATGGATAATGATAAAAATTCCTCCAAAGACAAGATTAAATTTGTTAAATTATTATGAAGATGTCTTACGTTTTATTGCCTCAAATTTGTTTACAACATTGCAACAGTGACTTTCAATTAGTAAAGATGTATAGCGCTTTTGGATTTTACAAGGCAAAAAACAAAAGAAAACAAAACAAACAAAAAAAAAACAAAACAAACAAACAAACAAACAATGTTCAGAAGAAATTTCCCTTGTAACATTCAGGTGACTCTAAAGGTCCATTAAGCCTTTTGTGTTTTTGTATGGTACACATGTTCAGTAAATAAGTTATTGTGGAAGACAAAATACTTAATGCTGTGTTATCACTACTATTGTACTATTTTAAAAATGGTAAGGAACTTTTTCCTGACATTGCACACTTGAGATAAATTTACTACTGGGGTACTTCCTCAACAAATCGCAATTATAAAGTGACTCAGATCCTATCTAAATTGTCTCTGCCAGTCACTTAATAAGGAGGGACACATTTAACAGTCTAATGTATGACAAATCTACTTATAGTATTTATAACATTTATATCTTAATATGTACATTGTATAACAGTATATACGTTGTACTATAACATTTTTTTTAATCGTGTTAAATGGGAGAGAGGAGGTGACGTTACATTTAGAGACTTACAATAGAATTGAGTAAAAACTAATTTGGATGAAACAAAAAGAATTAGGAAAACAGATAATTATAAATTTATCAATGATAATTTAATTTGTCACAACCAGAGGAAATGAAGGTGTAAAGGTTACCGAGTTCTTATTGTTCTGTTGAAATAAAGCAAGTGTGCAAAGGGGGACAACTTGTATTATGTTTTACCATGAATATATTCAAAATAAAATCAGCAATGTAAGTTGTAAGTGCATGTTTGAAATTATTATATTTTTAATTATTTAAAAAAAAAATGAACTTTTAAATTTTAAAAATCATTGTTTGATTCAATTTGCATAGAGTTACAGAAATAATTTTTATTTAAGATCAGTTGGGAGGCAGATGAACATGGAAGTTATTTAATATCGTGCACATATATATATGTATATTATATACAGTGGACATTTGGTCTGTACCTTAAGAGGTTGGGGACTGTCAGCTGTTAATGAATGAGTCGAGTGTCACCTGTCGGGGGTAACCCGGGCTGGATCTCTATAGGTCTGTCTTCGATGACTGCCTTAGATACCACGCCTGCAATCTGTCAGTGATTTACCTGGATAAACACAGCTTTTGTGTATTGTTTATTCTCTGTAAGACATCACCTGGTGTAGGAACCTTCTCTCCATTCAATTCAAATCACAAAATTTAACCCGGTGATTGACATTAGCACATCTGCCTCAAAAGAGTCTTCTTGATTTATAATGAAAGCTTAATTTTGAATACGATGAAAATAAATGTTTGTTTCATAAATTACTTACTGTTGAGCCACTCGGGAGTAAAGACGTATATTTGTAGAAGTAAGTTTGGTGTTATGTGTGTTAATGTTTATAATGTATTTTATTTTACCAGTTCTCTCCTGATGTGATGGATACCACAGTAAGTGTATCGTGTATTTGGTTTATTTTCATTTTCTACTTTCGGTTTCTCTAACTCTGATGACTGATGGAACACCATATTTACTTTTGTGTTAATATTTATTAACTGACCCTCCATAACTGTAATTAACTATTCAGTAATTAATATGCACAGCTTCCATCGGTCATTTGATCAAGAGTACTTTAATTGGTCTTTTCTTAGGAATGTCCTGGTGTGCATGTTTATTGCGTTTTGTTTATTTTTATTAAAAGGGAACTTTTGACTAGCATGATTTTTTTTAATTAAGTATAAATTTATTGTAAAACTTCTTTCCTTGTCAAGAATGTACAGTGCATGAAAAATTTTATTTTTTGATTTACCAAACTGTTTTTTTATTTTTAGAAGCAGAATTTAGAGAAATGTGAATTCACACATTCCGTGCATGATTGTGAAAAAAAAAATAAATTTACATAAACTTAAATTCAGCTCTTGGTATGAATTAGACATAGCACTGTCAATCACTTGATATTATATGACAGTTTGTGACCATTTGATTTATGTCTTCATCATATAAATTCTAATTGTCACTGCAACTCTTCTCCTTGCATTTGACATACTGACAAATAAATCTCCTTAAAGTACATGAACAAATTATAAATTGTTTTCATTTCTGATAACAAAGGAGTATTTTCTTATTTCTTGGAAATTATTTAAGTGACAACATTTAAATTTTACTCATTATGAAGTCATCAAAATTGTTAAAGTGTTTAAAAGCATTATGTAAGAAAGAATTAATTGATACTTGAGTTAGCTTTTATTGTGATATATATATTATATGCAGATCATATTGTGCAACTTAAAACTACCTACTTAGAAATTCTAAGTATGATTGGAAAAAAATTAATTGACTGGTCATATTTTCACAAAATTTACTTATAATGTTAATACAGTAATTTAATGCTTCATGTAATGATTAATTATTAATTAACATTTCTAATTTTAATTTTCACGGAGGACAGAACGTCAGTAACTTGCACATCTGTGGTTGAGGTAAAGGATAAAACAATTGAATGTATTGATCCAGCGGTAGCCGTCATTCCTTCCCTTGTTTGTGGTTCAATTCCCCCTGCTTCACCTGAGTTGGTTGTTTTCTAAAAATGGTTTTATTTTCAGCTTTGTAAACAAACTGTGATTTTGTTGACAAACACTGAGAGATCATAAGTTACTGATTGTTTCTTGAGGAAATTTCTGTCCATCTTCTGACGTTAATGAGTAGATATATATATTTTTTGTCTTACGTTAATGTTAGTCGTGTGTAGAAATCATTCATGTGTGACCAGTCCCCAGCACCTGTCTTTTCCATGGCTTCCGTGTTAGCCACAGAAATAAAGCTCGTCTATTGTCAGTCACACTCTCTAGTCTGACCGTCCGTCACTCGCCGATCCCGCTATTTATGATACCTGCACTGTCAGTCAGTCAGTTATTTTATACCTGTGTAATTATTAGGAGTAGTACGCCACACTCAGGTAAGATACTGATTGAATATACTAAGGAATATAATAACAACAATAAGGTTGGTGTATCAGATCCTAATCAATTTTTGTTGGATTAATTAGTGATTACATTGGATGGGACTCTTAGTAGTAAAGGTCTATTTTGGTTCATGGTTAAGAATTTAGCATTTTCTGTTAATTTATAATTGGAGGTTATGAAATCAATTGATTTGAGTTGGACACTATACATACATCATTAAAATCTGAAGCAGTGATTCTGATAATCAACACTTCTTTTATTTTTGACCTGATCATGCTGATCCACCACTTGATTTATATCTAGAGGGAAATCATCTATTGTCTCACTCATTACAGGAGAAGGAAGAAATAAAATGTGCCTATCATAAGTTATCTACTAATGGACAACTCAGGGTTTTTCCTGTACTCTTGTATTCTCACACATTTAATGGCTATCTGACTGTTTCCTGTATGTGAACTTAATTCAGTATACTCCTTACCTCTAGAATAGGGAAAGTGAATACCCACCCCCACCCCACCCCACCCCGACCCACCCCACCCCAACCCAATCCTGAAAGTGAAAGTAATGTAGTGAATTAGGGTCACTTGTAAAGTCTAAAAATAACCCACCCTTACATTAAGGGAGATGATGACAAACATAGTTTGAATTCCAGAAGCCTGACAGTTTGTATTTCAGAAGTAATTGCCTCTTTGTATATATGTGAACTCCTATAGTGTATAGCTGTGTACCGTGTTAGGTTACTTCAGACAGGGATGTGAAGGTGTCTCTGGGGGTGGGTGGTTGTCCTGTGAGTTACTGATTATGGGAATCTCAGTCTGTGTGACCCTCAGAACAGAACTTATGGATTACTGATCAAATTTCTAGTGTCATATAGCATGACGGCTCTGTTACATCTTAATACACTAAGATCACAACATATATATACATTAAATAATCTTCTGGTGCATGAACAAAATTAGTCAGCTGAAGATATTTAATATGATGGAATGTTAAGTCTGGGAGTAAATATAGAAGGTAAAAAGGCCTTCTATTTCTGATATTACTTTATTTTACTTGATAACCATATATGTAAATTTTAATCTTTCAATATTATTATATCAACTTTTCTTTTGGATGGGTGGGACTTAAAACATTTCAAATTTGTATTTGTGTTTTGTTTTTATTTGTATTTTTCACATCATATAAGTTGAAACCTGAACCAAAACAAGCTGTAAAGTCTGTTAGGATTTACCAAGTAATATTTGTATCCTATGTCAGAGGTTTTTAAATTCCCAGATTTGAAGGGTCATAGTATAGCATTAGGGTGACCACTTGACCATTGTTTGTTTACATATATACTTACCACTGTTAGGATTGAGTGAAAAATAATTTTACCTATCTAGTATTTGTCACCTAGTCAGCTGTCAGTCAGGTTAGTATGACATTATATCCATTTTAATATCCCCTTTGTTCACTGGCAGGTCATTAATATTGCAGAACATTTCACAACAATTTAACTCTCTATTTATGCATTATGTAACAAGAACAAATGATTTAAATTTATTGCCAAAATTAATAACTTTTAAAATTGATGTTTTTTTATGGCTGAATTTATTGTGACAAATCTCTACCACTTTGTGGCTTAGCTTACACAGAGATGTCAAACTCATCATGTGCTGGACTCGATAAGAATAGGATGTCAGTCAAACTCACCATGTACTGGACTCAATAAGTATTGGGTGTCAATTAAACTCACCATGTACTGGACTCGATAAGATTTGGATGTCCGAGTTAAACTCACCATGTACTAGACTCGATAAGAATGTGATGTCAGTTAAACTCACCATGTACTGGACTCAGTAAGAATTGAGTTTCAGTTAAACTCGCCATGTACTGGACTCAATAAGAGTGGGATGTCAGTTCAATTCACCTCGTAATGGACGATTTCTGGATGAGGATGGGCCCCTCTTATATTCACAGTTTAATGTGAGAAAGGTAGAGTTCATTAATAATGGTGGGGATAATCATTATAATGAAATAACCTGTTTTAAACCATTTGATTTTTGCCTTATTGCTCTTTTGCTATGGATTGATCAAAAAAGAGACAATTTTTCACTTTATATCAAAGAAAGGATTTTGTGAAGGGTCAGAAAATGAAAGGTTAAAGTTCAGGTTCTGGATGAAAGGTCAGATTGGTGATGTGTTTCCTGTGATTGGGATTAACGTCCTGTGGGTGACCTTTGGTAAAGGTCATACTTTACAGGTGAATGGTATAACTGTGCATGTTGATATTATATCCATGGTGTACTTTTGGGTGCAAGGTATAAGACTTTAACTTACATGACCATTATGATGATAAGTCCTTAGGGTAGATTGTATATACTCTCTACTCTCTCTTGGAATGAAGGGACCTCTTAGATTGCATTTGTGTGAAATCGGCCAAAGGAGGTGGGTGTATGATGATTTAATTGATGGAGATGATGCTGATTAAGATAATGACACACAAACAGACCTTACTGTCACAGTATTGAATTATCTCCACCAATCTCGATAATGCTATGTTCACATGAACATCCATTACTGTTAATAAAGGATAATATATAGAGATCACTTAATTATGGCATTTCCTATCCCAGCCATCTATCATGTCATGAAAATTTGTCCAAAATGTTTAATATACTGCACAGCTATAATATATTACATTATTTGAATGATGTACATGGCCATCCAAATGTAGATACCGAATCTGTGTTAGCTGTGATTGGAAGTTTTGTTAGTATTAATAAAATCTTAAGAATTCCTGGGAAAAAAACTGAAGAGAAATTCTTGGAGATGACGAGCCTGTGGCTTTAGATCTCTCCTCTCAGGGACAAGCTGACAAAACAGAGGCATCCTAATTATAGCTGGAATGTGATATTTTTATCCTCCATCTCCCAGCTTCTTTGTTCATCCTAGGATGTGCATACACAGTCTGCTCTGTTAATATTTACTGCTGCCATTCAGTGTGCAATCAGTTTTTAATGTCATCATGGTGATCACTTTACTGTAAAGAATTAATTTACCAAAGATGTCAGAACCTTTTCTTTTGGATTAAGTTGCTAATAACATTGTAAGAAACACTGTAGAAGTTTCTTGTAGCCTTGAACCTTTGATATTGGAGGTGGATTAATGTGACATTAGGCATGGACTGCTGACTCGTAGTAAGTACATGTGTACTTGACAGGTAAACACGGAGAGGTAAACAGAAGAGCATATAAATATGGGAAGGCCATGTAAAACTTTCTGAAGTTCACAGGGTGATCAATTGTTGGCTTCATCAACTTTTATTTTTGGCAGATGTTGTCACTGTCTAGATACATACATACAAATTAATGTGTCTCGATAAACATTAGACCGAGTACAGATCAAGCCAAGATTCTAGATCTGTGTTGGAAAATTTTAACATGACAAGTACTGAAATCCATCGGTCAATTCAGCTTTTCATGAAGAATATTTTAAAGATTTTACATATAGGTCTTGAATAATTAGCATTTTGGATGAATTAATTAGCAGGGATTACAGCTGACAGACATTTTAAAATCTCTATCAGGATTTAGTAAAGACAGACTTGTCTGGAATGTTTTAGAGGTGGGACGGCCAGTTTGTGACACTGCATAATGTTACTGATCATATGTATCGCACTGTATTGTTTTTGTGAAGTTTGTAGGTAGATTGTGTGTTTTGTAGATAAATTGCAGCCTTTTAGTTTGGCTGGTATTTTGTGTTGTATATTTCTGTGTAATTTTAATTGGTTTGTCTTGTTTATGACTAATTGTTTCATCTTTGTGATGTCCTATTAAGCAGGGAACAGGGAGAAAAGGAAACATTCTGCAGACCCCGAGTTTTATCTGAGTCATCACTACAGATTTGTGATATTTCTAATTGTTGGTAGAGATATTCTTGCTATTTCCTCAGAAGTTGTGATATCCTTAATTTACGGGACATACACCCTAGACATAGGAGGCTAATTACTAAACAGGCTTGAAGAGTCTGTGTGACTCAGAATCTGGTTAGAGAAATGTTTGCATTAGGTCTTTACTTTTAACCCAGGGTCCCCTCAGATGGTCATGGGTTAGTGTGGTTTTGTGTATTCACATAAGATTATATTAATTAATAACATTGCCTCAGAAGTGTTTCGTTGAATGACAATTTATGCTAATGAAAGAAAGCCAAAATACTTTTCATCAAATATTCATGCTTGGTATTTGAAATGTACAGCTTTAGAGTGAATTATTCATGCAGTCTGTGGGACTAAGTGGGAACAGATATTAAAATCTCTCCTGCTGAAGATTATAATACTGTGTAATCAAATATTGAATTGTATGTTTCTCATTTGACAGCGATGGAAGAAGAGGTTCTTCGTTTTGTTCAAACCAGAGGGTAGTCTGCCTCACCAGTACGTTTTAAACTACTACAGCGATGAAAACTGTAAACGACTGAAGGGAGTTATTGACCTTGAACACTGTGAACAAATCATTGAATCTCTCGACCTTGAACTTTACCCTTTTCTTCTTGCAATCAAGACCTTCCACAAGAATAAAGAGAGAACATATTTCCTGGCAACGGACACCGAGGAACAAATGACCACGTGGGTGCGGAATTTGTGTAGTGTGTGTGGATTAAAGCCGGAAGAAAATCCGACAAGTAAGTTCTATTTTGTCTAAAATAGGATTTGTTATCTGACAAGTACTAGGGTTGATCCAAAGTAATGTAAAAACTACTATTTATAGTCTTTATAATAATCGTATTTTTCAACAAAACCTTATGTATACTAATGCCTCTGTCTATTTGACTTTTGCCCTAAATTTTATTCTTATATATGGGATACTTTTAGTTTATAAAATATTAACATGATTAATGTAAACACTACGTTGGGTCTCATCTATCACAGCAGGGCAAGAATGAATAACATTTGGACAAATTTCGAATAATTTTAGTTTTACAACTCAAAACAAGACGGGTTATAGCAAAATGGCAGTAAAGATTATCAAAAAGGGGCTCTTAAGAGGTTAGAAAGATATGCAGATGAATGGAAAATAAGTGACCAATCTGTAACATTGTGCGGCGATAGACAAAACCTAAATTCGTATTTATCTTAGTATTTTAATAAATATTTTATGTAATTCAATAGGGATGCAAGATTTTATCGGTATACCAGTATATCGTGATTTTTTATTGCGTGATACGTATCGTGATACGGAGACTAAAATACCAGTATTTGGTACATAATTAAAAATTCTAGAAATTATTCAATTATTTTTTACTATTAAATAAAAGATACAGGAAGTCTAAAAAAATGTTGAAAAAAGTTATGGCACCCAAACATGCTTTATATTATAAAAATAAAAATGAAAAAAGTGAAGTTATGTTTTTACAGCGTATTTGTAAGAAAAATTATAGAAATTCATTAGAAATCGTAGTAAAAATTCTGTGTAAAAATATCTCGATATTATCGTGATATTTTGGAGAAAAAATCGTGATATATCGCAATACGAAATTTTTGGCAATACCCATCCCTATAAATGAATGAAATTTAAGGCAAAAATCAAAATAGATAGGGGTATTAGTATGTTAAATTTTGTTGATAACATTTGATTATAAAAGATTTTATAGCAGATGTGACATTACTGTTAGATCAACCCTCTTAATTTCCAGTTTATCTAATTCTGCCTACTACATTGATTAGTTTGTATTGACTGTAAATAGTATTTACCTCCTTAGAAATACATTCTGAATTCCATCCGTTTACATTGACAAACAAATTATGTTAAAGTTTTGTTTGAATTTTATCAGATGCATGTAACATATAAACTGTGTAATGATTATCATTTCTTTGGAATATTATTTCAGTTTACAGGATATTTAAATAGTTTGTATTCTAATTTTAGCGGATGACATCCCCCCACCTGTCACAGAGAATCCTAGAACCAGTTTCTCCAGTTCTCCAGACAACCCACAACCAAAACCAGTATTGGCGGTCGCCCCTATCACCACACAACCGACAATACCAGAGTCCATGGTGAGACAGGACTCCCTGGAGGACTATATCCCTCTGTCAAACTGCAGCTCAGGGAAAAAACGAACCCCAAACCGACAAGACAGTGTGGACAGTATTCCAGACGAACATGCCCCACCCCCGCCAGTCAAGGAGGGTCACACTGATATAGACAATGATGTGTTTCACCCCTCAACATATGATACGCCAAAACGCTTAGAAAGAGTGATAGACAGTATATACAAGGTTCCCCCACCTAGAGTTATTACCCCTGATCAGAACAATGCTCAGGACACTTACGATGTTCCTCCCCCCACACATCACAGCCCTAGTTCCCCCCGCTCCAGCAGTAGTGACAGTCAAAAGGTAGACTCTGCGTACTCCTCACAAACTGGTCTCCCCTCCTACGATTACCCTCCACATAGTGGGGACCAGCTAGGACATGATGATGTGTATGATGTTCCGCCTTCAAATCATCCAAGTGTTCCAGGAATGGGAGATGTTCCCCCTAGACCCCCACCCCCCAAATCGTACAATCAAGAACCATACCAAAACCTCCCCAACAACAGTCGCATTTCAAACTTTGATCTGGACAAAGTGGTGCCAACTTCAGCTATGGATAAACATTGCTCTATCGGATCTTATGATATCCCCCCACCCAAACTTACATACTATGAAAGACCCAAAGGTACCATTGCAAATGGGGATGTAAAAGGTGTTTCCCCTAATAGTGTTCCCCCTCCGCCACAGAGGTGTTCAGCAGGTGTGTCTCACAGCTACATAAATGCGGGGAAAGGATATGTGCAACCCCGTGTGGATGGTGAAAACAATTATCTCCCAATGGAGGGAAACAAGTCACGGAATAATTCAGATAGTGTATACCACGATATGTCTGGAGGTCATGACCCCTATCTGGATATGACCCCAGGTCATCACGAGGTGTATGATAAGCCCCCAGCAAGACCCCCAAGGGTGTCTCCTAGACCATCCACAAATCAAGGTAGGAAAATAAGATCTTAATGATTTGTAATAAACTATAAATCAGTTAAGGAATAGAACATTAGTAGGGAAAGAAAGCATGAGATTCTTTGGTCATGTTGTGCCACAAGCATTCATGAAGACAAAATGCTTTGCACTGTAAAATACTGATTTGACATCAGGCCCCCCTGGACATGAAACAGACATGGTCTAAATTTCAATCATCAGCCAAATGCTTATTTTTAAATATGAAGTTAAGCTCAAAATTTGCTGATAAAGACTGTTGATGCTGTCTTTGAAAGGGCTGTTTGATCTATATATCATTTTATACAAAACAAGGAAAGGCTGGGATGATATATAGAGATATCAATAACATTGATTCTGTTTGAGGACGATATATAGAGATATCAATAACATCGATTCTGTTTGAGGATGATATATAGAGATATCAATAACATCGATTCTGTTTGAGGACGATACGCATCTAAATAAGTATGAAGAAATATCGCAAAAAAAAATTTCTTTGTTTACTTAACATTTTGGGATTAATATATTTATAAAATAAACATGATAAATATACTAAATATAATTATGAAATACATGATAATTAACACCACTTGTGTAAAATAATTTTGTTTTACAACAGATATACAACTTCTTTGAATTAATTATTCTTAATTGTGAAGAAATGCTTTGTTCAATTATGATACAAAAAAAAAAAAGATTTTATAACCAATTCAACATATCATGATACATATCGTATCGTGGATCAAATATCAAGATATGTATTGATATAGAAAACAAATCAATTGAACCTAGTGGAAAGTACATATTTTGACTTGCATCTAAAGGTCATGATCCCTGGATCTAGCCTTTTCCCCCTTCCCCCTTCTCCGAAAGACACACGAACACACACATGTACACAATTCTTAGGATTATAATAAAGCTGGATCAGGGTGACATTCTGTGATATGTAGGATTATGTATGATGAAGGCACATTTTGCAGAAGAAGAACAAAGTTCTTTATTTTGAACAGTACTCTGCTTGTTGAAGCATGTGATTCATGTTGCATCAATGCATTTAGAATTTCCAAAATTTGCTACAAATTGCAGATGTTACAAATATTGAGTAACCTCGTAGCTGGTGAAGAATTTGTGAGAAGATATAAACCTATCAGTCAGGTTCACTTAGGAGCTGTGGTTTCCTTAATTATGTAGACATTTATTTAAGCCACAAATCATTTCATATGTCGCACTGTTGATCTTTTTGATTGAGTTTAAAAATAGCTCAAGATAAACTGTATATAAAGGGTCTTCTGCCAAAAGCCATCTGATCAAATTACAACAGAATTTAGCTGACTTGAGCCAAAGATTCAAGTGAGCTTTTATGATTGAAATTTGTCTGTCTTGTAGTCATTGTTGTAATTAAACTTTCACAATTTCATCTTCTTCTTCAAAACCGCTGGGCCAATTTTAACCAAAGCTGGCACAGAGCATCCTTTAAATGGTTAAAGGGGATTCAAGTCATATTTACATTGAAGCATCCTCAGGTAGTGTAAATTCAAGTTTGTTCAAATCATCATGAGCCCTAGAGGTAGGGTGGGGCCACAATGGGCAATCAAACTTTAAACAGGAATATATTAGAAAAAATCTTTAAAAATCTTCTCAAGAACAGCAAAACCTTGATAAGTCATATTTATAAGGAAATTAATATCCTCAGGTAGTCATGGAAGTGTACATAGTGTAGATTCAGGTTTGTTCAAATTATGATCCCCTGGGGTAGGATGGGGCCACAATATGTAATCAGAGTTTTAAATAGGAATATATGGGGAGGGGGGGATCTGAAAATTAAAAACAGCAGGGCCATAGGGACTCAGGAGAGTGTTGTGGCCCATGGGCCTTTTCTTTTTTGATGTAAGCAGCATGGCATCCACAAAATTAGAATCGGATGAGCAATATTCAGTCAGTTAACAGTTAAGGTGCTGTTTTCTGTGATTTATGACAAGAAAAATATTCAGCAAAGATGGTCTCATGTGACAGGTTTCTAATATTGTGACAGTGAAAAAAGGCTAGAGACTGTAATGCCTTGAGTTATAAAATCCTGGCCTGGGTGTGACTTCCGTCATAACATCAGTGTGTTAGAAGCTCCCAGAAATTGATGAGATTGTGAGACACACTCATATTACAGCAGGTGCCTATGTACATGTATTTACAGTCAGAGCCTTTTAGCATTGATCTTAGTATAATGTTGTCAGCTATCAAAATTGATAGTTCTTTTTGAGTAGATTCTTTAGCCAAATTCTAAGAATTGCAAGGAATTTAAATTTATATGGCTTAATATGAACTTTATTTACAGAATTCTTGAAAGATGGTATTTGAAATGGCCTATGAAATGAATTTCGAAAATTATGATGCTCATTTTATTGATTTAAAATTTGGACTTTTATTTACAGAACAAGACACTTACTCTATATTTAGCACCTCTCGAACCCGGAGCTTTAAACGTCACCCAAGTTCCAGTAGCTCACAGGGCACGCTAGAGAAAAGGTTTGTCATGAAGGACAGAATAACTGACAGGTAGCAGGAAAACTGTGTGAACAACCTATTCCCTAAAACAGGCTGTAAACATTCCAACTCCCTAAAACAGGCTGTAAACATTAGGTCAACATTGCTGTAGTGTCCCTGGGGAAGAAATTTTGTCAATTTACTTTCATATTTTTTAAGATGATAATTATCATTTGATTTATTATGATGGTGCAGTGATGATTAGATAAGATGTAGACATGTAGGTTGCCCTGTTATAAATGCTAGGAATTTTGACCATACACCCACACACCCCTCAGGGTTTTAGACCAACGTCGTCGATGATATGGATTCAGGACACAAATTAATGAATATAATTATGAAATATACTTAAAATAAACATCTCTTGTCACTAGAGCCCCAAAAAAGTCTCTAAATTGCATAAAGTTCAATGTAACATTCTTAAAAGTTTCATGAAAATGAATAGATCCATTTCCAATTAAAACCAAATAACCTTAAAAACATACAAAATGGTCTGATGAAGATTGAATATCTTAATCAATTACCTTGCCATGGAACGGGTCTAGGTGCATGTGCAGATAAAAAAAATATTGGGTTTTTTAAAGGCCAAAAACAATAAATTTATAGTTTCTCAAGCACTGCTGCATTGGGTCAAAATATACAGTATTGATCATTTTTATTCACAAAGTGAAAAGGGGTATAACTCAATTTTCTATTTTAAGAAAAATGAGTAAATCCCCCTTTTGCCTATTTTTTTTTATAACACTACATTATCAATATAATTAAAGCTAATAAAAAATATTGAATAACATTATTTAAACTCTATTGAGTATCAAGTAATACAAAAGTACACAACAGGTAAAATTTACATGGCATTATTACTTGTTGACAAGAAAAAGAAATTTGCTTAATTATCTGCCTGCTACATTAAATTTTGAAATGTTTGGCTTGAGAAACTTAAGATATTGGGGAGGGGGTGGGGCTTTAAGGAATGAAATGTTGCTTCAGAGTGAATCCTTTGAGTACTAATTTTGAACATTTGAGAGAATCTAGTAATTTTGGGATATTTATTAAGTAAAAATTGCCATGTGTTTAAAGCATCTACTGACACAATTTATTGAATATGTAAAATTGAACAGTAATTAGAATTTCATTAATGAGCTTTAAGTGGTTGACTTCAAGTTTTTCCATATTAACATTATAGGAAGGCAAACGAAAAGGGAAATAACCGAGCGTGTGCCCATATTAACATTGATGAGGGACGTTATAGGGTGACAAAGGGAAATTACCAAGGGTATGCCCGCATATGTACATTAATGTGGGAAGTTGTAGGGAGGTAAAGGGAAATAACCAAGCCTGGTTCACACAGAGTTCCAGCCCTTGTCAAGTCTTCTGTCCAAATATCAAGGGAGGTTATTCACTCTCTAAACTTCTATTTCAGATGAAGGGGACACTACTCCTACAAATTCTAGGTACAATTTAAACAAGATATTGGCATTTTGTGCACTCTGCAGGTTCTTGGAATTGCAGTTAATATTTAATTTTGTTTCTGTTTAAAACAATCCTATTCTTAATCATTTGCTTTTGAAAGTTACACTGAATATTTTGTCTGCAGTGACTTATTTTGGACATGTAATATGTGATAATTTCTGATTCTTCTATCAGCTCCTGTAAGTCTCGCTCTGTAAATCAGTGTCTTGATGGATAAACTAATGACAAATACTTTCATTTTTGTAATTTGATAAGCATGGAAATTCATGTACTTTTATGAATTACATCCTGAACCAGTGGAATTCTATACCTAACATATTATATGGCATGAATTAGTCAGACTGTATACAATATGCACTTATTAATAAACATTTTTATGCTGGGTGCAAAGACAAATTTTAAGAATGTGTTCATTAGAATAGCAGAGATTGATAAAATAAAAGTGGGAGGGGTTGGCCAAAAAATATAAAAGCAATATACCGGTATAACTGATAGAACAAGGAAGTATACTTTAATTTAGTGTGAACAGAAAGATTACAATTATTTAGAGTTGTAAAGGTAGCTATGGTAGAATTGGCATTTATCGACTTGTGCACATGGTGTTCATACCTTGTATCTAATATATTGTGTATTATTTTCACTGATGCAAGACTTGCAAGACTAGAGAAATTAAGAATATCACTAAGATTGTTCAATGATTGGAAAGCTAACATGGTTAATATCATGTGTTATAGAACCAAAGATGGAAGACAAGGTTCATGTAAATAAAAATATGATTGTAAATTTGTAATAAGAGTAAAATGGATATTGTCAATACTTGATACAGGTATAACTTACATTTGATATATCATTACCATTTGTATTTAAATACATTATGTAATCATTCAAAGTTAAGATTAATGCATGTATAACAGAAAAATTTAACAGAAATTCTTAGTAACAGTGATTTTGTTTTGTAACATTTTGTGGGTTTTATTTGACAGGTCAAACCAGACAGCCCCTCCCCTGCCCTCCCCATTGAGGATTCACCCGGATATGGAGACCAGCTCCGAGGAGGATGAGGATTATCTGGTGGACCCCAAACAGGTCATGATGCCCTACTATTGCTCAGAACAGGTGGGGTATAGATAAGGAGGCATGCCAACATCTGATGTATTAACATGAGCATCTCTATTGTCTTCAGAATAATTACAACCCTTATTCTAGCATGTTTATCTCCCCATATCTTCTCTAACCTCCCTCTAACTTCAGCATTTATTTCTCTCCGACTGAAATATGGTTATCTCCCTTAACCCCAGCATAATAATCTTCTTCTAACATGTATATATTTATCATTGACTGCAGCATGATTATCTCTGCTAAGAGTGCAACGATAAACCCTTTAACGGTATATCGCGGTATATTTTTCCACGGTTTAATTCACGATACATAAACTGATACCGCAGTTCGGTTCAATCGGTCCAGAATTATCCGAATCGACTGTTTTGTTTCCTTGTTTACAATTTCAAAATGGCTTCCGCACAAAACATGAGGTCGACATAAGGCATTAACATCAGTTAAACTCATCTCCAGCATCTTACAGACCTCAGATTTAACATGGAGAAGGACTTTATGTGATTAAAAGTTATAGATGTTAAGACAAATGATAAACCCTTTAGATCTAAATGTATTCTTTGGTAATACACGATATCTCATCATGCGTGTATTTCAATGAAAATTCACTGTCTTGTTGACTAAAACATGTTAACATGAGAAATATGACAACTGGTTTTCTATGTTAATAAATGGAATAAAAGAATGAATGTCTTCCTTTTTCATTCCAATTTAAAAGGAAGATTATTAGGAAAGGTCCCCGTAGTTCCCTGTAAATGTTCATCACTGGTTTAGAATATTATCACAACTGAAAGATCTACCTATCAATCAAGTTCAAGTTAACAAAATGATATTTTAATTATTAGCTCTTCTGAGCCAAAGGATCAAAGAGCTAATGCTATGGCCATTTGTGCGGTGTGCGGCGTGCAGTGTGCATAAACTTTTTAGAATATGGGCCATAACTCAAGAACCCCTTGGCCAATTATTGTCAAATTTGTCACAGGGTATCCTTGGCCCAAGGACCTCCTTTTGTACTAATCCTAGGGTTGTGACCTTTAAACAAGGGGAGATAATTAGGAAAATAGAAACAAAAGTACTGGTTACTAAAAAATCTTCTTCTCGAGAACCACAGTGCAGATTATCACCAAACTTACAGAAAAGGATGAGGATATGTTGTAGATTAAAATTTGCATGGGGAATCACCCTGGGGCAAAGGGCGTGGTCTCAAGGTCACTTCAAAGTTGACCAAAAATTACATTTTATTAAAATGTTGATATTTTGCTAGCTATAAGGACTAGGGTCATCAAATCTTGTCAGTTGATGCATCTAAGGACCTCATATCATGTTGACTCAAAAGTAGGTCACGGTGACCTACTTTTGAAAATTTATGGCTTTAATTAAATATTTCAGGTACTTATTGGCTTAGAATCATCAAACGTTGTCAGTTGATGCATCTTGGGTCCTCGGAGTACAACAACTGAAAAGTAGGTCACCATGACCTACTTTTGAAAATTTATGGCTTTAATGAAATATTTTGGGTACTAATTGGCTTAGATTCATCAAACTTTGTCAGTTGATGCATCTTAGGTCCTCAGAGTATGACAACTAAAATGTAGGTCACCATGACCCACTTTTGAAATTTTATGGCTGTATTTAATATTTTCGGGTACTATTTGGCTTAGAATCATCAAAGATTTGTCAGTTGATGCATCTTAGGTCCTTGGAGTAGGTCTACTGAAAAGTAGGTCACTGTGACCTACTTTTCAATTTATATGGCTATAATGAAATATTTTGGGTACTAATTAGCTTAGAATCATCAAACTTTGTCAGTTGATGCATCTTGGGTCTTCGGAGTAAGTTGACTGAAATGTAGGTCACTGTGACCTACTTTTGAAAATTTATGGCTTTATTTAAATATATCAGGTACGAATTGGCTTAGAATCATCAAACTTTGCCAGTTGATGCATCTTGGGTCCTCTAAGTATGTCATCTGAGAAGTAGGTCACTATGACCTACTCTCAGGTACTAATTGGCTTAGAATCATCTTGGGTTCTCAGAATGTTTCATCTTAAATGTAGGTCATGATGACCTACCTTTGGAGTTTCAAGGCTTTATCTAAATATACAGGATACTTAGAGGCTTCAAATAGAAGTGATATGTTGTACAGTTTATCAGAAGAGTGATTCAAGGCCCTTGGGCCTCTTGTTTTCAAAAATATAACATTTGATATAACCCTGTAAAGTTTAAAAAAAATATGACAAACTTAAAAAAGATTTTTTAACCTTGTCATGTATCATGATATGTATTGTATCGTGAACTGAATACCGTGAAATATATGGTATGATGAGGTTAGTGTATCGTTGCACGCCTAATCTCTGCTGACTTCAGTTTGACTGCTGACTGACTGCAGTACAGTTATCTCCCCTGATAATTATTATTTCCTGACCCAGACAGCAGGCCCTCAGGGAATAGTTCCTGTCAGGGGTTTGATGAAAAAGCTATCGCACTCACAGCCATTGGTTAGTTGTATATTATATACTCCAGACAGCAGGGTGATTATTTATCACTGATTGTGGTACAGTTATCTCTCCTGATTCTACAATGATAATTTTTACCTAAATGCAGCATGATTATACCCAGACAGTAGGGGTATCTAGAAGGTTAATCTCGGTCCCATTGAGTTTGAGACGGGGAGGTTTACTTTTGGGGATTACAGTGAACCGATGTAGTAACATTGTAATTTCTCCTAATTAATGATTAAATAAGGTGAATACCAATGACCTGGTACTGTAAACTTGAGTAATTCAGAGCAGTTTCTCTATGGTGCATGTTGGCATGTTTCCATTCTGTACCCCACTTTTTATTTTGTTGTTTACATTTCTCCTTCCTTCCTTGTGCAGTTTTCTGTGTATTGTATGTGATGTTTTTGTGTTAGTAACACAGATATGTTGTGGGGACTTTTGTTTTTGTTCTTTTGATTTTGTTTTTTTTTAATGTTTTTGGTTATTTTAAGCTTACCTGAGTCGTAGGCTTAACTAAATTTTTCTGATCACAATTTGTCCATTGTCTGTCTGACTCTGTCATCATCATCCTCTGCTTATCATCATTATTGTAAACTTTCACATTTTCATTGTCTTCTCCAGAACCAATGGGCAAAATTCAAACAAACTTGGCACAGAGCATCCTTGGGTAAAGGGGATTCAAGTCTGTCCAAATGAAGAGCCATGTCTTTTCCAATGGGAGATAATCAAGAAAAGGCAAATGTAGGGTGGAGATGTACAAAAATCTTTTTCTCAAGAACCATTGGGCCAGAAAAACTGAAACTTAATTGAAAGCTTCCTGGTGTTGTGTAGACTAATCATGGGGATAGGGTGGGGCCACAATAGGGGATCACAGTTTTACATTGAAATTTATTGGGGGAAAAATTTCAAATTTTAACCTAAAGAATAGCAAGGGCAGGATTAGTCATATTAATATTCAAGCATCTTCAGGTAGTGCAAATTCAAGATTTTTTTCAGATCATGGACTCCTGATGAGGGATAGGGCCACAATAAGAAATCTACATTTTATATGGGAATACATGTGTATATACAAAAAATGTTTTAAAATCTCCTTGAGAGATCAACAGGGCCATGATTGATCATATTCATATGCAAGCATCCTCAGGTAGTGCAGATTGAACTTTGTTCAAACTTTGGCCTTTGGGGGTAGGATGGGGCTTCTAAAGGGTATCAAGTTTTACAACAGAAAATACAGGGAAAAAAGAGTTTAAAATCTTTTTCTCAGGAACAGTAGAACAGTAGTAGTAATAAACAAGTAATCTCCTGGAAGTGCAGATTCAAAGCAATAATGAGAATTAATAATTAGGTAATTATCCTCTCAGACTCCTGTGTAGAGAGTGATGAGGAAGTATACAGATTCTACAGAGAGGGATGGGCTCGTCCAGGAAGTTAGAGTCATTATAAAGTTGACATTTAAAAATGCTTAAAAATCACTTTAACTTTTGCATATCACTTCACTAGATGTTTTGTACTTTGAAAATAAGGAAAGGGGGTCACAGTATGTGATATTTAATAACTAGATTGATCTGAAAAATAGGAGCCCTGTTTTGTGTGAAGTCAGAGGTATACTGATAGATTATACAGCATGCTCTGTACTATATAGTTACTGTATTTTCTGTACTTTCATGCAGGAGATATTTTAGATCTATGCACAAATTTAGTGATTCCTAAATGGTAAAAAAAATTTTTAAGCATTCAGTCCAACTTTTGAGAGATTGTTCAGAGAATTCACAGGTTTTCAGTACAATATATTATGTATGAACAGAGCCTCTTACAGAAGCAGTAATCATGTCTGTATTTACATGTCTCGAGTTACTGACTTGTTTTCTTTCTTTTCTAGAGATCCAAAGGCTGGGAGGATATTCCTCCTGCCCCCAAACAAGACTCCGAGCTCAAGTACTTAGACCTCGCCCTGGACAATCCTTACAATGACCACGAGACCCACAGACTAAACGCCCCTCCCCCAGGGCAGAGTACACCCACAGAGTACAAGGAGATTGATTTTGTGAAGACAATAGGGCTACAGGAACTGAAGTCTAAAGTACAGAATGACAGAAAACATGATGAAGCTTGAGGTTGGGCAGTTAGGCATACACAAGGGGTCCGATGTGTGGTAAGGTTACCACCAGCCAAGCAGGGAACATGGTTATTTTCTCATTCCTAGCCAAGGACAAGTTTGTTATTGTTTGAGGTTTATCTCATTGTGCAATCTGATTTGTGATCAGAAAGTTACTTCTTAAGGAGAAGGAATTTTTTGCAAGTTTTTTAAAAAAATTAAATGGATGAAGAAAATGCTATTTTGTCATAAGTCTAAAAACCTCATTGAATCTTCTGAAAAAGACTAGGAAAAATCTTGTAGAATGTTTATAATATAGAAATATACTGGAAGTAATTCCCTTTATGTCTTTGTTGACTATGTAAAGTCGTAAAAAATGTTGATTATATGAAGATATACTGGGAGTAATTCCTTTTATGTTGATTATATATAATGGTTGTCATATGGCCTTCGGAAAGTAGACAATTTATAAACATTGAATTCACAGTAACGTCTGTCTCTATGTTTGTAAGAGGTCCATTACCATAATTAATTCATTAGTACATTCATTTCTAATTATTTCCCAAGTGTCAAATAGTCAAAATGACCAAAAATCAAACTGCCGACTTTACAAGTGTAGGACCAGATTAATATTAACAATTCAAATGTGTTATCTTTTTCGAAAATCATTAGTTTTTTTTCCCCTTTAATTTTAATGTCATTTTGAAGATATTTGAGAAACAATGTATGGTTGTTAAACTGTCTATAATGCTATGATGTTTGAGAAGAGTTGTATGGTTGTTTGTGTGTAATGACATGATGTTTGAGAAGTGTTGTATGGTTGTTAAATTGTGTATATTAAGTGATTACTTTTGGTATATGATGGTTGTCATGAAGAGTGCTTCACATTTGGTATATTATTTGTTAAATTCATAGCTTACTTAATTTTACTTGTATTAACTTAGATGACATAAAATTATGCATTTAGTGTTTTTAAAAGAACATCAATGAATTAAGAGTGAAAGTTAAGTCAAGGTTGTTAGAATGTTTTAAATATTTTATATTTTTAGCTCACCTGAGCCGAAGGCTCAAGTGAGCTTTTCTGATCACATTTTGTCCGTCGTCCGTCCGTCCGTCCGTCCGTCTGTCTGTCCGTCGGTCTGTAAACTTTTCACATTTTTGACTTCTTCTGAAGAACCACTGGGCCAATTTTGACCAAACTTGGTACAAAGCATCCTTGGGTGAAGGGGAATTTAAATTGTTAAAATGAAGGGCCAAGTCCCCTCACAAGGGGAGATAATCAAGAGAAGACAAAAATAGGGTGGGGTCATTAAAAAATCTTCTTCTCAAGAACCACTGGGCCAGAAAAGCTGAAACTTATATGGAAGCATCCTGGGGTAGTGTAGATTCTAAATTGTTCAAATCATGACCCCCGGGGGTAGGGCGGGGCCACAATAGGGAATCCAAGTTTAACATTGAAATATATAAGAAAAATCTTTAAAAATCTTCTTCTCAAGAACCACTGGGCCAGAAAAGCTGAAACTTATATGGAAGCATCCTGGGGTAGTGTAGATTCTAAATTGTTCAGATCATGACCCCCGGGGGTAGGGCGGGGCCACAATAGGGAATCCAAGTTTTACATTGAAATATATAAGAAAAATCTTAAAAAATCTTCTTCTCAAGAACCACTGGGCCAGAAAAGCTGAAACTTATATGGAAGCATCCTGGGGTAGTGTGGATTCTAAATTGTTCAAATCATGACCCCCGGGGGTAGGGTGGGGCCACAATAGGGAATCCAAGTTTTACATTGAAATATATAAGAAAAATCTTTAAAAATCTTCTTCTCAAGAACCACTGGGCCAGAAAAGCTGAAACTTATATGGAAGCATCCTGGGGTAGTGTAAATTTTAAATTGTTCAAATCATGACCACTGGGGTAGGGCGGGGCCATAATAGGGAATCCAAGTTTTACATTGAAATATATAAGAAAAATCTTTAAAAATCTTCTTCTCAAGAACCACTGGGCCAGAAAAGCTGAAACTTATATGGAAGCATCCTGGGGTAGTGTGGATTCTAAATTGTTCAAATCATGACCCCCGGGGGTAGGGCGGGGTCACAATAGGGAATCCAAGTTTTACATTGAAATATATAAGAAAAATCTTAAAAAATCTTCTTCTCAAGAACCACTGGGCCAGAAAAGCTGAAACTTATATGGAAGCATCCTGGGGTAGTGTGGATTCTAAATTGTTCAGATCATGACCCCCGGGGGTAGGGTGGGGCCACAATAGGGAATCCAAGTTTTACATTGAAATATATAAGAAAAATCTTTAAAAATCTTCTTCTCAAGAACCACTGGGCCAGAAAAGCTGAAACTTATATGGAAGCATCCTGGGGTAGTGTAAATTTTAAATTGTTCAAATCATGACCACTGGGGTAGGGCGGGGCCATAATAGGGAATCCAAGTTTTACATTGAAATATATAAGAAAAATCTTTAAAAATCTTCTTCTCAAGAACCACTGGGCCAGAAAAGCTGAAACTTATATGGAAGCATCCTGGGGTAGTGTGGATTCTAAATTGTTCAAATCATGACCCCCGGGGGTAGGGCGGGGTCACAATAGGGAATCCAAGTTTTACATTGAAATATATAAGAAAAATCTTAAAAAATCTTCTTCTCAAGAACCACTGGGCCAGAAAAGCTGAAACTTATATATGGAAGCATCCTGGGGTAGTGTAGAATCTAAATTGTTCAAATCATGACCCCCAGGGGTAGGGCGGGGCCACAATAGGTATATTAAAAGGGGGAAATTTGGTAAAGAACAGCATGGCCAAAGTTACTCAGGTGAGCGATGTGGCCCATGGGCCTCTTGTTTTTAAAGAAATTTTGAAAACCCACTTTATTAATTAGTTATATCTTGCCAATACTGTTTTTTATAATATTTTAATGAGAATGCCAAAAGTAAAGTCTATGAAATGTCACAAAACAAATGCTAATTAAAGCCAAAGACTCTGTGTTGCTCAGTGAATTTAGAAGTCTTTGTTTGGTAGTCATGGTAACTAGAAGCTGTCCAGTCATCCCTCTGTTTTCATTGGTTACAAATAATAGATGAATTGTGTATGTTGTATTTTTTGTGAATTGTAATAATCCTTTTTTTGCTAAAGAGTCTGTTTTGTAAACATCTAAGAAAATGCCTCTAATTGATCATTTTCAGGCTTGGATGAGAGAGGTATTCTGAACTTGAATCACATTCATAAAGTAAAATTGGAACTGTTAATAATGGATCTATTGGATGACATGATTAAAATTATACATCTCGTCCCATGACTACCTAGTCATTTTGGACTTGGTACAGAGTGCAGTTTCTTATATGTTTTTACGTACAATTTCATTTGTACAACATATGCTCAAAGTTACCATATATTATCAAATACAATCAGCAGTATTAAACATTTTCTGGAGTTTCAATTTTTTTTCTTAAATTGCACAGTTTCTTGTTTATGTATTGCTTTTCTTCACTAATTATAGATGGTTAAATGCAGTGTTTGAAACTCACGGTAGAATTAGCTATACATGAAGGGCTGACAACCAGTGAAAGTTGTCAGCCCTGCCAAAACTCTACTAGCCCGAGAACGGGCACACGGTTTTTTCAAACACTGTTAAATGTTGACTTTAGAGTTTTATAAAGAATTGAGATACAGTCACCCTGAACCAAGGTAAATAATAAATTTTGATTATTTTGTACATTTGATGATGCTTATGTCAAATAAACTCTATAATGCATTTTCCTAGAGTTTATACACATACATTTATTTTTAAAAGAATGTTTTGTATTACTAATATATGCCTACCTGTCCAGGTTACAATCTGTCAAAACCTCCACTACTCACTAAGTTACAAAAAAAAAATACAGAGCACCACAGCTCCCCCAAGTTTTCCAAAACGTAGAGTCCATATTTCCCTCAAGAATTGCTCAAAACCAGAGCCCAAACTTTTTCACTGAATCGCTCAAATCTGGAGCCCAAACTTTTACACTGAATCACTCAAATCCGGAGCCCAAACTTTTACACTGAAACGCAAAAGCAGAGCCCAAATGTTTACACTGAATCACTCAAAAGCAGAGCCCAAACTTTTACACTGAATCACTCAAAAGCAGAGCCCAAACTTTTACACTGAATCACTCAAAACCAGAGCCCAAACTTTTACACTGAATCACTTAAAACTAGAGCCCAAACTTTTACACTGAATCACTCAAATCGAGAGCCCAAACATTTAAACTGAATCACTCAAAACCAGAGCACAAACTTTTACACCGAATTGCTCAAAACCAGAGGCCTTAAAGAGCTGCCATTTCTACTCGGAGTCATTCAGAAACCAGAGCCCGAATCAAGTCAAAAACTAGAGCTGCATCTCCCAGGAGTCACTCAAAAATGGGAGTCCTTACGTCAAAATCGGAGCACTCACAGCTCCTAAGAATCACTGTAAACCAGAACAACACACACCACTTTTCCCAGAGTCACTCAAAACCAGAACCCCCACTTCTTACAGTCACTCAAAACCAGAAACCCCACCTCTTCCCAGAGTCACTCAAAACCAGAAACCCCACCTCTACCCAGAGTCACTCAAAACCAGAACCCCCACTTCTTCCCAGAGTCACTCAAAACCAGAAAACCCACTTCTTCCCACAGTCACTCAAAACCAGAAACCCCACTTCTTCCCAGAGTCACTCAAAACCAGAAACCCCATGTCTTCCCAGAATCACTCAAAACCAGAAACCCCACTTCATCCCAGAGTCACTCTAAACCAGAAACCCTACTTCTTCCCCGAGTCACTCAAAACCAGAACCCCCACTTCTTCCTAGAGTCACTCAAAACCAGAACCCCATTACTTCCCAGAGTCACTCTAAAACTCTCTCCAGATCAGTTTAAAACCAGAACCCTTCCCCAAAGTCAATCACAACCACAGATAGCTCCTTTAAATCACTTGTATTTTGTTTGACAGATACAGTGAAATGTTTAAACCATCTATAAGTGTTCTAAGATAGTCTTCAGTACTTCACAAGCCAATTTTTGTCATTTTGGATGCAATGGGTTAAATTTCAAGGACTTTTGGTTTGTAGTAATCACCAACAGTGTCCTACTACATTTAATGAACTTTTAATGCAATGAATTAAAATTTATGATGTATGTTTTGTTGTAAATAGTGATAGTCATTATTTTATTATAATTTGAATAATATTGTTGACTTTTTTTTCAATCTATATATTATATATATATATATCAATTGTTTATCTATCCATTGTTATGGCTGATTCTATAATAATAATGAACTTTTATCATTTTTCTCTGTTAAAAGTCAAATTTAATACATGAAAGATTAAGTGTGCCATTGTTCAACATCAAAGTCAGCATCAGAAATGTAATGCATCTGGTGAAAAGTAGTTTAAAATAAACTTACAAATAATGCCACTCTTTTTGTGATTTTTTTTGGGGGGGGGGGGGGATAGCCAGGTCAAGGAACTGACCATTGCTATTGTTATACACTGGAATGTCGTAACAAAGAGATAATTGAGGAGTCAAATTCACTGAATCCACATTTAAGCTCAACTGGAGGATGTCAAGGGCTGTGGAGCTATACCATCGGAATCGGTGTCCCAGGTTAAAGGTTTTGGAGCAGTTTTCTTTCTAATTAGTTATCAATTAGATTTGCATTGATGATACTTCTAGTATGTTTCATTGTACCCCACAGGTTTTAGATGCTGCATTTTCTCCCAAAATATTCCATAAAGATAACCAGCTTTTGGTTTTTATAGCAGGTTTAAGTCTTAGAAGCAGGTATTATTCCCATTGGCAAGTAATATAAGCCCTATCTTGACCAAACTTAGATGGATGATGCATCTAGGGATGTTTACTACCAGGTTTGTTAGGGATACTGGAACTGACCTACATTTATGGATGAACAGGTTAAAATGTTTGAAGCAGGTCTCATTCCCCATTAGCTACATGCCCTATTGTAACTTAACTAGCATGGGTGATGCACCAAGGTATGTACATGAATATACCAGGCATGCTTTGGATGCTGGATCTGACCAACATTTATCAGATGAATAAAGAGGTTCAAGTTTTTGGATCAGGTCTCATTCCCAGCAACTATAAGCCCTATTGGACTAAATTTGCATGCCTGATGATCTAGGTATGCTTCTGATACTGGGTCTGATCTACATTATCTGAATGAGTTCACAAGTTTGTTTTTGGAGAAGTTTCATTCCTAAGTAACTATAAGCCCTACCTGGACCAACTTAGTACATGGATGATGCATCTAGGGATGTATACTACCAGGTTTGCTCCAATGCTGAATCTGACCTACATTTCCAGATGAGTGAACAGATTTAAGTTTTTGGAGCAGGTCCATTCCCAAGTAATCATAGCCTAACTTGTACCATACTTGCAAGGATGATGTTTCTAGGTATGTACACTACATTTGACTTACATTTTCCAAAGGTGAGCTTCATAATTTTTGGTTACCCATCTTTAGCTCACTTGATAAGAGGAATAAGTGAAAGATTCAGACATTTCTATCTATTGTATGATAAACAGAAAACACAGGACAAACAGACAAGAAATAATGCATTTTCACTACATAATCAATTGGAATTCTCCAATTCCACACAAAAGCCCCTGACCTTAGGGCCATCAATTTCATAATTTTGAAAGAGGCACCCTTGCTTATCATAACTATACAAATAGTTTATCTGCTATATATACAAGGGGAGTGGAGATTTTATGCAATTTCACTGTATGATCATTAGATTCCTATCCTAATTCCAGAGATCCATGCCCTGGGGCTAAAAAATTTCACAATTTTGGTAGAGGACTCGACGCTTATTACAATCATGATAACAGTGCATATCTGCTTGATGTAAAGAAAATTTTTAAAAATTACAGTAATTTTAACGGTTTTAGCTTTACCCCTCAGGCCAGGGTGGGGGAATTGTTGGGGGGGGGGGGGGTAGGGACCATGAAATTTTCAATTTTAGTCTCCTTTCATTCATTGATGCTATATGCAAAATTTAAAATTGATTGGAATTGATTCAGTGGTTCCAGAGAAGCTAAAAATGTTCAAATGTTAACAGATGAGGTGACCTAAAATGTACATGTAATCATGCATTTTCAATGAATGATGCCCCTCCTCTGGCCCCCTCCCCCCTTCACTTAGGTGACCTAAAAAGACTAAATGTAGGCTCACTATCTTTAAATTGAATCCAAACTATTGCAAAAACATTTTATACCCTACAATTAATAGGCTTCTTTCTCTTACCAGCATAGGAAGTTTACATATATTACTTCAATTATTTGATCCTGGTCTCTGGCCATTTAGCATCTCTTGTAGCAAATATGAAAAGTCAAATGGTTCTCCTTTAATTGTCTCTACAACCTTGTTAACTATTAACATATAACAAACCAAGGATTGGGAGGATAACCAAAAGTTACTTAAGCTTACAGGGCAAGTTGTCCAGAAGTGGCCAGATAGCTTAGTTTGTAACCCTAAAGCTTACAGGGCAAGTTGTCCAGAAGTGGCCAGATAGCTTAGTTTGTAACCCTAAAGCTTACAGGGCAAGTAGTCCAGAAGTGGTCAGATAGCTCAGTTTGTAACCCTGTCTAGGGTTCAGGGGGCCTGGGTTTGAATCCTGATCTGTCAACTGCATTTTTCCCTTTCAAGTTTACACAGATATATATTCAGAACAAATGACGGGAAGTATTTGACATTTAGAGGCTGAACACATGTAAATTCTGAAAATCTTCAGAAAAACATAACAAATGACATATATTTCAGATATCTTTACTATAAAGCATCTCCTCGGAATCGTAACAAACAAATAACCAAGTCTTCACACAAATGGTCATCAGATATCTTTACTATAAAGCATCTCCTCGGAATTGTAACAAACAAATAACCAACAGTCTTCACACAAATGGTCATCAGATATCTTTACTATAAAGCATCTCCTCGGAATCGTAACAAACAAATAACAGTGAGGAGGTAACCCAATATACATGGCTTCACACAAATGGTCACACTTTTTCCATACTCCAACAATAATTCATTGTTATAGATTGTTAGACATTGTGCAGTACTGTAAACAACTAATATTATTTGCAACATCTTTTATTTGCAATTCATCAGTTTGAAAGCCATCTGCAATAATTTATTTTTGCTAATGAGGAAACACGCTATATAAGTTCACAATAATTGAATGGTTTGCAATGAAAAATATTCACAAATAAAAGAAAGTCACAAATCTTGTGGATATTTATTGCAGGTGAATAAATGTTGGTTTAGAGTATCCGCTTCTGTCCTACAACAGTGCTTCTGCCAAATACTTGGTTGATAGATAACATTAGAATCACAGCAATGTAGGTGAGGTTATGAAGTCATTAGAAAATATACATTGAGCAAATTCTGTCCATCAAAACATTTGTCTGTTAAGTCTGTCCTTCCAAACTTTTCTGTCTGTCAATCAACTCATCTTAGAAAGTCCATAAAATAAGACAGAATCTTCAATAATCCAAAACAATGCTTCCTTTTATCAATGCTCCACATTCCACTTAATTTTTTTTAATTTTGTGATCCTTAAAATAAAGATGAAATATAAATGTTATAATCATTTTAACCCTGTTTTATAGTACAAGCTTGTTTAATATTGGTTTGCTCTGAAATCCTATTCAACATTTTGGTTCTGTAGATTTAAAGTTATCTTAATCTAGCCAAATGTCTAGATTTGAAAATGATCCACTTAACAGACAATGTCATTATCTAATTTAAAGGTTAAACATTACAACATATATAAAGGCATTCTCAGTCCTTGTAATCAATGATACAATTATTTCACTTAATGCATAATCAATGATACAATTATTTCACTAAATACGTAATCAATGATACAATTATTTCACTAAATACGTAATCAATGATACAATTATTTCACTAAATACGTAATCAATGATACAATTATTTCATTAAATACTTAAAAAAGCTATCACATTCAGTTGTGGAGACTTATACTATATGCTACAAATGTTTCCAAAATGGGGGTATGTTTTTTTTTTTAAATTGTTAATTTCATCCTACTCTATAGCTTTATGTCTTCTTTATAGATTGGTCATGCTTCATATTCACAAGTAACCTGAGTGATACATCATGATAAATAATACTGCTCCCTCTCTCTCTCTCACACACACACACACACACACACACAAAGCGAAGAGCTACAAAATAAATAACATTGCACTCTAAACGTCTGGTCTTCTACAGACATCAACTGGTGATTTGACTGGCTGGGAATTCCATGGAAGGAGAGTGTCGTATTTCCTTGTAGCACGGTCGACAAACGGGAACTGGCCGACGAGACATGTGACCAGGAAGTGGAATATTTTTGGCAATACATCGCATACAGAATACTTCACCACATTTCCAGCAATGGAACTAAAAAAAATATAAAACCAGAATGAAAATCTAAATCAACACACCACAGTAAAAAAAACCTACAAAACACTCACCACACTTTCAGCAATGAGCTAAAAAATTACAAAACAGAAGTTAGTATGAGCTGTACAATACAAAAAGCAGTAATCAATGTATACTACATGTACTACTCCACAATTATACAGGCTATATACATGTACTGTCATTTCAGGCAACACAAAACTATTTCGATATTCCTATTATAAATTAATGTTAGAATGTATTAAAGTACTTATAAATTTATTTTCACAACTGCTTAACTTAAGAATTAAAGTTTACTACTGCTTTAAACAATACCAACAAAAATGTTTATTTTGTATCTTTCATTGGCTCTGAATCTCTGTATGCCATCTTTACTTCCTGATTCTATAAATAGGATTTCATTTCTACTTGAAATAACCCCCGCTGTGACAATGCACTTATCTGGGTGATTTTTGAGACCTTCCTGTTAATTATTCAGGCAGTACTAACACAAGTTATACACCAACAGTACAAGAGTATACACCAACAATACAAATCTCCAGACAGATATCATCAGCGCCAGAGGAGTATACCACCAACAGAGCTACAGTTCAAAGAGCAGAAATCTGATCCAGGAAATCATGTTATATAATTCATTCATTTAATAGGTCCAAAACCATGTAAATCATTACGTCACATAAGCTTTTTAAGATGCTATTTACTCTATCAGAAAAGCCTAAAATTAAAAATAAAAAAATGTTGGCAAAGGGACATAACTCCATAAATATTGTGAAAAATTATGTGAAATACATTTTGGCATTAAATCCTGGAATTTTGATTTTACTTTTGCTTTCTGTTTTTTGTTTTTTTTTTTAATGAAGATACACCTTTAAATCCACTGCTTTCCAATAATTTGTGCCTATCAAATTTATGACCATCTATTGATAAAGAGAAAGAAAAGGTGTATCCAGTTGATAAGCATTAATGGACCTTTTACAATTTATATTAAACATGATCCTTTAAAGCTAACATACCGGTATTTACTTTGATATAATTTATCAGCTCCATTAAGGGATTAATGATATTTATTTTATTACATTTAATTTTCATGTTGTTTAAGTTGACTTACTGTTAGGACTGGGGCAATACAACTTTTTCAATATCGATATGTATCACAATATTTGAGCCACGATACGATATGTATCACGATATGTTGAATTGGTTATAAAATAATTTGTTTGTATTGAAATGAACAAAACATTTCTTCGCAAATAAGAATAATTTATTCAAAGAAGTTTATCCATTGTATTTAACAAAATAATTTTACACAAGTGGTGTTAATTACTATGTATTTCATATTTACATTCATATTTAGCATATTTATTTTATATATTTAACCCAAAATGTTAAGTAGCCAAAGAAAACATGAGCCAGAATTTTTTTTGCGGTATTTCGATACTTCTTATACTTCGTATCGATATGCGTATCATCCTCACAATGAATCGATATCTCGATATATCGTCCCAGCCCTACTTAATGTGGTATAAATTCAATTATAAATGAATATACAAGAATGATCTGATGGGAACTAAGTGTTAATGTGCATTACGTCACATCTCTTAAACAAAGAAAAAGCTGCCCCCCCCCCCCCCCCCCCCACTTCTCTCCTTAGAAATATTCTATATTTAAATCTTGTAGTACATGTGCAAGTGGCGAATCCAGCGTTCTTGAAAAGGGGGTTTCAACCAGCTGAGAGTCTGGGGTAGGGACCCACGGGGTGAAGCCCCTGGAGCTCTCAGATTTTATGAGTTTTATGGAACAGATTTTTGACTTAATTTAGGTATAAATTATATATCATTAATGCAATATCCTGCACAAAAAAATGATTTATTAATCTTATGTATATTTTTGGTCACAAAAAGTAAAAGTGAGAGTCTTTATTTTCTCCAATCCTATTAAAATTAGATCCTTTAATTCCCTCCTATAGATCACTATACAAACTACACCCATTAGGTAGGTTCATCTAAGATTGAGATCAGAAAGTCCCGATTTTGATTGTACCTTGTCTGGATAAAATATAATATATATAGCCTTGCCTTTTTAGTAAAAGTACACAGCTACAGTTGTGAATATTGGGAAACTAAATATAATTTATGCCTTGCCTTTTTAGTAAAACTATTAAATGGAGATGCACGGCTACACTCGTGAATATTGGGAAACTAAATATAATATATGCCTTGCCTTTTTAGTAAAACTATTAAAAGGAGATGCACAGCTACAGTTGTGAATATTGCGAAATGATTTCCAATCAATGGCCACGCTGTTCATCTCAAACAAAAGCAAGTCCAAGCTTAGCTGGTCCCTCCCCACCGAGCACATACTGGAGTCAAGGGAACCAGCTTCTATACCTGTCCTTTGGGTATTTAGGTCACCGTGACCAGATCTGGACAGTTGTGAGCTGGATTCATCAAACCCGGACTCATTATCACTTTTTAGGTCAATGAGATCATTAATGTCTTTTGATTTGGTGTTTTGTTCAAGTCTGGTATCACATTCTCCATTGACCGTAATTTTCTCGGATTTCTCTGTAACGGAATTCTCCACGGATTCCTTGAGATTATCAAGAGACTCCATGGATAATCCACCATTCAGTTTTTTCTGTATCACATCCTCAGATTTCCCCAACAATTGACAGATCTGTGTCACTCTCTACAATAACAAAACCTCACTTAAAAAAATACATTAAACATTCACTTAAAAAGTACTGTCCAAATTCTAGGCGAATCTTGCTGAACCAAAGAACTGCACTCAGAATTTTGTATACTGTCTGCATAGCTGACTTGAAAGTTTAATGAAATCCTCATTTTAGAAATTCGAACAGCGAAAACTTGGATGGTCTAATTAGAAAGAATGAGAAAGTTGACAAGTTGAAACTTTGACAATAATTAATCATTGGTCAATTTCATTTCATGAGACCCCCTCCCCCCTTCAGGCTGTCTGTGGTTACCTTCTCCAGAAAACTGATGGGAGCCAATAACAATTTCCCATTTCTGTGCTTGTGGTTAACTTAACTTCCCATCTCCCACAGTTCTCTGTCTGTGGTTACCTTCTCCAGAAGAACTAATTAAGTGAGACCCTCCTCCCCTCATGTGGTGTCTTTGTTTACCTTCTCCACTAAGTCCCCCTCTCCCCCAGTTCTGTGCCTTTGATCACCTTCTCCACTAAGCCCCCCTCTCCCCCAGTTCTGTGCCTTTGATAAACTTCTGCACTGAGCCACCCTCTCCCCCAGTTCTGTGCCTTTGATTACCTTCTCCACTAAGTCCCCCTCTCCCCCAGTTCTGTGCCTTTGATTACCTTCTCCACTAAGTCCCCCTCTCCCCTAGTTCTGTGCCTTTGATTACCTTCTCCACTAAGTCCCCCTCTCCCCCAGTTCTGTGCCTTTGATTACCTTCTCCACTAAGTCCCCCTCTCCCCCAGTTCTGTGCCTTTGATTACCTTCTCCACTAAGCCCCCCTCTCCGCCAGTTCTGTGCCTTTGATTACCTTCTCCACTAAGTCCCCCTCTCCCCCAGTTCTGTGCCTTTGATTACTTTCTCCACTAAGTCCCCCTCTCCCCCAGTTCTGTGCCTTTGATTACCTTCTCCACTAAGTCCCCCTCTCCCCCAGTTCTGTGCCTTTGATTACCTTCTCCACTAAGTCCCCCTCTCCCCCAGTTCTGTGCCTTTGATTACCTTCTCCACTAAGTCCCCCTCTCCCCCAGTTCTGTGCCTTTGATTACCTTCTCCACTAAGTCCCCCTCTCCCCCAGTTCTGTGCCTTTGATTACCTTCTCCACTAAGTCCCCCTCTCCCCCAGTTCTGTGCCTTTGATTACCTTCTCCACTAAGTCCCCCTCTCCCCCAGTTCTGTGCCTTTGATCACCTTCTCCACTAAGCCCCCCCTCTCCCCCAGTTCTGTGTCTTTGATAAACTTCTGCACTGAGCCACCCTCTCCCCTCATGTGGTTTCTTTGATTACCTTCTCCACTAAGTCCCCCTCTCCCCCAGTTCTGTGCCTTTGATTACCTTCTCCACTAAGTCCCCCTCTCCCCCAGTTCTGTGCCTTTGATTACCTTCTCCACTAAGCCCCCCTCTCCCCCAGTTCTGTGCCTTTAATTACCTTCTCCACTAAGTCCCCCTCTCCCCCAGTTCTGTGCCTTTGATTACCTTCTCCACTAAGTCCCCCTCTCCCCCAGTTCTGTGCCTTTGATTACCTTCTCCACTAAGTCCCCCTCTCCCCCAGTTCTGTGCCTTTGATTACCTTCTCCACTAAGTCCCCCTCTCCCCCAGTTCTGTGCCTTTGATCACCTTCTCCACTAAGCCCCCCTCTCCCCCAGTTCTGTGTCTTTGATAAACTTCTGCACTGAGCCACCCTCTCCCCTCATGTGGTTTCTTTGATTACCTTCTCCACTAAGTTACCCTCTCCCCCAGTTCTGTGCCTTTGATTACCTTCTGCACTGAGTCACCCTCTCCCCTCATGTGGTGCCTTTGATTAACTTTCCCACTGAGTCACCCTCTCTCCCCAGTTCTGCGTCAATGATTACCTTCTCTAGAAGACTGATGTGGTCCTCCAGTGAGTCTGTGTGATCCTTGGCAGCACTCAGGATGTCTGCAATCTGTTCCCTGGGATGGAGGCCTACATCGTATCTGTGGTACATACCCTTCCAAAATCTGAAAAATATAAACAAGACAGACTTACAATTTTTCACTCTCAAAAGTCCACATAAAATAATAAGAGGCCCAGGGGCCACATCACTCACCTGAGCACTATGGCTAGGAAAAAGCAGAAATCAGTTCAGTCTTGAAAGGTTGAAAAGTTTAAATATAAAAGTGGTTTTTTTTTGGGGGGGGGGGGGTGTTGATTTGAACTAACTTGAATCTTTACTTCATAGGGATGCTTTTGAATTAATATGACAAATAGTGGCTTTGCTGTTCTTAAGAAGAGAAGAAGATTTTTAAAGATTTTTCCTATATATTCCTGTGTAAAACTTTGATCGCCCATTGTGGCCCCACCCAGTATGGGTCTAGTTATATTTTAGTTACTTGAGGCTCTGAGAGCTGGTGTTCAGTTATAGTAAAGGATGGGTCACATTTTTACTTACTTGAGGTTCTGTGAGCTGGTGTTGGGTGATAGTATAGGGTGGGTCACATTTTTACTTACTCGAGGCTTTGAGAGCTGGTGTTGGGTGATAGTGTGGGGTGGTTCACTTTTACTTACTTGAGGTTCTGAGAGCTGGTGTTGGATGATAGTGTAGGGTGGTTCACATTTTTACTTACTTGAGGTTCTGAGAGCTGGTGTTAGGTGATGGTGTAGGGTGGGTCACATTTTTACTTACTTGAGGTTCTGAGAGCTGGTGTTTGGTGAGAGTGTGGGACAAGTCACATTTTTACTTACTTGATGTTCTGAGAGCTGGTGTTCATTTATAGTATAGGATGGGTCACATTTTTACTTACTTGAGGTTCGAAGAGCTGGTGGTGGGTGATGATAAGTCACATTTTTACTTACTTGAGATTCTGAGAGCTGTTGTTGGGTGATAGTGTAGGGTGGGTCACATTTTTACTTACTTGAGGTTCTGAGAGCTGGTGTTAGGTGATAGTATGGGGTGGGTCACATTTTTACTTACTTGAGGTTCTGAGAGCTGGTGTTGGGTGATAGTGTGGGGTGGGTCACATTTTTACTTACTTAAGGTTCTGAGAGCTGGTGTTGGGTGATAGTTTGGGGTGGGTCATCATTTTTACTTACTTCAGGCTCTGAGAGCTGGTGTTGGGTGATAGTATAGGGTGGGTTACATTTTTACTTACTTGAGGTTCTGTGAGTTGGTGTTAGGTGATGGTGTAGGGTGGGTCACATTTTTACTTACTTGAGGTTCTGAGAGCTGGTGTTGGGTGAGAGTGTGGGACGGGTCACATTTTTACTTACTTGAGGGTCTGAGAGCTGGTGTTAGGTGAGAGTGTGGGACGGGTCACATTTTTACTTACTTGAGGTTCTGAGAGCTGGTGTTAGGTGAGAGTGTGGGACAGGTCACATTTTTACTTACCTGAGGTTCTGAGAGCTGGTGTTAGGTGATAGTGTGGGATGGGTCACCTCATACTCTTTCTTGTAGAGAGGATTCAGGAATTCTGACATGTGTTTCTTAATATGGCCCCACAAGGAATAGGTTCTTTCATTCAATCTATAAAATAATCATGAAAGAAACATTCTTTACACTAAGTTGTTTAAAACTTAATTAAAAATACAAATAAAGTAAGAAGACCATTAGCTTTAACTGTTAACAGTCACCCTGAACACGCTATCTTTCTCCACCTGATCCAAAGTGTAAGGATAATTGTAAAGAAATTAAATTGTTCAATACATGAGGATACATTAATTTTATAACATAACAATTTGAAGGTCTTGGTTCAGGGAGTGGTTTATAAAATTCCTTTAGAGTACAGTATGAAGAATTGACCCTCCCCCTTTCTCTTGGAGACAGAGAGAAAAGGCAAAGGTAAAAAAAATAGGACCCATTTGAATTGATTTTTTGGGGGGGTATATAAAGAGTGAATTAATTATGATTTAGAAATGATTGTCCAAATATTTTTACAGTTGATTTGCCCTAAGCAACATGCATCCACGCATGAATTTTAATATTATTCTCTTCCGAAGGTTTCTATGAAAGCTACCTCCCATATATGACAGATAGAAAATGGATATACAACAGCAATGTGCGACCCTGTCATGTACAGGACAGGCATAAAAAAATATCTAAATCTGACCAGGTACCTAAGATCCAGCCTGTCTTTTTCACAGTTCCCTATAAATGTTCCAAACTGACATGAGTATACATGGTCATGGATAGTCAGAAGAAATCGTTCGTTGAACTGGAACGCACACGGGTACTGCTGCATCAGCTGCCACACGGCCTCCACAAACTGTGTGAACACCGGCGACACCTCCTTATTGTCAGGGGTCTCTAGGAAACCACAGCGGTCTGTGAACTTATGGCCGAATGACAACCATTCCTTCTCTATCAGGGCCTACAGTCAGAAAATTAGATGTTTCTAAACTGAAGCTTACTAACGTTTCATTTACAATGCATTTTTACTTCAAAGTTTCATAAATTTGTAAATCACTTAATGTACTTAATAAGGAATAAATGTCTAGTTGTTTGGTTTATAATATGATCAAGCAATCTGCTCATGAGATAATTTTACATAAAATCATCACTTGTGCCAACTACCTGATCATCATTATAAAATCAATGATGGATCATAAAGCATTGTTATTCCTGTAATCCCAGCACTCTGTATACTACAGGTCCATTAGATTTGGATGTCTGCCAGTACTGGTCCAGCATTATACTACAGGTCCATTAGACTGAATCTCTGTCAGTACTGGTCCAGCATTACAGGTCCATTAGATTTTGGATGTCTGCCAGTACTGGTCCAGCATTACACTACAGGTCCATTAGATTTGGATTTCTGTCAGTACTGGTCCAGCATTATACTACAGGTCCATTAGATTTGGATTTCTGTCAGTACTGGTCCAGCATTATACTACAGGTCCATTGGATTTGGATCTCTGTCAGTACTGGTCCAGCATTATACTACAGGTCCATTAGATTTTGGATGTCTACCAGTACTGGTCCAGCATTATACTATAGGTCCATTGGATTTGGATCTCTGTCAGTACTGGTCGAGCATTATACTACAGGTCCATTAGATTTGGATCTCTGTCAGTACTGGTCCAGCATTATACTACAGGTCCATTAGATTTTGGATGTCTGCCAGTACTGGTCCAGCATTATACTACAGGTCCATTAGATTTGGATTTCTGTCAGTACTGGTCCAGCATTATACTACAGGTCCATTGGATTTGGATCTCTGTCAGTACTGGTCCAGCATTATACTACAGGTCCATTAGATTTTGGATGTCTACCAGTACTGGTACAGCATTATACTATAGGTCCATTGGATTTGGATCTCTGTCAGTACTGGTCGAGCATTATACTACAGGTCCATTAGATTTGGATCTCTGTCAGTACTGGTCCAGCATTATACTACAGGTCCATTAGATTTTGGATGTCTGCCAGTACTGGTCCAGCATTATACTACAGGTCCATTAGATTTGGATTTCTGTCAGTACTGGTCCAGCATTATACTACAGGTCCATTACATTTGGATCTCTGTCAGTACTGGTCCAGCATTACTCTGTATACTACAGGTCCATTAGATTTGTATGTCTGCCAGTACTGGTCCAGCATTTCTCTGTATACTACAGGTCCATTAGATTTTGGATCACTGTCAGTACTGGTCGAGCATTAGATTGGACTTGTAAGATATATCTGAAACCCTTGGCTCAAAGGACATAAAACTTAAATGAGCTTACTTTTGATCTCAGTCTCACTTTCCCACCATAAATTCCTTTGGTAAAAGTGAGATTGAGATCAAGAGTGAGCTTATCGAAGTTTTCTGGCCCTGGAGCATGGGTTATCCTTTAATATTGGTTCAGCATAAGACTAGTCAGAGAACACACACCTGAAAGCCCTGAGCAGTCCTGTAGTAGGGGTCGAGCATCAGACTGGACAAGGAGCAGGTCTGAGCTGTTCTGTCCCAGCCATCAGAACAGTGAACCAGAACACTCTGGCCATTCTTCACTGCCTGAAATAAGCAACAAATATATCTGGGGTCTGAGCTGCCCCAATAACAAGATATCTAGCTAACAGATACCTCTTATAATTTTCAATACTCTCAGTTCATTGAGGGAGAGAAAGCTAGCAAACATTGTAATTCAGTTTGTTAAGTGTAACATGTTAAACAAGATGGATTCTATCTCTGCTATGAACACTGAGGTGTCTAGAACAGCCTTACCTCTGCTATGAACACTGAGGTGTCTAGAACAGCCTTACCTCTGCTATGAACACTAAGGTGTCCAGAACAGCCTTACCTCTGCTATGAACACTTTGGTGTCTAGAACAGCCTTACCTCTGCTATGAACACTGAGGTGTCTAGGACAGCCTTACCTCTGCTATGAACACTTTGGTGTCTACAACAGCCTTACCTCTGCTATGAACACTGAGGTGTCTAGAACAGCCTTACCTCTGCTATGAACACTAAGGTGTCCAGAACAGCCTTACCTCTGCTATGAACACTTTGGTGTCTACAACAGCCTTACCTCTGCTATGAACACTTTGGTGTCTACAACAGCCTTACCTCTGCTATGAACACTGAGGTGTCCAGAACAGCCTTACCTCTGCTATGAACACTGAGGTGTCTAGAACAGCCTTACCTCTGCTATGAACACTAAGGTGTCCAGAACAGCCTTACCTCTGCTATGAACACTTTGGTGTCTACAACAGCCTTACCTCTGCTATGAACACTGAGGTGTCCAGAACAGCCTTACCTCTGCTATGAACACTTTGGTGTCTACAACAGCCTTACCTCTGCTATGAACACTGAGGTGTCTAGAACAGCCTTACCTCTGCTATGAACACTTTGGTGTCTACAACAGCCTTACCTCTGCTATGAACACTGAGGTGTCTAGGACAGCCTTACCTCTGCTATGAACACTGAGGTGATTAGAACAGCCTTACCTCTGCTATGAACACTGAGGTGTCTACAACAGCCTTACCTCTGCTATGAACACTAAGGTGTCTAGAACAGCCTTACTTCTGCTATGAACACCTAGGTGTCTAGAACAGGCTTACCTCTGCTATGAACACTGAGGTGTCCAGAACAGATTTGATGTGTTTGAGCCAGTTGCTGGTCTCCAGTCCTTGAAGAAATGCTGACATCGAAGGGTTCTTCATCTCACACACTAAAACAGATATACAAATATACAATAGGGTGGATATAATGTTTCTAACTTCTTTTAAGTCCAGTACAAATGCTAAATTTTATCTTTTTGTCTGGCTGCTTACTAATGACACATAATTCAATGATGTTATAAGTTGCTTTTTATTACCAGAGTTGCCCCTCTCCTACCATGACTTCTCTGTTTCTGTTTTAATACTATTACCTCATCATTATTTATAGGATTGTTCATTTTTTTCTCCTTGCATATAGATAAGCTGTCCAGTAGTTTTAACAAAAGATGCACTTCACTGTTATTTGACCTTTTCTTTGATCTAAACACCTACTGTCCATGTTTTTTACATTTAAGATGTACCATCCTTCAGACTGACTTATCAACATACTGTACAGTATTTTGAACTGCATAATTACCATAATATATATATATCCATATATTATACTGTAGATTCCTTATTTTTCGCGAGTACTTATTATCACGAAATGACTCTTGAGCGTCAAATCGCGAGAACAATAATTTGTGAATAGACGGTTCATCAAGAGATTTTACATTGATTTCAGCACCATAAAAATAAAAGCGAGTAATTTTATTCCGCGAGTGGTACTTCTCGCGAAATTACGCGATAATTAATTCCTCGCGTATATTTAGGAATCTACAGTACTTTTATGTAAATTACTTGAATTTAAATCATCATAACATTTGTTAAAAAAAATAATGTTACCCTCAACTACATGCAGTATTTATGTAATACAGTAGTTTTTTGTAGACTGGCCCATACATACTACTATCCAGTAGTTTTCCTTGACTGGTTCATACAGACTTACCATCCAGTAGTTTTTGTAGACTGGTTCATACAAACTTACCGTCCAGTAGTTTTTGTAGACTGGTTCATACAGACTTACCGTCCAGCAGTTTTTGTAGACTGGTTCATACAGACTTACCGTCCAGTAGTTTTTGTAGACTGGTTCATACAGACTTACCGTCCAGTAGTTTTTGTAGACTTCCCCTCATTACGTGGATGTTTTCGATGCCACAGAACTGGAACTTGATGTCCGTATAGTGGTTGTCATTCTCGTAACCTTTCCCTGCCGCCTTGTTAGCCATGGCATTTATCTGTAACACAAAAGTCACCTTGTTAGCTATGGCATTTATCTGTAACACAAATGTCGCCTTGTTAGCCATGGCATTTATCTGTAACACAAATGTCACCTTGTTAGCCATGGCATTTATCTGTAACACAAATGTCGCCTTGTTAGCCATGGCATTTATCTGTAACACAAAAGTCACCTTGTTAGCCATGGCATTTATCTGTAACACAAATGTCACCTTGTTAACCATGGCATTTATCTGTAAATCAAAAACCAAACTTAGCGTCCCTTAAATCCTCCATTAACTCAAGAGGTTTTTCTTTAATTGACCACAAAATAATTGATGGAATGGCATTTATCTGAACAACACATACAGTATACAGTTATAGTGAATTCTTGGGGACCTTTGAATTTACTTCCCTATATCCATAATTCTTTATATCCCTGTAACGTGTATATCACAGTGATAAGCATGAGAAAGAGTGTGTTTGTTTTAACTCATTATAAATAAATGCCTGCACAATATTTGTCCTTTAGGGCAGATATTTACTAAGTAGATCTAGAACTTGACTTGAACCCATTGCAGAGACATCTGAGAGAGGAATGAATGACAACTCTGTAAGGGAGATTGGTAGCCCCTAGTCTCTGTTATACCTTGTATTTTGATTCCATGATGCAAACAATCTTTTATGAAGTTAAATAATTTTAAGCAAGTAGGAAAACAACACACAAATGCTTTTCTGATATGGGTCTTTCCTTACATTGTGACAGATTTAAATTATACAAATGTTGATGATAGGGGGGTTCTAATGTCAAATGTAGTATATAAATGTTGATATTCATGGGGGGGGGGGGGGGGGGGGGGGCTCGTGGGGGGGGGACTCCACTGTTAGACTGTGATTAATTTATTGTATTTTCAAGTTGTGACACATACTGTAACCGTTGTTAAAGTCAGAATCGCAACTGCTACAATTACACAATGATGTCATTAATACATCATACACAATGATATCATTAATTCATCATACACATACACAACGATATCATTAATACATCAGACTCTCACCTTTGGCCTTGTGTCAACAACATACATGAATTCTGATTTAGGGTTGGGGTTGGATTTTAAAATGCAGTGTAGTAATTGTTCATCTTCCAGACAGCGGGCCCGAAATCCAGAGAGAGGCTGGCTGCATCGACAAATGGCCGCCTAACAAAAAACAGCAGACATATTCATAAGTGTTAGTGTCATCTCAAATCTCTCAGTTTAACCTCAGTCTGAATGAGTTCAATATAACAAGGTTTGACTATATATATTGTGAAATAAAATATACTGGTTAGAGCAAGTTTCTGTACACTCTCAAAGTGCATTGTTATGACTCAATAAATCTGATCAGAACCATCCTATTATTTTCTTTCCAGGAGAAGACCTTTTTCTAAGTTATAAATAGGTACCGGTACATATTATTATCAAATGTTTGACTCCACTCTAAACATTCACATCAGAGAATCATTTCAGTTTCTAAATTGCAAAATGCTCAAGGGGACAATGCAAAACTGTATTTACATTTCATTAAATCTTTCATTTTATCCCTATGAATATACTGCACACCAAGGGAACCAATTTTTCATATCAAATACATGGCAGAGGTTTTTAACAAACAAATCTTTTATAGCATACTTCTGATATACCAATAGCCAATGCTTATCCATTACATCTGATGTGTTTACATTGGTTTTATTGTGATGTGTTTACCTGTATTTTATTGTGATGTGTTTACCTGGGTATTACTGTGATGTGTTTACCTGGATTTTATTGTGATGTGTTTACCTGGGTTTTACTGTGATGTGTTTACCTGTGTTTTACTGTGATGTGTTTACCTGGGTTTTATTGTGATGTGTTTACCTGGGATTTATTGTGATGTGTTTACCAGGGTTTTATTGTGATGTGTTTACCTGGGATTTATTGTGATGTGTTTACCAGGGTTTTATTGTGATGTGTTTACCTGGGATTTATTGTGATGTGTTTACCTGGGTTTTATTGTGATGTGTTCACCTGGGTTTTACTGTGATGTGTTTACCTGGGTTTTACTGTGATGTGTTTACCAGGGTTTTACTGTGATGTGTTTACCTGGGATTTATTGTGATGTATTTACCTGGGTTTTATTGTGATGTGTTTACTTGGGTTTTATTGTGATGTGTTTACCTGGCTTCCACTGTGATGTGTTTACCTGGGTTTTATTGTGACATGGTTACCTGGGTTTTACACTGTAATGTATTTACCTGGGTTTTATTGTGAAATGGTTACCTGGGTTTTACACTGTAATGTATTTACCTGGGTTTTATTGTGACATGGTTACCTGGGTTTTACACTGTAATGTATTTACCTGGGTTTTACTGTGAAAGTAAGATAAAACAGGAAGGCGTCCACGACTGCGGAATTTAGAACTGCCGAGGATAATTGGTGTTGAGGCCGATGCAGGAACAAACAGGTGTCTGGGATATGTATCACAAAGCTGTCAACAAAAAATATATCACACAAACGGATCATAAGAGTCAGTCAGTTTCTAAGTCAAATATCTTTTTATTTTAAAATATCTTCATAAAGTGAATATTCTTGCCAATGTACATAATACAGAATGGTTAATTTGAGAAATAACACAATTACAGCCTAGGGAGATTAGCATTTTTTCATTTAGGTGGATATGCCACTCATGTGGCCATAAATATGCTTCTTTGATTCTCTCATACCAATTCAACAACTGCTTTATTTTCAATTTATTGACATCACCATGTTGGTATACAGTCAAAGTTTTACAGACTTATTAACTGTCTAGACCTGTATGGTACCTTGTTAATTTTTCATTCTGGTTAGAGTGTTGAGTATATCGTACCTCATTAATTTTTATCAGATTAGAGAATAGTCAGTATTTAGTACCTCGTACTTTTTGTTGAGGTTAGGGAATAGCCAGTATTTAGTACCTCGTAATTTCTGTTGAGGTTAGAGAATAGCTAATATTTAGTACCACGTAATTTTTGTTGAGGTTAGAGAGTGGCCAGTATTTAGTACCTCATAATTTTTGTTGAGGTTAGAGAATAGCCAGTATTTAGTACCTCATAATTTTTGTTGAGGTTAGATAGTGACCAGTACTGGTTTGGGACACCCATCCTCAGATACTCAGACTGGGCATCGTACAGGTCCCAGCCGTATGACTTCTCTATCTCGTCTGCCGCAGAATAAACAAACGCATAGAGCTTCTCCAAGTCAGCTTTAGTGAAAAAGAATTAAAAAAACAGGATTCAGCAAAATAATGTGACAGGAAAAAACAAATATAAAAATCTCAAATGTTGCAAGAATAATAAATTTTAATAATCCATTTTTTGAAGAAAAAATTTTTTTACAATCATCTCGAAATATATCCACTTTGGATAAATTCTTCAAATCATAAAGAGAGTTTAAAATAATTAAAAAGCTGACCAATCAGGACAACTGACCTGGTTTGGAGAGTTCCTGTAAAGAGGTAAAAATGTCTTGGCAGTCTCTGTCTCGAGGAATCACAAACGTGATACAACGGAAATCCTTGCAGCGGATCTGTAGGGGGGATCCCCCGGCATTCAGGGGCTGCTTCTCTATACTGTACATGTGGGTATGCAGGATCTATAAATAGAAATCCAATAGTCATCAACAAAGGGGAGTCAACTCTGATTAATATTCATGAGGTCCATTGGCCCTGAAGGTCATTTTAAGGGTCACTTTCTCTAAATGCCCTACACATGCGCTACCTTTATGTTACAAGCATGTTTCTCTCAATCCAACTTAAAACAAATTGCTCATGGTTCGAATTCACTTTTTGTTTGCTATATGTCTGGGAGTAAAGAGATATAGGTTACATAACTTGTGCAAGTTAGTAACTGATCTTTCTTCAACTGGAGTTCCTTAATCTTTTTAATTGTCAACAGACATGAGGCTCGCCAAGTGTCTATTGACCAGGTGCAGATCCAGGAATTTTTTCCACGGGGGTCCACCCCAATCAAAAAAAATTTCCAACCCAAAAATTTCTTGACAAGCAAAAAAAAAAACAAAACAAAACAAAACAAAAACAAAAACTAAAAATATGTCCATAGGACATGAATGCCCCACCGGGGGTATATTAGTAATGCAACATTTTAACACAAATTGAGAAAAATGAGGTCAAGGTCAAAGGAAAGGTCAAGGTCTAGAAATATTGATGCAGTTGAATAGCTCTCATCAGTATGTATCAGCATATGAAGTTTGTTAAAAATATCTAGAATTGTTTCATTAAAACTGAGCTAAACACTAATTTAAGAAAAGTGAGGTCAAGGTCAAAAGAAAGGTCAAGGTCAAAAAATGTTGATGCAGTGGAATAGCTTACATCAGTATGTATCAACATATGAAGTTTGATTACACTATCTTGAATGGTATCTTTAAAACTGAGCTAAACACCAATTTAAGAAAAGTGAGGTCAAGGTCAAAGGAAAGGTCAAGGTCAAAAAAATGTTGATGCAGTTGCATAGCTTACATCAGTATGTATCAACATATGAAGTTTGATTACACTATCTTGAATGGTATCTTTAAAACTGAGCTAAACACCAATTTAAGAAAAGTGAGGTCAAGGTCAAAGGAAAGGTCAAGGTCAAAAAAATGTTGATGCAGTTGCATAGCTCTCATCAATATCTATCAGCATATGAAGTTTGATAAAAATATCTTGGATAGTTTCTTTGAAACTGAGCTTTGAACAGAGCTAAATGCAAAGTGTGACGGAAGGACAGAAGGACGGAAGACAAACACTATATGCCCTGGCCATATTCATGGCGGGGCATAAAAACTCCATAAAATCCATTACCCAAATGTGTGAAAAACACCTATTTCGTGGTGGTGATGGTGGGGTCCATGTTTTCTAGGAGGGGTCCAAAGTCATTTTTATTTGCTTCAGTATATACTTTTAATAACTCGATCTGCAAATTCCAGGGGGGAAGAGGTGGGGTCTGGAACCCTCCTCCTCTAGATCAGCACATGATTGACAATTAAAAAGATTAATATAATTATAATGGAACAAGAGTTGCAGAAAAACTGGTTACTTATTAATGAGCATACATTAAGAAACCTAATTTTACTCCCTTTGCTAAAATTCTTCACACTATAAATTATTACTGCACAAATTTCTTACAAACCAATATTAAATAGCACATGACGTCATATAGTATTAGAAGCCTGTAATATTGCTATTATGACATCACATCCACCAATCAATTTAAATGCTTGCTAGGGGTACTTATCTAACAGGTTGGATAATATAAAAAGAATATTTGGGGATAATAAAACACATATAGGTAATAGGAGAAAATTTATTGAAATAAGGTATAATTTTTAAATATCTATCAGGTCAATACGATTAAATCCTATTTATATATGTCTACAGTGGACAAAAATTTTGCCAACAGTTTTCTGTGTGAAAAAAACTACATAGATCTACAGTAGATGGCATAATGAAACAAACTCAAGGTTTCAAAACAGCAATTCATCACCACTGCAACCTGTTATTACAGATACACAGCTTAGGGCTAAAACTTAAGCAATAAACAGTAATAAGAGAAAATAATATCTATCATGAACAGAAAATTACATCTAGAATAATTTGGCACATGCTTATTCTTAGTGTAACCATTGAAACATCAAAAAAGGCTATAATGTTTCTGTAAAGTACAAACGTAAATGCATTGGTACCCCAGCCTTACACCTGTGGATCACTGGACAAATATTAGTTCTGGAGTCCTGGGTTCAGAATAGAAATTTTTTTTTTTCTCCTCATGATTGAGGAGAACAAATTATCAATATGACAGTAACAAATTGCTACATGATGCTGAACAAACTAGTAACAACACACAGCCTGAAGGTTCTTCACTAACACTATTTAATCATCGCAGAGCCATAAAAGTCCATTATTTGGCCCAACAATCACTCTGAAAATGTTGATAAAGAGGGAAATTCTCAAAGGAATAGTCCTGGATAAAAAAATAATACTGTGCTCGAACACCTACTGAGAACGAAGAAAATTGGGGCTATTTCTTAAAAGTCAATACCAAAAGCTTGTTACTGCCTGAGAAACATTATAGAAAATTTGTATCCAAAAAAAAAAAATAACGGAGGTTGGAAATCACTGGAGAGAGATTCTACAGACAATCAAGGGTCTGTATGCTGGAGATAAGAAATTGATTTTATCATTTCGTAAAGCATTTAGAAACAATTACACTTTGCATGCCAAATAATGTATAATGGTATTACAGGCTTTTAACTCTTTCGACATCATTGCAGTCCAAATTTTCCTCCGGAAACTCCATTATAAATGGCTAAATGACTACATCACAAGACAAAACATTGCCATTATGTATAGCAATCATAATTTGGGCGGATATTGAAATTATTAACTTTGTTTTGACCTCAGTTAAACACTCTGAGCTTCCTATCATTTTCATCAATATTTAGTACTTAATTTATGTGATTTTATCTACTTTAAATCCGACCCAGTGTTATGTTACTATAGTGGTTACCTGGAATAATAATTGCCCTTCCTGGCTTGCTTAATAAAACTGTGAGTCCTAATTGATGGAGGCATAAATTAATGCTGGTATTAAGATAAGCTAATGCACTGTTCACATGGAGAGTTTAATTTGAATTAAACAAAAGTTACTGCAAATTAAATCTGAATCACATTCACACAGAGAATTTAATGTGAATTGGTTAAATTCTCATTAATTTACTGTGCATCAAATTGCATCAAATTTACTCCAAGTGAACATTAAGTGAAGCTATGACCTTGACTCAAGGGGGCATGACAAGAACAACCTAGCTTGCATGAATCCACACCAGGTATTATACTTGGGAATGCAGAGTTGCAGATCAATCTTACTCATGCACTTAAGACTTGATTCTTTTCTTTGCAATCTGTCAAAGACTACCTTAAAAGAATTTTCCTACATCTGTAAAAAAAAAAAAAAAAAACTGAACTCCTAGAGCAGTCCCTATCCAATTCCCTTGTCATCTCTGAAACAAAATTTGACTCAATGCTCGCAAATTAATTTGACTATTGGTAGCCTTGCTGTTCTGTACACATGGTAGAAGATGGTTTTAAAAAGAATTGTCCGACATTTTTCGATCTTATTTATACTACAGTCTCATTCTTATCCAGGGGGCATTAACAATCTGCTCTAAATGAGATTTCTTTTGATTTATTTACATATTTTCTTATTTTACTATTTCTACATTTGCAGTTCTGCAAAGTTGATTTTTGACTTTTTCCCTATATTTTTTCTCTGACTCTAAATCTGCATTCATTGCAGATACTTTAAAATATCTTAAATGTGCAGTATTCTCTATTCTGCTACTCTATGTTCATTATCAATATTGCTGCATGTACTTACTTTGGGGTTATAGTACAGTAAAAACATAATCAATAGAAACCTCAATATAATGATAGAATCAATTAGGGAAACAACAAAAAGCAACTAGAGAGAAATATTTAGAGACAAGATTATATCCAGCACAGTCATGATAAGCCATGACATCCCTCAGTGATGCTATGGTAATAGCAGCTCCACAACCCAATTCCTGGTTTTGTTGGCAATAAGACATGAAATATTTTTGCTTGATGGAAGAGTAAAATTAATCAAGCAACACAACATGAAAATCTGATATAGGAAAGATTGCTCCTGCGGCCAAGAAACACTAATAGATAGCTATATTTTCTAATGAGAAATGCAATATAAAGTGCCAGGAACTAAAGATGGTTTTTTTATAGGAAAGCTAATATCATGATTAAAGAAGGAATACAGAACAAATCAATGACATGGCACCCATGGGTTATTTGTTTGATGTGCTAGTAGAGTCCCTTACATGAACAAGAAGTCGGTGAACAAATGGAGCTCAAAAACTGAGCTACTATAGTGAATGGTGAACAGTCAGCAAACAGTGGACAACAATGAAAAGTCATAACACTTACAGGTTAACCCTGTGAATGTAATGGTACCGTTACCGTACCTATCTGTATTTATTTCATGGCACACAAACAAAAATGACAATATTTTTTTGACCTTCATTTATTTTTTTCTTAAGCAAAAAAGACCTGCATAAAACTGAAGCAGAGAAAATCTTAGTTGTATGATTTTAAAGGTGCTTGGACACAGATTTGAAGTTAGTATTTTCTCAGATTTTCTGTATAATTTCATGACTTATATGTTGCTATAGCATTTCATACTAAAATATGATAAAAATCTTATTTCATCTCGAAGTTATTGAAACTTCAAATTTCTGGACGCGTTTGATTGACACATCCTTGCACTTTCACAAATTTTAATTTTATTCTTAATACTTAAGAAAAGTGGCAGTTTTGTTGTGTATAAATGAAAAGTATTAAAACTATAATCCAGAAATTTCAGAGTAGAAATGTTCGAAAGCAAAACCCACTCACAGTATTGTCAGTCCGTGCTCAGTGGTGTGTGCAGACTTTAACAATTGAACACACCCGGTGAATCGTAAACATTAACAATAACAGAGCTCGTGCCCTGTTTACAGAAACAGTTTACGTTTCACGGGTGTATTCAATTTGTTAAACTCTGTACACAACACTAAGCACGGGCTCA